GATACCGATTATTCTTTTTCGCTCCCCCCCGTATGAAGGTTACTTTTTATTCAAAAAGGTTGCATTTTTTTATATTTCTGGTAATTTCTGACAAGACCCGACTGGCAACACTGTTATTCTGTGCCACAGCCGGCTGGCGCGCGCACGGTGGGCAGGCGGCGGGCGCGGGCGCGGCCGAGCGCACGCTGCTCACGCGGCTCGGTATCCGCAAGCCGTCGGTCACGCTCTCGCCGCACCCGAGGGCCGCGCGCACCTTTAGCTTGGACGATCTGTTAAAGCCGCCGCCCGGACGTAAGGAGCGGAGCGCCGGCGCCCGCGCACTCCGCACTGATGCGCGATCATACACGAACCTCCATTTCATTAGTAATTATTTTGTGTCCGGTTTTGGTGGCAGTAATCGGGGAGTACGTTAGGACATGGACATGAAACTAGGCTTTTACACGTCTCAGTATAAATCATTGTTGAAATTGGATTCACTTGATTCCGAGTTTATTAAAATCGTCGTCATCGGTATTTTTTTCGGCTTTGATGTTGGTGTTCCAACGTAATCAGCTATTTACTGCGTTAATATTTGTTCAGTATTGTCGCACAAATTACACAAATTTTCTACATATTCCAACCTCACGAATTCTCCAGTCTCAGAGATTTGATTTGACTCATCATATTCAATTTTCAAACTATATAAATTCAATATCATCCCTACCGACTTCATAATCACAAGAAATCCAATCTTTTTGACCATATTTGTTTTGATATGACACTTATTAATCTGAATGTCTTTACATTTCTCACCAGATTCGTTTTNTTGGCGATAAGTTGTTTGCGAAGTGAAATTTGGCGAAAAGTAATTTGGCCAAACGGAAGGATACCGATTATTCTTTTTCGCTCCCCCCCGTATGAAGGTTACTTTTTATTCAAAAAGGTTGCATTTTTTTATATTTCTGGTAATTTCTGACAAGACCCGACTGGCAACACTGTTATTCTGTGCCACAGCCGGCTGGCGCGCGCACGGTGGGCAGGCGGCGGGCGCGGGCGCGGCCGAGCGCACGCTGCTCACGCGGCTCGGTATCCGCAAGCCGTCGGTCACGCTCTCGCCGCACCCGAGGGCCGCGCGCACCTTTAGCTTGGACGATCTGTTAAAGCCGCCGCCCGGACGTAAGGAGCGGAGCGCCGGCGCCCGCGCACTCCGCACTGATGCGCGATCATACACGAACCTCCATTTCATTAGTAATTATTTTGTGTCCGGTTTTGGTGGCAGTAATCGGGGAGTACGTTGGGACATGGACATGAAAGTAGGCTTTTACACGTCCCAGTATAAATCATTGTTGAAATTGGATCCACTTGATTTTAATTGATCCACTTGTTTATAAAAAACGTCGTCATCGGTATTTTTTTCGGCTTTAATGTTGATGTTCCAACGTAATCACCTATTTACTGTGTTAATATTTGTTCAGTATTGTCGCACAAATTACACTTTTCTACGTATTCCAATCTCACGAATTCTCCAGTCTCAGAGATTTGATTTGACTCATCATAATCAATTTTTAAACTATACAAATTCAATATCATCCCGACCGACTTCATAATCACAAGAAATCCAATCTTTTTGACCATATTTGTTTTGATATGACACTTATTAATCTGAATGTCTTTACGTTTTTCACCAGATTCGTTTGATCTGTGTCTACAATGTACTCGTGCGTATTACGTGACTCACTTTTCTTGCTCTCTGAAATTCACTGTAGTTCAACTTCACATAAATGTTGACTTTGATCAATATCGTTAACGTTTGAACTTTCATTACCTAAATAACTCACAAGTGCTGTATAGTCGATGGCTTCACTTATTCCTTATTTTACTTCAACCTTTTCAAACATCAGATTCATCTCAATCTCCATATTCTCTCAAGAGCTCTTTTCTTTCATCAAACTGTTCAGTTTTCATCTCGATATTAAAGAAATCAGTAACTCATTTTAGTTATCCTAACATTCTACTGAAAATCATGATCTTTCTGAACATATTAACAAACCAGCTAAAATAAAAATACATTATTGAAACCATTTTGTTAAAGCTAAACTAAACAACGAAACTGCTTATATCAGTTCAAAACACATTATTTCCCTTTGTTTGCAAATGTAAACGCATTCGACCATCTCTGCGGAGCGCGCGGTGCACAGAGCTCTGATAGCACTGGATGTGGACCTGCTGTGAATGGCACTCGGTGTGGAATGCTGTCCTTGGCCAATATAACCCGGTCCTGCTATCTTCTTACTTCTCGATGTGTGCACTCTTGACTATGCACAGAAGCATTAGACGCTCCTCCTTCGTTTAACACCTTTTTAGATCGTCCAGCTATTGCATCTTTTAATCTGTCAACTATCTTAACTTTCGTACCTTTTCTATTAGTATAATTTCTTTTCTTGAGAATGACAGTTTAAAAGATGATTTTCTATCTTTAATGAATGTTGCTTAGCATTTAGCATGCTGTTTAAATTGGTCATTGTTCTGCATTTTACAATAAATAGCCTCATTTTGTACATAATATAGAAATTACTTCAAACTAACGTCTTGCTGCATAACATGCATTACAAGCACAACAATGCCCTTTTTCATATGGTCATTGGAAATAATTTACCGTCAATGTTAATTCAATTTCAATGTGCAATTTCCTGTTCGCTTTAAGTGTTGCTTATTTGGAAATTCCAATAACCATATACAACATTGGTAGATCAACATCCCCATTCGTTTGTATCGTGAACCAAACACTTGCAATTTACACTAAACCTAACTTATACCTACATGTCAATCAAAGAACTCAATTGGCACATTAACAAAATTTCAAATATTCTTGGCACTAACCCTAAAGAATTGGCTTCCATAGATGCACTAAGGAGATCAAGGCATGATGGTGATCTCTCAACCCCTAAGTGTTTTCTATAAATGTTTTTTTCAACCCAGTTCTGAGATGTTTCTAAATGTAGCTTTTGTCATGAACATTGATGTTGTATCAGATGCTTATCATAGAACGACTTGGTTTCCAAATGAATGCTATATCAAGGTTTTTAACACAGGAACACCATCACCTCGGAAAAAACGTAATAACTCAACACCAACAAAGAAAAACGCAGCAGAAAAAAAGCAAATTCTTCAGCAGTTGATAAGTCCGGCATCGGGGAACGACCACTCAAAGAAGATCACGATGGGGGAACTAATACAGATGTCGGAAAAAAGGACTCTGAGCACAGTAGAAAGCGCTCCTGCTTTTGTGGACTACGGTATAGAAAATAAAGAGACTTCATTTGCAAGTGAAGCATCCACACCCTCAACATCTCCCTCGATGAGGCACATATCAGATCCTAAGTTAGAGAAAAAAGTTACCTTCGCTAGATTACTGAACAAAGTTTCAGCTGAAATGAGCTCCAGTTCTGATGTGGACATGGTAAATACGATAGCGATTCCAATGGCAGTCATAGCTGATAGAGGTATGAAAGCTAAAGCTTCAAGTACTCCACCGTCCCCTGGTGTAGAGGTTAGATCTCCTCATAGTACGTCGAGCAATCAAGGCAGTGATTCCATGTCCAGTCTTGATTTGACGTTAGCTCATGCTGCTTTGAAAAAATATTCAAGGTAAATTATAATTTCACTTATTTTTAACTTCTTTTTTCTGTTATCTCTCATGTTTGAATTACATTTTTTCCTTCCAGACAACCGAAAATATCCAGTGCTGACTCCATCCTCGCCATGTTTCGAAACTTCTCGTCATCGTCAGCTGCGATAGTGTCTCGAGCATCGTCGGGAGGTGTCTCAGCCTCAAGCACGCCTTCAGCATCATCGCCACAGGATGATACTGTGGATGCTGATGATATATCCCTGGCATCTTCACACATACCCTCGCTAGCTCCGGATTCACCAGTCACTAGGCCACATAACACCATTGAAATACAGGTAATGGTTCTCTTTTGATAAACATTTTTTTCTCATCTCCTTTTCCAAATTATTCACCCATGCATAAATATTATTAAACTCGATAATTTTGATTGTTTTTAGGTTCTTGATCCTTTGAGTGCTCACAAATCTTCGTCTTCAGGCAGCAACCTTCTACATCCTCCATCTATTTTGCTTGAAGTACCCAGTGGCATAAATAAATGCCTTTCACCTATTCGAGAACTGCCCACGCCCCTTCCAACTCCACTACCTACCCCACTCCCTACCCCACTCCCTACCCCTCTCCCTTCGCCCCGCATGCCAAGAGCTAATATGGAGCCAGACACGAAGAGTGAATCGACGGCAACATGCGTATCTCCAAGTGAAGATGAGCTGGACGAAATAAAGTATGAGACCAAACCCGAGAGACCTCTATCTGGGCTACGACTGAAGGTAATGTTGAGTTCAACGTAACATTTACTCTACAATTTTTAGGTCACGTCTTCAAAATGCCTTTCTTTTGTTTCAGCTCCGCCAGCCAGCTATCTGCAGTGAAACGCCAACACCATCCACCCACGTAACTGACTCTCCCAGCCCCAGCTTCACTCACAGTCAAGATTCTGAACGAGAAATGTCTTCTCCGTCGCCCGCGCCTCCTACCCTCAGAGTCCCGATTCTCACGATAGAGCGGCCTTCACCAGGATCACCTCCTCCCAGGCGCACCCCACCACATTTAGAATTTCAACCGCCTCCTCTGATAACTGTCACGTACAACGCAAGTGAGGAATCGGACGAACCGATGTCCCCAAGACCACCGCCACCAAGTGGAAATATGTGCTACCTAAGCCCATTCTCCATGTCTGCCAGAGGAGAAAGAGCGCCATCAGAATCAAATCTGTCCTCATCTGGATACAGTTCTATGGCAAGTCCTGGTCCTTCCCGGTGCGGGTCAAGCAACCCTTTGTGTCCCTCTGAAATGGAAGATCCGGGTTCAGGTGGAGGCCCTTCTTGTTTTCAATCGAGAAGACGACCGCTGATGAAAACTAACTCCAGTCCTGCTGCTTCGAACGACGACTCCAATGAAGGAGACGAGGAAGATCCGATTCAGAAACTTTATCAGACGACCCATTACTCGAATCGAATGATGAAGGAATCGGAACGGATGAGAGAGTAGATGATGTGCCGTCCAGTGCTAAGGAATTAGAAACGTTGGTCGGTTTGAAAGAAACTTTAGAGGTGCCTCAGACGACGATAATTTCGCCTAGCGGAGTGACCAAATGTTCAATAGTTAAATGTATTAGTGTGGAAAGAGGTTTAGATGAGAAGGCTTGTTTGAGGCCGCCTACGTTGCTTTCCGACTGCAGTAGACCGTTAAGCCCCGTTAGTTCTAGAAGTGAGAGTCCATTGAGCGATAAGACTGGTTTGGGAAGGTTCTCGCCTCAATTTTACGGTAGGCAGCTGCCGTTTACCGACTCTGACGGCTTGTATGACTTTCCAAGTTCGGAGTGCGTGAAAGGGAACAACTGTAAGTCGGCGAACAATACGCAGAAGAAGTCGGGGAGGAAAAGAGACCGGAGAACAACAAGAACTGCGTCACATGAAGTCGCGGGGACGACGAAGTCGACGCTGCCGCATATGCCGCATTCTATGCACAATTTGCTGGAGGTATGTAAAATGTGCAGTTATTTCTTATAGCAGGATAGTTCTTGAATCAAAATTTAGGTCGTGTGTGTGGTCTGGCGGTTACCAAATGCTAAGTTACTACCGTAAGGGTGCTTTATCATTCACCTAAGCATGCCGACACTATCGGCACAGCACGTTCGTGTAGACCAGTCTTTCCCAAAGTGGGCGATAACGCCCCCTTGTGGGCGCTGCAGGCTTAAAGGGGGGCGGTAAGAGACCCAGAAAAAAATCGGGACGTTGTGTAGAGGCTTGGGAGGCGTCATCTACTAGAGGACTCTTATACACCGACTGAGCACTCGACTCTCGACTACAAATGGGGGCGCTAAAAAGAATTTCTTCTCAAAGTGGGCAGTAGACAAAATAAGTTTGGGAACCGCTGGTGTAGACAAATGTTCAGAATAAGGCTGCGTTTCTACCAGAGCTGTGCTGACCGAGGCGAGGTAAATGAAGCGATTCTATTGGTTCTTTACAAACCCTTACCTCGCTACGCATCCTCGCACATCTCTAGTGGAAACGCAGCCTTAAAGCATACACAGAGGTTAATAAATAGGCACTATCGACTTAAAAGTACCGATCTTTTCCTTGCTATAGCAGCTTTTTTTTAATTTGGGCATTTTGAAATCCAGCGAGAGCGCGGCGCTATCGGTTTACGCGTTGCTCTCGCCCACGTGATTTGGAATTTTATTTGTTAATAGATTTTAGGTTACTTAGTATGTTATCCAGAACCTTGCTGCCCCATCGTCCGTCAGTTCTGCGTACTATGTGCCCTGCCCACTGCCACTTCAGCTTGCTAATCCGTCGGGCTATGTCAGCGACTTTAGTTCGTTTACGGATCTCCTCATTTCTGATTCGATCTCATATAGAAACACCGGAAAACGCAGCGTGAGACGTCCACCCAGGAAGGCGCTGGATGCAGGCCGCTACCAACCGTGCGATGTGGGAAGTCATTGGGGGAGGCCTATGTTCAGCAGTGGACGTCCTGTGGCTGAAATGATGATGATGATGACTATGTTATCAATGTGGGTGGTATTTCTATAGCAGTTCAATAAGTTTCAACAACTCACCGTATCTAGGTGCCAGGCTGCCGCGAAGCCTCCACCCGCAGCCGCAAGGGCGGGCGGCGTCGCTCGCGCTCGCAGGCGCCCGCCCCCGCCTCGTCATCTTCATCCGAAGACTCGGTCTCCAACGCTTCCGTCGCATCCGTGGCCTCCGCTAGGGAGTTAAGAGTGCCGCCCGATTTGGAGATGCAGGTGAATGGACTTAGGGGTGGAATAAGCAAGGGTTTAGATGTTCGGATTTTTCGCACGTTGATTGAACTGATTTTGTGGCTTTTAAAGCGCTTTCACATTCGGGCGTTAGTAGCGCGACAGCAGCGCGGCAGCGGCGTTTTTATAATGTGAAGGCATGCATCCGCTGTCACATAGTACGAAATTTCTCGCGCTGCTTAATCCTTAATCGCCCAAATGTGAATGCGCTCTAAAAGATGAAACATAAAATGATGAAAAAAATGATAGCAATTGCAAAAAAATATAACAAGCAAATTATTAAGCATGTTCTGTCAGCGTCTAAAAATTGGAATAGCAATAAAATTTACACACGTGTAATATAAATGACATTATATAACTATTGGAAAATACTTTTACTTACCTTTACTACACTTTACATAAGAGTATAAATAACTGTACATTATAATGCAATCAGTAATACATAGACACCTAATAAATAGTTTATTTTAAAAAGACGACTTTAAATAACAAGCTACTAAATCATAATTATTTTCAATTTTAATATCTTTTTGACTTTGCTGTAAATGTATGCTTACTTGTATTTTTCTAATAATTTTTAATTATTATTTATAGTTCGAGCAACGAAAGTTGAGGCGGACGCATACTCACACTGATTTAATATTAATGAAAATAGAACACACGAATCAGTCTGAATACGCAAGATGCTAGCGCGACAGGCGTATACAGATACAAATCTTTGCTTGTTTCATCGCTTCAACTCTTGCTGCGCGAGCTATTTTTTTGGCACAATTTGTTTTGTATTATTTTTATTTGTGGCTAGGTGTGTAGATGTCCGATTATTTTCAGCCGTGCGAGCCGACTCGCTTGAGGAAACCACTCAGGCGACAAAAGTGCCGTAGCTCTGAGGTGATTGAGAGATGGCAAGCTACAGTACCAATTGAAACATACTCGTAGTTATGAAATTCTATAAGTAGGCGCAGCTAGAATTTTAGAAAATCAATCGTGTTTAATTTCTTGTGATATTATATTAGCTATTTCTTAGTTTCCAATTTAATATGGAGTCTACTAAGGCTCAAAAAGGAATTTTGGATAATTGTTTATCAAAACTAACTACGCCTACATTGAAATTCTATTTCTAGATGAGGTATATCGTACTTGCGCCTCCCAGTTGGCGCCTCAACCAAATTATATCCACCTGTGGCGCAAACTGCCGAGCGCAAGAATACCTATACTTCATTAAACCAGTAGATGATCCATTGCTGTAAGAAGTTTTTCACATGACTGTATTGATATTAAAATATTAATCTAACTTGTGAATTACCATATAGCTTGTCATACCTAACTATACTGTACCTACAACAATGTCAAAGTTAAATTAGTATATGATTGTGTATGTCATCAGTAGGCTATTAAAAGTAGGTACTAGAAAACTACATACATATAACTAACATAATATACTTCTACTGGACTCATCATAGAGATCATTATCATTAGGTGGTTGGAATGAAAGAATGAGTATTGATTGTAGATAGATCCCTAAGGAATGTGTAGATTATGATAGTGTTATGGACCCTTATCGCAGTGATTTCAGTACATTTACTAAAAAAATATAGATCTACTTATAGCGAAAGACCTATAAAGTATCAAGACGCATGGTAGGAGTTAAAGGTGTTCCGCTTTTAAGATTTGGCTAAAATTATGAGCTTGTCTAACTTGAAATTATTTTAGGATACGTCGTCGAAAATATCTTCGAGTTTGGACCTGACGGAGGACGCAAGAAAACCCGTGAAAATCAGCAAGTTGAGAACTATCAGCAATCAAATAAGGTATGGTCATCGTTTTACCTCACTGCTCTTGGGAAAATAATATGGCGAATTCACAAACTTAACTTTGCAGTTGGAAAACGGGTTCTATAATACTACATAACTGCAAATGTAAGATTGTACAGGCGAAAAACTATGAGCAACATTCTGAAAGGAACTGAAACGTAGAGCCCAAGGCAAAGCTCTATTACTTATCTAGTTCATCAGTAGTCATCTAAGCCTAACCTTTCCTAATTTGCAAGCATTACGTTACCCGGTTTAGTACTAGTTGCCCTAATCGAACAATTTTTTTCCCAGGTTCCTTCGCCGCCTAGAACGCAGCCTCAAGATGAAGGAGAGCTTCCCAGCCGTCTCGGACGACGAGGGAGACGAATCCTCCAGCGTCACCTCCCCCCTCCTCCAAGGAAGAAAGGACCTAGGCCGCGTGCCCAGCCACGCCACCTCCGCCCCTATGCTCAGCTCCATAAGACCCAAAATCACGCGCCAACGACGCTACGACCGCTCCCTAGTCAGCGAAGACACCAGAACTCTTAACGCGGCCCCGGGACAGGACAACTCCGATTGAGTGCTAACTTTAAGAGTAGGCGCACACCGTTGATTTTTAGTTGGCCGATAGTTGTGCCCGATTTCAAATTGTATGAAGAATCGGCCAAATCGAATCGGCGTAGTGTGCGCACTCCCATACTGATCAACAGCACGACTAAACTATCGGCCGACGAAAAATCAACGGTGTGCGCCTACTCTAAGTGCTTGTAATTAAACTTAATTCAACATACTCTCTGATACAGGTAATTTTCTAGCATGTTTAATCATAACTTCTCCCGTGTTCGATCATGTTGCGGTAGTTCACGAAACAAGGCAAACTTGATAGTGTGCACGTTTTGACAGCTGTCAAGTCAAAAAGAATATTATACAAAATTCTAATCTAATGTGATACGATACTATTTTAAGACATGAAAAGTAGATTATGTCCTAACTTCTAGAGATGTAATAGGTAGAAGCATTCGTTGAACTTTGATTTCTTTCAGTTTAACTTTTGATGTCTTGTTAGTAAGGTACGCTTGACGTGTAAATAGGTACTTCCTGATAGCAATAACTCGTTTATAAAACATTAGATCGGTTTACTGTAGGTATACTAATGGTAGGAATTATTGTAGGACACTGTTTCTTTGTATCATGTTCGTTCTCATTTCATTATTTTATTTTATACCTTTTTATACAAGTGTAATTTTTAGTCTACTTACTTCGCTATAAGTTTTAATTTCTTTTATAATATAAAACTATGTAAATATGCTTTTTGTAAATATATTAAACGTATTGCTCAAATGCATATTTTGTGAAATCGTTTTTTGCGCACTTTTTGCTATTTTGTAAATAGTTTATCATATTTATTGTAATGTAAATAACAGGACTCGAGAGAAAAATCTTCATTTGGTGAATACTTTAGAATAAAAAGTTGTAAATGTTTAAATTATAAGTACTAAAAATAAGAAAGACCCAAAAAAACGGTATACTTACCAAATGCACAATTACTCTTTATGTACAATCATAGATATGTACTAATAAGGACGCATTTAATTAAGATATTATATTTATAGTTAGTTATTTAACTATATTTTATCCTTAACCTGACGCACCAATAGCTTAGAGTCCGCAATATCGTCTAGTTGATACTTTCTAATTTATTCACTTATATCAAAGTTTATTGTCATTGAGTAATGTTATTTCAGATGATACGTAACCTCGTATACCTATATTAGTATCTACCTTCCTATGTACTAGATGATAGCCTGAAACTATATTCATTCCTACACAATCACCTCCTTAAATAATTCTTTTATAGAGCTAGTATTACAAACAGGTAACGAAGTAACGATTTTCATAGTGAAATATTGATACACTTATAGTTGCCTTCGTATGCCTCATCGACAGTAGATTACAAGTAGGTAGTAAGTAGGACCTGTATATCATCGGTACCGTAGTCCTTTAATGTTTTGTAAATGATAGAAAGCGTCATTTGTCGATTACCCTCTGAGTTGGATAGAATAAGGACATTAGATCTCTTAGAGGCTTAGTCAAGAATACATTTTCAGCAATAATTTTATGTGATTTGACTGTTCAAAGACTGACGTTAACTTTGTGTGCACGAACCAAACCTAGTGCTTCTTTTAGTTTCGGTGTACTGTCGTGTTCTATGTCATAGATGTAAGTTGATGTGTCTTCAAGCGAGAATTAGTTTCTTTTGCAATAAATGGAGTATAGTCTCTAGACAAGTGGTCTGGTTAAGCCATTAGCACTCAAATGCCTTTATCGTATGTATTTATAAAGTATAACAAAACGTATGGATTTATTGTAACAGTCATATTCAGCACATTACATGTCACATCATTAATATTGGAAACTACAATCACGCATAATGTTATAGTTATTATATTCGTAAATTTATAGATCATATCTACAAATAATCACTTCACCAAAAACTTATTACACTTCTTCGATAATTTCCATTTCCCTTTAAAAATGAAAATTACATCACAACTCAAATTGAATCCTATGAAGCAATATTTACCTAAGAGCATCCCTGGTACAATTCACGTAAAGCTGTGTAATAATTATTAATAATGTTAAATCGACGTATAACGTAGATGGGTCGTTAAGGACGAATCGTATAAACTGTAATATTTATGAATAACAATGGCCTGTTCATTGAGACTGATTTTCTAAAAACTTACTCTTGTAAACGTCGCTTTTTTATCCTTTTTTTCGATCTATGTGTCCTTTTCACCTTTCGCTGAATACACTACAATTAAGATTAAAACACCGTGGCAAACAAATAAAAGAAGAAAAAATCTTTTACTTGAAAGTGACACAACGCAAAGCTTTTCGCAGATGGCGCCAGCAACGGATATTTTACTCTTAAATATGTTTGTGTATGATTAAACGAACTTTTTTTATCTGTGCAATAACTTCATAATCCTCCGGTTAAACAGATCCTAACCTAAATGGTGTAGTGTTAATAAATCATCAGGTGATTCGTAATTAAGAATTAATAAATTAAATCCAGGTGAGTGATGTATTACTTTTTTTTTTCGAGATTTATGAGATGGATGAGAAAAATTCATCACATTAACTTAAAGAAAGTACCTACACATAATTTACACAACTCAAAACAAAAAAAATATTAAGGATTACAAAGAAATATAATTATGAGAATAATAACTAGAAATGAAACGGATATCCGGTAACTATCCGGTAGGCCGGATATCCGGCCTAAATTTACTATCCGGCCGGATACCGGATAGTAACTCACTATCCGGCCGGATACCGGATATTAAAAAACTACGACAATTTCCCAATAAAACAAAATGAAATACATTAATCTTTGATGTAAATATCAATAAAATGGCTTATAATAATGACGGCTTTTATTTAAAGTCCAAAAAGTTCCAAAAAAACTTAGACTTACTAACTGAAGACTTANGACTATATTGATGACAAGGATGTGTGGTCAGTTCAGTCTGCACATATTTGATGTACTTAAGTTTGACTATTCTTACCTAATAGATAATTCCTGGCAATAAGTGGTGACTGAGTTTGTTCCGGCGTTTCTTCTCAGCACTTGCCATATGTTTGTCTCGAAGCGCTGGTAGGGCCCAAAAGATAAGGAGACATGTAAAGTGCCCCATAAGGGCTACCTTTTCTTTTTTTATTATTTTCTATTGACGTTCATAAAAGTGCCACTTGTGGTCTAAACTGAATAAATATTTTTGATTTTGATTTTTGATTGATTAAGGCCTTTCAAAAAACTAATTTCTTTTTCTGGCCTATTCACTCTAATGACGAATACATAAATAGTAAATATCTGTTAATATCGAAATATTGCCAAAGAAAAAAGGTGATCTTTATTTCACTGAGGGTCTGATGACATTATGCATGCAGTTCAGTCAGATTACGCAGCAAGTAAACTAATTTAATTTTCGCTATTCAATCACACACACGATAGCAACCGAAATCGCCCGAATTGATCTGCCCTCTAGACAAGTGACAAAATCTGACATTCTATTCGGACGGATTCGATTTTCGAAAAGTGTGACTAGTCTAGTCTATAGGTGCTATACTCGTCACGACAATGGGCCAACTATCCGGCCGCCGGATATCCGGCTATCCGGCCTAGCAGCTGGCCGGATATCCGGTATCCGGTATCCGGCCAAACAACTATCCGTTTCATCTCTAATAATAACATTGGCCATTTTGAATTGTGACTTATCTGTACAATTATCAGTAACATTACCTACACAGTTCTAAAAGAAATTCTTACTAACAAAAGTAGAAAGCACGCATAAAAAGCAATATTTAGGATATGAAAAATATTGTGATTGTATTTTGTGATTAAAAACTGGTCAGTTACGGTATGTTTGGCTTCGTGTGGTTTTAAATTTTGTTGGAGAATTTGTTTTTCAATTCAGGTTTTTAACCAAAAATATTTTTTCTCGTAGGACCATCCGTAGTGACTAGCGACTCACATACACTAAGTGCACCTTTACTGTAAGTGTGGTTCCACACATCGTCTTATGATGAACTTTTATGGTGTTCATGTTTCTGCGACTGTTTCTCGTGTGATGTGGTTATTGTTTGTATACTTTGTATGACGTGAGTGAGTTACGAGAGCAAATATTGTTCTTAACCGAGTTACAATTCTTACTTTTCGTTTTCACTGAATCTGTCGTCGAAAATCAAAAACGATAATGTTTATGTGTATCTTTGGAACACTATACGGACAGAAATCACATGGCGGATTTCAAATGTTGAACGCTGAATATGAGAATGCGTGATTTTCTTAAAATTATGGGTTTGCCAAAACTAAATCTTACATTTAAACTCTTTCAAATCTTAGTAATACAAATATTTATTTCCAGCACACTATTTATTGCATTAAATTAATGATTCTGGTATTTCATCTCATGGTTAATAAATAATTAAAGTAAAATAATAAAGTTGATATTTGCTGGCAAACCCCATTTTTATATTAAACATTTTCTGTACAAAAGTTGCAACTCTGTTTTACGTGGTATATAGCTCTAAGTGATTCGTGTAAATATGTTAACACGTTTAAGGTTGGCATATTATTAAGATGTATATTCATTATTATACTAAGCATCTTATTCACAAACAATGTAAAGATAAAATAAATAAAATTTTGCTTGTTAACATAGATTTTCATTTCATTTTAAAATTACTTTGACTTGCAGGATATTTAAAACAAAATGCTTGTATATTTTCACCTTGCTTTATTTTTTACAGAATATACAAATTGTATTTACACAAGTAAAAAAATAAACGATGGTAATAGGCTATTTAAATATAAATAAGTTGAGTTATTTTTAACTTTTTAATAAAATGTCGAAAAATGGTTGAAATATCGGATCTTCACAACACCGCATACAAAGATAAAATGTAGAAATTAGCAAAAATATTGAAGTCCGAAAACAAATGTATTAATTTCAGATTTCCAACGCAATCACATAACACGTTTTTATCAATTTCTCTAAACAGTCTCAAAAATATTTATGGTCCGACAGAATATCACTTAATGGACAAGCAATAAATGCAAAAATATTTATTATTATAAATAAACAGCTGAATAAATGTATATGTACGTAAATAACGCCTAAAATTAATAAAATAATAAGTAATTTTCAGTGACACATTATTATCATTTAAACCGTTTATTACTTATGGTATCTCTTTAAATGTGTTTCAATAATAACCTTAGAAATATAAAAATCAAAGCCTTTTAAATATTATGCAATACGTAGCGATAAGTACCAACATAGTAAAAATACGTACACATTTATTATTTACTTGTACTTTACGTCCGCAGTATCATTAATTATTAAAAATCAAAAATATTCATCAAAAATTAAATACCCACACAGCATAATTTATTCAATAACACACGTCTTTTTCTTTACTTGCAAGTATTTTCTTAAATAATCACTTTTATGTGACGTGCGATATTTTTATGACAGACTCAAACACGCACCGTTTCTTTTTCACGTTTATATCGAACGCCCCGTGTACGCCCCGTAAGTCATTCATTGAAAAAGTATATTCTGATGTTTTACTGCGACATGACTGTCCTGTCACATTATAATATTGACCAAATGGGTCATTCTTAATTAAGTAATATAATTAAATATACGTAAATACTATACACAGCCTAATCATTGACAATGGGTACAAATGCCTAAAGCTAACGATACGCTATTTGTTTCTGAAAAAGTTACGTTTATGTATTTAAACGGAATTTTTACTTTTGCATTAAAAAACATTTCTCCAACTTTTTGTTCTGTATTACAAAATTCTCACTTTATTCGTAAACTGCGTACTAAAACTTTGCTCTAGTAATCCTTTTTGTAAATCATAAACTTGTGATGCTATGGCTAATGGAAATTAAGCACAATACATTTTTAATGCAAGTCACATCGCTCAGCTACTAACCTAGACATTTTAGGTACTTAATTGCTTACAAAATACTATTCTAATTGTATGATTTTTGTGATCATACCCTAACTAATGACTAGCGGGAATCGCAGGGCTCTTTCCAAAACAATATAAGAAATACTTATTTACAATACCTATCTATTAAGCAAGATACTACGACCGAATTGACGGTGGATTTACTAAGTATTGCCATTCAGTCTCAGAAAAATTATGCAGGCCGGAATAAAAAGAAAATAAAGTTATATCTCGTAGGATATTGCAGTTTATCAAGTGTGAAATTTAAAGTGATTGCACGATTGTGTCTTAATATTAATGCTGAAGCAGTGATTTTGACGAATGCGTAATAAAATTTACAAAACGACTTTGAAATATCTTCGATATTTGTCCGATTTTTTCGATATCAAAATGTACAAAATTAAATACAAATCTCTAAACAAGATAGTCACGTTATGGATCGTCATATTATTACGGTATTTAGTAACTTTTGATGTTTTATAACTTACTACAAAAATGACATTCATTATATTGAATGCGTATCATCAAAAAAAAAATACTCAACGTTCCTCAAACTAAAACATGCCATCATGAATGCCGATAGGGACTAAAATCGCCAGAAATATCGCCAAATTCCTTAACAAAAGCTTCCAGTCATCCGGCACCGCGTGTGGCAACACTGCGATAGTCAAGGCCCTAGTTTCGTGCGCTGCGCACACAAATATATACGAAGTTATGATCAAATTCAAAACTGGCGCACCTGGCACCAAAACCAAGACTCCATGCGTATCAGCCGCCAGCCAAATATGGCTTTGGCTCGCGAATAACTCCAATGTAATCGTGCCAAACCACGCGAACATACTGGAATGCCTCATCCTCAGCGCTCCAGATACGTTTCTGAGGATGATATAGCTGACGATGGGTAAGAAAGCCACGTAGCTGTGGATCTCGTTGCAGTCGAAGGTGTTTGTGCAGAAGAAAGTGAATGTGACGTAGCTGCCCAGCCCGATGAAGGCCAGAAGAGTGGCGCTGAGGGAGATCCCTGGGGTAGTAAAGTATTTATTGAACAATATTTATAACTTTTCATACATTACCTACGCGCCCCAGGCATTCTACACATTGACTAGGGATTGTATAGAATTCCTAAATTATACAAATTGCCGGTAACACATACACTTAACACACATGATACAGGCCCATATTCACAAACATTAATATGAGGTCTCACAGTGCGCGTGAACGCACAGGGTGACATAAGAACCAATCACAGAGCTCTATTCAACGTTGTGCGTTCGATTTGCTGCTTCACTTAGGCAAGCATTGTTTGTGAATACGGGTGATAGTAAAGTTGCAGCATAACAATAATTAGAGAGGTGGTCCCAATAATAACAATAATTAGAAAAGAAATGCTAACCTGGTGTGAACAGGTTGCTGTGGTTGTTATCGTCGAGAAGATTGTAGCGTTGAGCCAAAAGGTACGCCATCGCGAATATTATGCCGAAGATCATTGAGTACCTGGAATTGAGACAAGAATAAGAATTAGCGAAGCCCAGTGATAGTTTGTTGAACTACAGTGTCGGTACATATCAAATTGTCGTTTTGTTGGGATAATTTAGCGATAAAACTAAATTTTGTATTTTATCATCATCATTTATTCTTCACTGGGGGAGGGAGCAGGAAGCCAGAGACAGGCCAGAAGCAGATAGAGGATTTGTTCTACACTGGCCATGCTGACCTGACGGGTTGTGGAAGCCTGGTGTTCGCATATTTACGCTTACGACACCCATAGAAAGAGTGGGGGGTTGCTGTCATCGAAAAAAGGGATTTTTCTGACTCACTTGTCGATCTTACTTCCACCTCAGCCTATCATGATGATAATGAACCTTTAAGAAGACTCACGATCCTGCCTCCATCTTAACCACGCCTGGAGCATATCTTCGTCAGGACTTTACGTAGAGTAGAATCTAAATGACTTGACGATAACACCTATGATCCTCTATGAACAAAACTCACCAATCCTACCTCCATCTTAACCACACCAGGAGCATATCATCGTCAGGAGTTCACGTGGAAACTAAAAGACTTGATGATAATGAACCTTTAAGAAGACTCACCGATCCTGCTTCCATTCCAGCCACCACTGGAGCATATTATCGTCAGGAGTTTACGTAGAATCTAAATGAGCTGATGATTATTATTCTTTATCAACAAGACTCACGAATGCTGCCTCCATCTTAACCACACCTGGAGCATATCTTCGCCAGGAGTTCACGTGGAAACTAAATAACCTGCTGATAATAACAATGAGACTCACCGATCCTGCTTCCATCTCAGCCACCACTGGTGTATGTCGTCGTCGGAGTTCACAAACAGCGCCTTCCACGGCCTAGTGACGAAGACCTTCTGGAAGAACACCTCGCTCATGTACAGCACGGTGACGATGCTGAACAGGCCCACTGTCTTCAGCGCGCTGTACAAGTACTGATAAGGCTTGGACTCTGTGGTGTGGGCAGCGGCGGCTGTCAAGTGCGGCGGGAGAGCGAACATACAGAACATCTGGAATACAGAAGTCGGCTGTTAACCACGACGTGATGTTTCTTGTAACTTTCTAAATTACTAGTACTAAAGTCTGGTCGCCGAGCACGTAGAATTTTGTCCAATGACCCCAGGCTACCTATCCTTATCGCTCGCGGGTTATTATATTGCTGTCGCGCTAGCACACTCACTGCGGGCGCCCGTCGTATAGTCGCAAGGGTCATTGGGCAAAATTGTACGTGCTCGGCGACCAGACTATAGCACTCGTATGTCATAAAATTTTAGACTACCCCAAGTAGCAATTGGCTACTCAAGAGCACAGCACTACCACCTCAAGAGAATAGTTGCAAATGGTGCTAACGTAAGCGCTAATATGACAGATTAAATATGCATATCTACCATTATGGAAGAAAAGAAGTAGGATAAAAAAAATATTTACTACAAAAATCACAAAACCATAAAAAAACAAAGATATAAATGAAACGGTCCGAGGCAAAAAGGCGTTACTCGACATTGATTTTCAGCGGTCCTCCCTCAGCCGAAACTCCTAAAGCCTTTATTTACTTACATAAAACATGACAAAAAATCAAAATAGGAGTATTTCTCAAAAAAAATATACATTTTGAAAAAAAAAAGTGTGCTTTGAAACAGTTCAAAAGTTTTATGTTTATAAATCATCACACAAAAAAAACACACACACAATTTTGAAGGATAAATATTAATCTTTAAGATAACGAAGAATTGTAGCTATAATCCTACTTATTACCAAATATTTAGATATTTTAAAAATAGTCCTTTTTTACCTTTCATACAAAAACCTGTTTGCCACCCTAGCTTTTTCATGTATTTTTGTTTCATAAAATGCGATACGTAACTAAATTATTGTAAATTTCTTTGTATTATCGTTCTACAGTAATCNCCCCATGCGTATCAGCCGCCAGCCAAATATGGCTTTGGCTCGCGAATAACTCCAATGTAATCGTGCCAAACCACGCGAACATACTGGAATGCCTCATCCTCAGCGCTCCAGACACGTTTCTGAGGATGATATAGCTGACGATGGGTAAGAAAGCCACGTAGCTGTGGATCTCGTTGCAGTCGAAGGTGTTTGTGCAGAAGAAAGTGAATGTGACGTAGCTGCCTAGCCCGATGAAGGCAAGTAGCGTGGCGCTGAGGGAGATCCCTGGGGTAGTAATGGATTAATTAGCATTAGAACTAATATTTATCATGCGACATCATAGTTACCAAAAATAGGTTAGTTTCCTAAAAAAACAATTGTAGTCTGTCAAATACATTCATCAAAAAATATTGTACACGTATATTTTTATTTGTCAATCAAACAAGTAATTACGAAGTTATGAAGTTCCGCGTGACGTCACAAAGTGCTACACTTTTAAGCACGCCTTGACGTCATGGGCCTCTTCTTTTGAATTTTGGCACGCTTTATCTCTTTCAATTTTCATTAAGAAAGAGTGAAAAATATGTGTTGAGTATTTTCTGATAAGTTAACCGATGGACTAATTTAAACTCTTGCTTTTTAAATTAATTGAAGTTGCGAATTTTCATGAATGCTCAAACTCTTGGTTAGCACGGGCAACGTACGAAACAGTATTACCTATATATTAATTTCTTTTAACATTTTTCATATTAGCATAATAGCAATAGCATTTAGCATGCTACTAACCTGGGGTGAACAGGTTGCTGTGGTTGTTATCGTCTAAAAGATTGTAGCGCTGCGCCAGAAGGTACGCCATCGCGAATATTATGCCGAAGATCATTGAGTACCTGGAATTGAGATAAAAATAAGAATTAGCGATGCCCAGTGATAGTTTGTTGAACTACAGTGCCCATGTGAAATTGTCGTTTTGTTGGGATAATTTAGCGATAAAATTAAATTTTGTGTATTTTATCATCATCATTTATTCTTCACTGGGGGAGCGGGAAGCCAGAGACATGCCAGAAGCAAATGGAGGATTTGTTCTACACTGCCCATGCTGACCAGATGGGTTGTGGAAGCCTGATGTTCGCATATTACGCTTACGACATCCACAGAAAGAGTGGGGGGTTGCTGTCATCGAAAAAAGGGTTTTTTCTGACTCGCTTGTCGATCTTACTTCCACCTCAGCCACCATATCATGATGATAATGAACCTTTAAGAAGACTCACGATCCTGCCCCCATCTTAACCACACCTGGAGCATATCTTCGTCAGGAGTTCACGTAGAATCTAAATGACTTCACGATAACACCCATGATCCTCTATGAACAAGACTCACGGGTCCTGCTTACATCTCAGCCACCACTGGTGTATGTCATCGTCGGAGTTCACAAACAGCGCCTTCCACGGCCTGGTGACGAAGACATGTACTGAACGACATACTATACGGTGCGTCGAAATGCGTCAATGGAACGCACGCACAACGGGCAAAGAGCCAAGGAGATGAGGCAAGGTGCTGACGTAGTGACTACGCAGCGCAGTTCTAAGACTGACATACCATTCACTAACGCTGGGACGTTGAAGACAGTGATTCGTTGCGACATTGCATCGCTAGTTTGGCACTCAATGCGTCAAAATCGTTGCGCTACGACGACTTCTTATCTTTCGTAAGGCTTAGACTCGGCTGTGTGGGCTACTATTAAAGACTCACCAATCCTGCCTCCATCTTAACCACACCTGGAGCATATCTTCGTCAGGAGTTCACGTGGAAACTAAATAACCTACTGATATTTTCCATGAACAAACTCACCGGTCCTGCTTCCGTTAGAGTTGCGTTACGCTGCGACGTCAAAATGCTCGTGTGTCTTAAATGCGTCGAAATCGTTACGACGCAACGTCGTAGTGCACCGGTGAATCTCATAGGGCTTGCGGCATCTCTCCTAGGCTTGAACTCAGCTGTGTGGGCTATTATTAAAAGATTCACCGATCCTGCCTCCATCTTAACCACACCTGGAGCATATCATCGCCAGGAGTTCACGTGGAAACTAAAAGACCTGATGATAATGAACTTTAAGAAGACTCACCGGTCCTGCTTACATCGCAGCCACCACTGGAGCATATTATCGTGAGGAGTTTACGTAGAATCTAAATGAGCTGGTGATTATTATTCTTTATCAACAAGACTCACGAATGCTGCCTCCATCTTAACCACACCTTGAGCATATCTTCTTCAGGAGTTCACGTGGAAACTAAATGACCTGATGATAATGAACCTTTAAGAAGACCCACCGATCCTGCCTCCATCTTAGCTACCACTGGAGCATATTATCGTCAGGAGTTTACGTAGAATCTAAATGAGCTGATGATTATTATTTTTTATCAACAAAACTTACTAATGCTGCCTCCATCTTAACCACGCCTGGAGCATATCATCGCCAGGAGTTCACGTGGAAACTAAAAGACTTGATGATAATGAACCTTTAAGAAGACTCACCGATCCTGCTTCCATCTCAGCCACCACTGGAGCATATTATCGTCAGGAGTTTACGTAGAATCTAAATGGGCTGATGATTATTATTCTTTATCAACAAGACTCACGAATGCTGCCTCCATCTTAACCACACCTTGAGCATATCTTCTTCAGGAGTTCACGTGGAAACTAAATGACCTGCTGATAATAAGAATGAGACTCACCGATCCTGCTTCCATCTCAGCCACCACTGGTGTATGTCGTCATCGGAGTTCACAAACAGCGCCTTCCACGGCCTGGTGACGAAGACCTTCTGGAAGAACACCTCGCTCATGTACAGCACGGTCACGATGCTGAACAGGCCCACTGTCTTCAGAGCTCTGTACAAGTACTGATAAGGTGATACTGCGACGTCTGAGGTTTTGTTCCGTAATTTCTACATGTACTGAACGACATACTATACGGTGCGTTGAAATGCTTCTACGGAACGCTAAGATATGCCACACGGTGCGTTAAAACGACGTGCGCGCAAAGTAGAAAGATACAAAGACACGAGGCGAGGAGGGTGATGCGGTACGATGACGTAGCGACAACGCAGCGCAGTTCTAAGACTGACATACCATTCACTAACGCTGGGACGTTGAAGTCAAGTGATGCGTTGCAACATTGCATCGCTAGTCAGGCACTCAAGTCGAAATCGTTGCGCTGCGACGACGCAACGCACTGGTACCGCGTATCTTTCGTAAGGCTTAGACTCGGCTGTGTGGGCTACTATTAAATAAAAGACTCACCGATACTGTTTCCATCTTAGCTACCACTGGAGCAAATCATCGTCGGAGTTCACGTGGAAACTAAATGACTTGATCATAATGAACCTTTATAAAGACCGAACAACTCACCGATCCTGCTTCCATCTCAGCCACCACTGGTGTATGTCGTCGTCGGAGTTCACAAACAGCGCCTTCCACGGCCTGGTGACGAAGACCTTCTGGAAGAACACCTCGCTCATGTACAGCACGGTGACGATGCTGAACAGGCCCACTGTCTTCAGCGCGCTGTACAAGTACTGATAAGGCTTGGACTCTGTTGTGTGGGCAGCGGCGGCTGTCAAGTGCGGCGGGAGAGCGAACATACAGAACATCTGGAATACAAACAGCCTTGTAGTATCAGACTAGCTAAACACAGTATAAATAAAAAGAAGCCACGATAGCTGAACGGTGAAGGGGTCGGACTTGCTGACTCGTGATCCGAGGAACGCGGATTTGATACCCGCCGCTCGACTATCGTGGTGAGCCCATTCGTAATTCAAGCTTAATTAGCTTACCAGGTCTAAAAAAATATTGAGGGTTACCGGGACTAAAAAAAAATATAAGAAATTACGGGACTAAAAAAATTAAAAGAAATTTTTTTTTCGCCATCTAGTTCTAAAGTAAAGCTTGTACAATGAATACTGGACAACGGTACCACATTCTTAAATAGGCGGGCAGGACCTTAGTATCCAGTGCAGTGGCGCAGAGAAGTGACACTACATTTGCTATATTAGTGTAACTCGACTGTAGCCATAAAAAGAAAAATAATTCAAACTGACATTACGAGTAACAAGACTGCCCCACAAGGTAGACCAACATTTTCATAAAGCGTAGTAGGCGTAGCAGGAAGGCGCTGGATGCAGGCCGCTACTAATTGGTCAACATGGAAATCAATGGGGGAACGTAGGCCACGTTCAGCAGTGGACGTCCTGTGGCTGAAATGGTGATAATGATGACATTTACAGAATAATTAATTTAGCAACTCACCAGCGTATACCAGAAGGAGACCAGCGGTATGAAGCTGTAGAACTGGTAGGGCCGGTTCATGGTCAGACACAGCACCACCGTCAGGAAGTTCAGGCGGAAGATCACGCGGAAGTAGCGCACCGCGCTCGTGTCACCCGTCTTCCACGTGTAGTAGAAGTGGCCGTAGCCTGAAGGAATAGGGCTCATTTTAGCTTGTCTCATCGATAGCCAATAAGGAGGAAAATTCTCTAACAACACACAGTTATTGTTGAACTAAAAACGTGCAGTAGAAGTGATCGTAGCCTAAAGAAATAGGGCTTAGTTTACTCTGTGCTAACACCTAGCGCACCGGGCTCGTGTCGCCCGTCTTCCACGTGTAGTAGAAGTGACCGTAGGCTGAGGGAATAGGGTTTAATTCACTTTGTGCTGCTGATAACTAACTGGTACCAATACCTTCATAACTATCATAATAAATTATTACTCTGGTCCTAAAATGTATTAAAAATGACGGTAGCCTGAGAATTAGCTTACTTTGTGGTATCCATAACCAGTACCGATAAAAAATTGATTAAATTACATTAGATCCGGCAGATGGCGCTGCGATCTCTCTTTCCATTAACATTTTGACCAGATGTCTAACGGGTGCATTAGTATAGGCAACATTTTTGATACAAAATAGTTCTTATTGCAACTGTAAGGAAGATGCCAGACGGTGCGTTCCGGCGTTTCGATTGAGACACACTACCACACTTTGGTGATGCGGCAAAATGTTTGATTGGCACCGTGTGTCTTCTCTTCTGTATCCTTCTGTAATCTTCTGTTTAGTTCAGTTCTCACCCGTGAGGAACAGGTAGGCGGAGACCAGCGNAACTGGCTCCACCAGCACTCACCCGTGAGGAACAGGTAGGCGGAGACTAGCGCTCGCACCAGCATGTAGATGGGAGCAGCTTGCTGGTCCCGGGACCTGGTCTCCAGGAGCACCAGCCGCAGCCTCCACCAGCACTCACCCGTGAGGAACAGGTAGGCGGCGACCAGCGCTCGCACCAGCATGTAGATGGCAGCAGCTTGCTGGGCCCGGGACCTGGTCTCCAGGAGCACCAGCCGCAGCCTCCACCAGCACTCGTTCGTTTCAGCCAAATGACGTCCACTGCTGGACAAAGGCCTCCCCCAAGGTTTTCCACAATGAACGGTCCTGCGCTGCCCGCATCCAGGCTCTTTCCGCGACCTTTACCAGATCGTCGGTCCACCTAGTAGGAGGCCTGCCCACGCTACGTCTTCCAGCCCGTGGTCGCCACTCAAGAACTTTTCGGCCCCAACGGCCATCGTCTCTACGAGCTATGTGCCCCGCCCACTGCCACTTGATTTTAGCAATTCTGCGAGCTATGTCGGTCACTTTGGTTCTCCTGCGGATCTCCTCATTGATTCGATCACGCAGGGAAACTCCAAACATGGCCCACTCCATCGCCCTTTGGGTGACCTTGAGCTTTCTTATGAGGCCCATAGTAAGCGACCACGTTTCAGATCCATAGATCAACACTGGCGAAGACTTTTGTCTTGAGACACTGCGGTATTTCGGACGTGAGTATATTGCGTAGCTTCCCGAACGCTGCCCAGCCGAGTTGGATTCGACGATTGACCTCTTTCTTGAAGTTGGCCCGACCTAACTGGCTCCACCAGCACTCACCCGTGAGGAACAGGTAGGCGGAGACCAGCGCTCGCACCAGCATGTAGATGGGCAGCACCTTGCTGGCACCTGTGACCTGGTACACCAGGATCACCAGCTGCATCCAGCCCTTCCATTCGTCTGTTTGCTCGCGGTGGAGGACTCTAAAACATTCATTATATAATTACGTTTGCATTTAACAAGTGTCATTTTTTATAGTTACTTTTGTGAAGCCTTAATGTAACCTTGTTGGTGTTCAAATAAATAAATAAATAAATTATGATTATCATTATGCAGGAGTTAGGGCCTTGCCACACTGGCGGATTACTAGCGGTTTCAAAGCGGTGACGCGGCGAACACGAGGCGAAAACTCTAAGCGGAAACGTTGCGCATCCGCGGCGTCCCTGGAGCCGTTGCCGTCGTCGCGTAGCCGTTGAAAACGCTTGCAATATCCCAGTGTGGCAGCTCACTTAGGCCCAGGACGCACTCATCGCGATAACATTCGGGCGACAACCGAGCGAAGTTCTTGCGACTATGCAAAATAGGACCGAAGTATACGCGAATACTCGGCTACACACATCGCGATAGCACGAATCTTCGGGTCATCGCGATGAGTGCGGCCTCGGCCTTAGAGAAGAACTGTTCATTATTTTTAATAGTCCACGCAAAGAAAGGCATTTTAACTTTGACTTTATCATCAGGCTTGTTTATCTCCCCAAATAGGCATCGAAAACAAAACACGCTCGGCGGCCACGTCGGTATGGTAATCCGCAAGAAATTCACGATGCGATGCGTGTTGTTCTAACGAGTCAAATGACGTCAAAACATTTCAAGTAACTAATAAAAAATATGTTCACTCATAAAAAAAGAAAAGTACTGGCCGATTCCATGCCAAAACATTCGCTAAAACAAAACAAAAAAATATAAAAAAAACAACTCACTTGCTAGACCTCGAGTCGTCCGTAAAAAACAGGCCCAACGCGAACACATACCCTACAGGCAGCCAGAAACTCCACTCGGAATAATATTTGTTCTCCTTCATGAAGAAATTTGTTCGGTCACATAAGTAGAAGTACGCCATGATCATTCCCAGTTTGGCTAACGCGGCTATAGGTGATGACGCTGCAGGTGGAGGTGACGTCACTAGCGTGTAGCCGCCGAGCCGTTGAGGCAGACTTTGGGTCCAGCGCCACACCTTTCTTGCGATGGACACGACTGCGCTACAACAATTAGAGAGAGTATTACAAAGCTGGTGCCTAGAAGAAGAATGAAAAGGTACCGTGGTGTGAGTGCGTTAAAACAGTTTCATTTAGATCGTAGGGCAGACTCTGGGAGCAGTCACAGCTTGTTTGGAATGGCTACGATAAGGTTTTTTGTTCCGCGCGAGTCCTAGCACAGATGCCATATCTCACTTGTCTATCACAGATTGATGCAGCTTAAAACGAGTGCTTAAAGTCGTGTTTTGACTTACTAGACCACGAAAAGGGGTAGTAAACAAATATAGTGGCATGTCAAACTTCGGCAACCTAAAATAAATTCTATCTACACTACCTAAGGTTGCTTCTCCACTCACCAAAGCGCAAACAGTGCTATCGTAAGCAGTTGCAACGGCGTGTGAGGTTCTGGTGACGCACAACACGAGCCATCGTTAAAGTTCATATGATCGTTGCAGAACATATTAAGCAACAGTTGCGCGGAATGCCACAAACAGTAACCTAAAGTATACTCTAACACAACTACATAAAGTCGCTTTTCCACTCACCAGAGCGCGAAGTGCTATAGTAAACTGCTGTAATGACGCGAGCGTCTTCAGCAATCTAAAATAAACTCTAACACGGCTACGTAAAGTCTCTACTCCACTGACCAAAGCGTGAAATCCTTTTGTAAGCACTGTAGAGGCGCGTAAGAGTAGGCGCACACCGTTGATTTTTAGTTGGCCGATAGTTGTGCCCGATTTTAAATTGTATGAAGAATCGGCCAAATCGAATCGGCGTAGTGTGCGCACTNTTTTCTACCCCAACGGCCATCGTCTCTACGAGCTATGTGTCCCGCCCACTGCCACTTGATTTTAGCAATTCTGCGAGCTATGTCGGTCACTTTGGTTCTCCTGCGGATCTCCTCATTTCTGATTCGATCACGCAGGGAAACTCCAAGCATGGCCATCTCCATCAGACCTTGAGCCTTCTTATGAGGCCCATAGTAAGCGACCACGTTTCAGATCCATATATCAACACTGGCAACACACACTGCTCGAAGACTTTTGTCTTAAGACACTGCGGTATTTCGGACGTGAGTATATTGCGTAGCTTCCCGAATGCTGCCCAGCCGAGTTGGATTCGACGATTGACCTCTTTCTCGAAGTTGGCCCTACCACAGAATAATAATAAGTACTACGTACAGAAATTTTACTTCGCGAAGGTATTTAAAAAAATGTATGCTCAATGTCATTAACAATATGGTGTAATTTAGCCTGTCTCAAGAGTCAAGCACCATTTTGTTGACAAACGTCAATGATCGGCACTACGCCGCACANCAGGGCCTTCCTGCTACCTTTATGAGGTCGTCGGTCCACCTTGTGGGTGGACGTCCTACGCTGCGCTTTCCGGTACGTGGCCTCCAGAACCTTGCTACCCCATCGGCTATTACTTCTGCGTATTATGCCACTTTAGCTTGCTAATCCGTTGGGCTATGTCAGCGACTTTAGTTCGTTTATGGATCTCCTCCTCATTTCTGATTCGATCTCGTAAATAAACATCGAACAACCTCTCCATAGCACGTTGTGCAATTTTGAGCTTATTTATAAGGCCTATATTGAGAGGTCACGTTTCCGAGCCGTATTGCAGATCCATTATGTTCACATCTACCTATACTTTTATATGCCAACTAACGTACACAAAAACTGCTGATACATGGTGCAGATAATGTGATAACATTTTGGTGTACTGCCTAACTGCCTATTGGATTCTTTCGGAAAAAGTAAGTATGTGAGTGACTTTGATTATTTTGAACACTCTGTTCAAGATAAGTAAATTAGGCTAAAATATCTTTTTTGATGGTTTTTCGAACGAAGATAATAATTGAAGACATGAATGGAAGAAGGTAATTAATGTCGGATATCAGATTTTTCTCAGTTTGATGATTGTATAAAGGTGTTATATTTCAAACCTTATGTTTGAAAAGAAGGTGACCTACTTGATGAAGGTGTTATGTACGTTATCTTTTTAAAAAGATAAAGGAAAAGGGACTCACACCTCTTTAAAGAAGCCAAAAAAAAGAATATTTTTTGCGAAAGTATAAGACTATTAAACAGAAGAACTGGAAATTATTACAGATCTATCAAAATTGAAAATTGAATCCCGCTACCTACTGTAATCGATTATGATAGTCAAAATGATTTAAGGATCTATTCAGGACTACTCTAGAAAGTAAAACAATCTTTCATAACCATTGAAGTCAAGGTTCTTGCTTGAAGACTTTTTTTAATCATGTCTGTCGGTATTATAAGTGCCAAGAAGTAGGTACATAGCTAGGTAAAGGGTAGATATCTACCTAATCTACCTTACACCATAACCAGTAGACCAGTAGTGAATATTATAATGTCAATAATCGACTTAGGCTACCTAGTACCTACAAACGTAGGTTCTAGTTTGAAAGGTTTTGGCGTGAAATGAGGTAATAGGGGGCTGTAGTAAGTTAGACTAAGTATATTTTTCTATTAATAATTACTTTAAGTGCACTAAAATCAATAATCCATAAATAAAAATATTCAAAATTTTGCATGTCCATTACTCGCTTGGCCGCGCGTGCCCGCAAAAAGTATTTATGTAGTAATATTCGGCACCATAGGTACTTACGACTACATAAGGTTTGACCGCTACAGTTTGCAACAGTAGCNCCTAAAATAAACTCTAACACGGCTACGTAAGGTCGCTTCTTCACTGACCATAGGGTGAAGTCCTTTAGCAAGCACTGTAGAGGCGCGTGCGTCATCGGCAACCTAAATTAAACCTTCAAACCACTAAACAAAGTCTCTTTTCCACTCACCAAAGCGCGAACAGTGCTATCGTCAGCAGTTGCAACGGTGTATGAGGTTCTGGTGACGCGCAACACGACCCATCATTGAAATTCATATGGTATGGAATGCCACAAATACTAATCTAAAGTATACTCTAACACAACTACATAAAGTCGCTTCTCCGCTCACCAGAGCGCGAAGAGTGCTACAAGAGCTACTGTAATGACGCGTGTACCTCCAGCAAGCTAAAGTAAACTCTAACACAACTACGTAAGATCGCTTTTCCACTCACCAAAGCGCAAACAGTGCTATCGTCAGCAGTTGCAACGGTGTATGAGGTTCTGGTGACGCGCAACACGACCCATCGTTGAAATTCATATGATCGTTGCAGAACATATTGAGCAACAGTTGCGCGGAGTGCCACAAACAGTAACCTAAAGTATACTCTAACACAACTACATAAGGTCGCTTCTCCTCTCACCAGAGCGCGAAGAGTGCTATAGATATATATAGATATATATGATTTGCAATCTGTTGCTGTACCTTAATAAAATAAATAAATAAATAAATAGTAAGCTGCTGTAATGGCGCGTGCGTTTTCAGCAACCTAAAATAAACTCTAACACGGCTACGTAAGGTCGCTTCTCCACTGACCATAGGGTGAAGTCCTTTAGCAAGCACTGTAGAGGCCCGTGCGTCTTCGGCAACCTAAATTAAGCCCTAAAACCACTAAATAAAGTCTCTTTTCCACTCACCAGAGCGCAAACAGTGCTATCGTCAGCAGTTGCAACGGTGTATGCGGTTCTGGTGACGCGCAACACGACCCGTCATTAAAGTTCATATGATCGTTGCAGAACATATTGAGCAACAGTTGCGCGGAATGCCACAAACAGTAACCTAAAGTATACTCTAACACAACTACATAAGGTCGCTTCTCCGCTCACCAGAGCGCGAAGTGCTATAGTAAGCTGCTGTAATGGCGCATATGTCTTCAACAACCTAAAGTAAACTCTAACACGGCTACGTAAGGTCGCTTCTCCACTGACCATAGCCTGAAGTCCTTTAGCCAGCACTGTAGAGGCGCGTGCGTCTTCGGCAACCTAATTTAAACCCTAAGAGTAGGCGCACACCGTTGATTTTTAGTTGGCCGATAGTTGTGCCCGATTTTCAATTGTATGAAGAATCGGCCAAATCGAATCGGCGTAGTGTGCGCACTCCCATACATGCCCATACTGATCAACTGCCCGACTAAGCTATCGGCCGACGAAAAATCAACGGTGTGCGCCTACTCTAAAACCACTAAATAAAGTCTTTTCCACTCACCAGAGCGCAAACAGTGCTATCGTCAGCAGTTGCAACGGCGTGTGCGGTTCTGGTGACGCACAACACGATCCATCATTGAAATTCATATGGTATGGAATGCCACAAATAGTAATCTAAAGTATACTCTAACACAACTACATAAGGTCGCTTCTCCGCTCACCAGAGCGCGAAGTGTTATAGTAAGCTGCTGTAATGGCGCGTGCGTCTTCAGCAACCTAAATTAAACCCTAAAACCACTATAAAAGTCTATTTTCCACTCACCAAAGCGCGAACAGTGCTATCGTCAGCAATTGCAACGGCGTATGAGGTTCTGGCGACCCGCAACACGACCCGTCATTAAAGTTCATATGATCGTTGCAGAACATATTGAGCAACAGTTGCGCGGAATGCCCCAAACCTAGAGTATAATCTAACACAACTACATAAAATCGCTTTTCCACTCACCAGAGCGCGAAGTGCTATAGTAAGCTGCAGTAACGGAATGTCCCAAACAGTAACCTAAAGTATACTCTAACACGGCTACGTAAGGTCGCTTCTCTACTGACCATAGCGTGAAATCCTTTTGTAAGCACTGTAAAGGCGCGTGCGTCTTCGGCAACCTAAATTAAGCCCTAAAACCACTAGATAAATGCCTGTTTTCACCATCAATCCCTAATTTTTAAGTGACCCCTATGGTAACAATTTTAAAACAAATAACAGGAATTTTGTTTACATAGGGGTCACTTAAAAATTAGGGATTGATGGTGAAAACGGGCAAAAGTCTCTTTTCCACTCACCAGAGCGCAAACAGTGCTATCGTCAGCAATTGCAACGGCGTGTGCGGTTCTTGTGACGCGCAACACGACCCATCATTGAAAATCATATGGTATGGAATGCCACAAATAGTAATCTAAAGTATACTCTAATACAACTACATAAGGTCGCTTCTCCGCTCACCAGAGCGCGAAGAATGCTACAAGAGCTACTGTAATGACGCGTGCACCTCCAGCAACCTAAAGTAAACTATAACACAACACGTAAGATCGCTTTTCCACTCACCAGAGCGTGAAATCCTTTTGTAAGCACTGNAGTTGCAACGGTGTGTGCGGTTCTGGTGACGCGCAACACGATCCATCGTTAAAATTCATATGATCGTTGCAGAACATGTTGAGCAACAGTTGCGCGGAGTGCCGTAAGGCTGTGTTGCTGAGCGATGCTCCGTCGTCGGACGCCGCGCCGCTTGCTACTAGGCGGGTAGAACTCCATATCTTGGCTGAACTGTGGGTTAGGATCTGGAAGGATGTCATAGTTGATATTGTTATTTATTTAAAGACTTTATTGCACACACATAAGAATGTTCCGTACAAAAAGGCGAGCTGGAAGCTCAAGGTCAAAGGGCGATGGAGTGTGCGATGCGATTTCCCTGCGTGATCGAATCAGAAATGAAGGAGAACCAGAGTGACTGACATAGCCCGCAGAACTAAAATCAAGTGGCAGTGGGCGGGGCACATAGCTCGTAGAGCTGATGGCCGCTGGGGCAGGAAAGTTCTTGAGTGGCGACCACGAGCCGGAAGACGTGGCGTGGGCAGGCCTCCCACTAGATGGACCGACGATATGGTGAAGGTCGCGGGAGGTGCCTGGGTGCGAGCGGCGCATTACCGGTCTTTGTGGAAATCCTTGGGGGAGGCCTTTGTCCAGCAGTGGACGTCTTTCGGCTGAAACGAACGAACTTATTAATCTAGCTCTTTATTAGGGCTTGCAATATCGGATAGTTTTCAACTCCGGAACTGATTTCCGATATTGGGCACTCAACTCCGGAATTCCGGTTCTAGTTCCGGAGTTGGTTAAAAAAAGAAAGCGCTTCCCGACAAACACGTATACGTATGTGGCCTCCACTTTAGAACCTTGCCCCATCGGCCGTCTGTTCTACGTACTATGTGCCCTGCCCATTGCCACTTTAGCTTGGTAATCCGATCGCTATATGTCAGGCAACTTTAGTTCGTTTACGAATCTCCTCATTTCTGGTTCGATCTCGAAAAGAAACACCGAGCATAGCACTCTCCATACCATGGTGTCCATGGTGTGCAACTTTGAGCTTATTATAAGGCCTTATAGTAAGAGGCCACATTTCCGAACCGTGTGTCATCACTACTGGTAACACACACTGATTGTAGACTTTCGTCTTTAGGCACTGAAGTGTTTTGGTCGAAAAGATGTTATGTAGTTTCACGAATGCTGCCCAGCTGAGTTGAATTCGACATAATATTACATCTCCCTGCCTCACAGCTCGCTGCAGAGGAATCGTAGAGGAATCGCCCTCGTGTTCAGCCAGGCTCAAAGACCTTCTCATAGTCTAAGAACGCCAAGCATATAGGCAAGTTAGACTCTTCGGTTTTCTGTATAACCTGCCGTAGCGTATAGATGCGGTATATGGTAGTGTAAACGTTTCGATAACTGGCTTCCTCGAGAGACTATAAGTCNCCTTGCTGGCACCAGTGACCTGGTACACCAGGATCACCAGCTGCATCCAGCCCTTCCATTCGTCTGTTTGCTCGCGGTGGAGGACTCTAAAACATTCATCAAGATTATCATTATGCAGGAGCTCTTCATATTATATTCACACAACAAAAGCGGTAAAGCTTCATCATCATCAGGTCTCTACTGCAGGAGCACAGGAGGGCTAAATTAATGTGGCTCACACTCCCTATTGAAATTGGACAGACATATTAGGGTCCCCAACTGTCTGGTAAGTGTAGGCCTTCAACGACATCCACAGAAAGCGTAGGTAAAAATGTGTATTGCAAGCTGGTTGTAAATCGAAAAGATACCAGCGTTTAAACTTCGCATGGAAGCTAGCGAGTGTGACGTCACAAAACACGCGCCCACGCTAACATGGGACGCTGCGGGTTGTTCTAATGTATCAAGTGACGTCACAAGTACATGATATCTTTTTTTAGATAATTTCAGACATTTAAAAAAAAGAAAAGCACTGGCTGATTTCATGCCAAGACCTTCGCTAAAACAAAACAAAAAAATATTTAAAAAAAACTCACTTGCTAGACCTCGAGTCGTCCGTAAAAAACAGGCCCAATGCGAACACATACCCTACAGGCAGCCAGAAACTCCACTCAGAGTAATATTTATTCTCTTTCATGAAGAAATTTGTTCTATCACATAAGTAGAAGTACGCCATAATCATTCCCAGTTTGGCCAACGCGGCTATAGGTGATGACGCTGCAGGTGGAGGTGACGTCACTAGTGTGTAGCCGCCGAGCCGTTGAGGTAGACTTTGGGTCCAACGCCACACCTTTCTTGCGATGGACACGACTGCGCTACAACAATTAGAGAGAGTATTACAAAGCTGGTGCCTAGAAGAAGAATGAAGAGGTACCGTGGTGTGATTGCGTTAAAATAGTTTCATTTAGAAATATAGTTGGGTAGGCTCTGGGAGCAGTAACAGCTTATTTGGAATGGTATAAGATAAGGTAAAAAGAATATCCCATCAAAAACAATACTTGTCAAAAAAACCAAGTCTCGCAACTCAGTTGTTCTACGGTAAAAAGTTGTGAGATTCATGTAATACCTACCAAGTCCAGGCCAGGAAATCTTTAACGTTTTACATAAATATATTGACTTGGCCATCGCATGAAAACACGTGTAAATTAAATTATTTAGTGCGATGGCCAAGTCAATAATTTATGTAAAACGTTAACGATTTCCTGGCCTGGACTTGGTAGGTATTACATGAATCTCACAACTTTTTACCGTAGAACAACTGAGTTGCGAGACTTGGTTTTTTTGACAAGTATTGTTTTTGATGGGATCTCATTTCTTTTTGTATTTTGTAGACAGCAGTTATGTATCTAGAAAACTGGACCAAAATTGAAAAATTTTACCCGACTTGGCGGGGACACTACCGTGCGCCTTTATATTTATATGGTATTACAAAGTTATTTAAGTAAGTAGTTAAATACTTATAAAACTGGACCGAAATTGAAAAATTTTGCTCGACTTGGCGGTTGCACTACCGTGCCCCCAAATATTTTAGTTTTTCCTTGATTCATACACCAAACACTACTTATATTCCAAATTTGAAGCTTCTAGGTCTGCTAGAAGTGCCTTAGAATTTTGATGATCGGTGAGTCAATCAGTCAGTCAGTCAGTGAGTGACAAAATTAAGAAACTTTGACCCGTTATAATTCTTAAACTACTGGTTCAAATTGAATGAAATTTGAAATATACCGTGTCTTTACAATGCCTGCATAGCTAATGAAAATTCAGCCTTCTAGTTTTATCCACAACGAAGTTACAGGCGGTCGAAAATGGCCTGAATTGCTTCGAGAAAAGGATGGTACGGCCGTGCCGCTTTTTTGCTCGACTTGGTGGGGGCACTGCCGTGCCCCCAGATACAGTAAGGTTTTTGGTTCCGGGCGAGTCCTAGCACAGATGCCACATCTTGCTTGTCTATCACAGATTGATGCAGCTTAAAACGAGTGCTTAAAGTCGTGTTTTGACTCACCAGACCACAGAAAGGGGTAGTAAACAGATATAGTGACATGGCAAACTTCGGCAACCTAAAATGAGTACTATCTACGCTACATACGGTTGCTTTTCCACTCACCAGAGCGCAAACAGTGCTATCGTCAGCAGTTGCAACGGTGTATGCGGTTCTGGTGACGCGCAACACGACCCGTCATTAAAGTTCATATGATCGTTGCAGAACATATTGAGCAACAGTTGCGCGGAATGCCCCAAACAGCAAACTAAAGTATACTCTAACACAACTACATAAGGTCGCTTCTCCGCTCACCTGAGCGCGAAGTGCTATAGTAAGCTGCTGTAACGGAATGTCCCAAACAGTAACCTAAAGTATACTCTAACACGGCTAAGTAAGGTCGCTTCTCTACTGACCATAGCGTGAAATCCTTTTGTAAGCACTGTAGAGGCGCGTGCGTCTTCGGCAACCTAAATTAAACCCTGAGAGTAGGCGCACACCGTTGATTTTTAGTTGGCCAATAGTTGTGCCCGATTTTAAATTGTATGAAGAATCGGCCAAATCGAATCGGCGTAGTGTGCGCACTCCCATACATGCCCATACTGATCAACTGGCCGACTAAACTATCGGCCGACGAAAAATCAACGGTGTGCGCCTACTCTAAAACCACTAAACAAAGTCTCTTTTCCACTCACCAGAGCGCAAACAGTGCTATCGTCAGCAATTGCAACGGTGTATGCGGTTCTGGTGACGCGCAACACGATCCATCGTTAAAGTTCATATGATCGTTGCAGAACATGTTGAGCAACAGTTGCGCGGAGTGCCACAAACAGTAATCTAAAGTATACTCTAACAACACTACATAAGGTCGCTTTTCCGCTCACCAGAGCGCGAAGTGTTATAGTAAGCTGCTGTAATAGCGCGTGCGTCTTCAGCAACCCAAAATAAACTCTAACAAGGCTACGTAAGGTAGCTTCTCCCCCGACCATAGCGTGAAATCCTTTTGTAAGCACTGTAGAGGCGCGTGCGTCTTCGGCAACCAATATTAAACCTTAAAACCCACTAAATAAAGTCTCTTTTCCACTCACCAAAGCGCAAACAGTGCTATCGTCAGCAATTGCAACGGTGTATGAGGTTCTGGTGACGCGCAACACGATCCATCGTTAAAGTTCATATGATCGTTGCAAAACATATTGAGCTTGAGTAACAGTTGCGCGGAGTGCCACAAACAGTAACCTAAAGTATACTCTAATACAACTACATAAGGTCGCTTCTCCGCTCACCAGAGCGCGAAGAGTGCTATAGTAAGCTGCTGTAATGACGCGAGCGTCTTCAGCAACCTAAAGTAAACTCTAACACGGCTACGTAAGGTTGCTTCTCCACTGACCATAGCCTGAAGTCCTTTAGCCAGCACTGTAGAGGCGCGTGCGTCAACCTAAATTAAACCTTAAAACCACTAAATAAAGTCTCTTTTCCACTCACCAAAGCGCAAACAGTGCTATCGTCAGCAGTTGCAACGGCGTGTGCGGTTCTGTCTGGTGACGTGCAACACGACCCATCATTGAAATTCATATGGTATGGAATGCCACAAATAGTAATCTAAAGTATACTCTAACACAACTACATAAGGTCGCTTCTCCGCTCACCAGAGCGCGAAGAGTGCTATAGTAAGCTGCTGTAACGACGCGTGCGTTTTCAGCAACCTAAAGTAAACTCTAACACAACTACGTAAGATCGCTTTTCCACTCACCAGAGCGCAAACAATGCTATCGTCAGCAGTTGCAACGGTGTATGAGGTTCTGGTGACGCACAACACGATCCATCATTAAAATTCATATGATCGTTGCAGAACATATTGAGCAACAGTTGCGCGGAGTGCCGTAAGGCTGTGTTGCTGAGCGATGCTCCGTCGTCGGAGGCTGCGCCGCTTGCTACCAGGCGAGTAGAACTCCATATCTTCGCTGAACTGTGGGTTAGGATCTGAAAGGATGTCATAGTTTATATTATTATGCTGGTTCATAAAAGATAAATAAAATTGAATTCGATAGGGGGATGACACACAATTATATTGGAACCTGCTTTGTAAACAACGTCATAAAGGTCTTTGGTTTAAAAAAAAGAACCAAACTGTCAACTTTTGTCTTTTGTCTCTCGCTCTGTACTTTTCTGTGTGTCTAAATTGAAATAAAACTATCTATTAAAATCACTCTCGAACTTTGTATTTCCGCCCATAATTCCAACAAATTAAACCTTGGAATGTGGAATCAGAATAAGCCAATACATAGCTATTGGTATATTGGATTGATAATAAGTAAGAGACAAAAATATTTACTACATTGGACTGTGTATTGCTCAGAAAAATATTTGTCTCTTTTCCTCTCTTAATAACTTCCATTAGGCTTGTTTCTTTTTATTTTAGGCAAGTTGGTCAATAACTATGTACTGGCTAATTACTATAGCGATCACCCTACTTGTTTTTGAATTGTCTTTACTTGTGACAATGACGGTAATCTTGCTCTTCATGCTTCCCTGTGGTGCTTGCTAGTATAAATCTCTTAAACCTTGTCAATGAGGGTTATCGTTTTTATACTTAACAGTTGGCGCCACTAGCGATTGACATGACTCTACAGTGGCCCCATCCTGGTGAGCGCCACTGTCCTCGCAACTAGCAAATGACAGTGACCTTACTCTATAGCCCTCACTAACCCTATTCCTTGACTAAATTAATTACTTTTCTTCCTATTCTTTTCCAAAATAATTTCCATAAGGTTATACAGGGTGTTAGGTAAATGGGTACATATGAGCCGACAATAGCCCATGTTAACATGGTCATATAAATGGTATGGTGAAGTCAGAAAATGTATATCTTCATTTTAATTATTTTATTTTTCATACAAATCGGATTTTATAAAATTTATTTTGTATTAAAATTAAAAAAAATTAAATGATGATATCAAATTTCTGACTTCACCATACCATTTATATGCCCATGTTAACATGGGCTAGTGTCGGCTCATATACCCATTTACCTAACACCCTGTATAGTCCTTAATTAGCAGTTATGTATGTAAATTCTCACCTCAACAGCTGCTCTATTGTACGAATCAATATCATTATTATTGATCCTCTTATTATCATTCTTCAGTTTCCCAGTGTCAACCCCTTCCATCAGCTTCCATAGCACTTGGGTCTTGCGCGCGACAAGCGAATCTATGGCTTGCACCAAGTGCGTAAGGTTCCTTTTGTACTCTTCGAGGACTAGGTCGGTCGTGTTTCGGTTCTTGAGTGGCTGGAGTCCGGTGCCGGCTACAATTACTGAAGGGGGTTTGTCTGAGAGCTGCCTGGAAGATAAAATATTACAACAATGTAAATAAATGTTCATAAAAAAAATTACCTAGCTCCAAACTAGTGGTGCTTCATGATTCTAAATGATAATATTTGCCTTCAGCAGTCAACTTTGCTAACTAATTTGGGTATCACAAAATATTTGATGACTGTAGAACTAGTGTCAATTACAGAGAATAAAATGACTAGGGCAACCAGGCATGTGTGTGCAGCAGTTTTTCAACATTATTATAATTATTTAGCCAATAACAGAGGCAACTTTAGCAACTTTTTTGTTCTTTACACTTACCAATTCCTAAACTGGTCTACCATGGTTTTGGAGACATCGTCACTCCATATAAATGTGACGGATAGCTTCAGTTTGTGGTCTACATAAGTATAATTTGGCATGTGGTGGTCCACTGTCGAATATGACGTGTCTAAGTCCAGTCGTGTTTTGAGTACACCTAAAACCAATACAACAATGCAAGTGAAATAAATTATTTAGGTAGGTAGGTAGATAAAGACCTTATACATTCTTATACAGGGTGACAGGGAAACTTGACCTATTCCTAATATTTGTAATATTTTTATCTGTAACCACCTATGTTTCACAATAAATAATTTTGAATTTGAATTTGAATTTGAATTCCTAAAAAGGAGTTACTAGAGATCATTAGCAACAAATTATGTCCAGAGAAAATTAAAAAATAAAATAAAAAAATACAGAAAATAAAAATATTTTTTACTAAAGACCTTTTTTTTCTAAGATTATGTAAGTTTTGGCTAAACACTTATTCAAATTCAAATATTTTATTCAGTACATAGGCCCTTTCCAGGGCACTTATATTTTTTCAGAATTATTTTTCAGCTTTCATAAAAGTATCAATTCAATGTTTAGAGTAGAGTAATTTTGGTTAAAATTAAAATCATTTACAGTTATTCACCTATAAAGTATTCATACAGTTGCTCCAATCTAGCGTCACCGATGAATGCAAAGCTGTTGTACTTTCCCCAAAACGCCAAGTACCTGAGACACCTCCTTGCGTCTCTGCAAACAAAGATAATAGATAAATTAGTCGTCTTATCAGTTAAGCGTACAGACATGTACAGACAAGGTAACACTGTGGGACCTTACATAGTTGTAATAAATGCTATTTTTCAACAAAGATGACATAGTGTGATGTGCTGTAAACTGTACATAGTATTAACTTAGTCTAAGGATTTTAGACTAAATAAAAAAAAACTTTTTTCTTTCCAACTTACGTCTTAGAATATCTGTGCAGCATGCACCCATATGGCTGCCACTCATGGTCGCCTTTATAGCGGCCGGACGACAGAAGCCATGTGCATGAGTCTGGACCTGATATAAAAAACAAAACACTGCATTATTTTAATTGTTATTTTCTGTGTGAAAAAAAAATAAAAGCGGGATACCAGTAAGTCTAAGCTTCAAGAACAAGTGATTATTACTGAGAAACCGTAAAGGAATCTGATGGATAACTCGAACTTACCATATCTGAGATGCAAGATTCCATGGTATCCAATAAACCCTAGCACAAGAAAAAACGCCACAAGTTTAGCGTTCTTCACGTTAAGCTGATCTATAAACCATTCCGCAGATGATTTTTTACAATAAGTAACCATTTTAAAAGGTTAAATACACCGAAATTAAAGTACACAAACAAAATTTCAACTTGACGAAAACGGGTTATATGCCGCTATGAGCACCACAACAATACACATAAAGTAAATAACATAAACACTATTTTACATTGCACACAAATATTATTTTATTCGCCGTAAAATAATATCGATAAAAATCGCGCAAAAAATAAATAATTTGCATTGAAATTCGGCACACAAGCCCCCCCTTCTATCTGTCAACTGTCAAAGTGAAAAAAATGTCAATAATTTCTTTAGATTCCGAATCCTAGCTCGATCGATTTGAAGATAAATCAATTGTATATTTTGTGAGTATTCAATCATACAGAGGTGTGAATCAGGTAACATTTTTGACAATTAACTTTTTTGTGCTAAATTAATTCTTAAATTATTTTTACAAATAACATTTATTCACATTTATTTATTTCGTCTTATGTTATAAAGTTGTCTTAGCTAAAATACGGACTATTATTTGACAGCTGATAGAAAATAGTTACCTGCACCAAAAATTGCACCAAGTTTTTAAAAACATTAAACTGTAATTTTAATTTGTAATGGAAAGAGGTGTTCGGAAGACTTGAGAAGTCCTTCATTTCCTCCTCGACAACACACATTTATTAGTTAGTTATGTAATTAATCATGTGATGTACTTTACATTTTGTTTTAGTGGAAAGTTCTGCAAGGAGTGGAGCTTAACTTTTGTAATTTGGTAACACCAAACGTCTAAATTGGATTACAATGGCGGCTATGTCCCCGTCTGAGGTGAGTAAAATTAATTAAAATATTGCCATTTAGATTTATTTATCAGTATGAAATAAACCAGAATTCACAACCTTATCATGATATTTATCTATAAGTATTTTTGTTCCGCATAATAAGGCCGGGAACTTGAAGAAATCGACAGTTTTGGATTAGGGTATTTTTTGTCAAAGTCCTATTGTTATGCTGTCGTTCCGCAAGTGTATTGAATATTATGTTTGTTTTAGCGGAGATTACAAAAAGAACTCATGTCCCTGATGAGGGAACCGCCGCCAGGAGTCACCGTGGATGGAGATCAGGCTAGTCAAAATCTAACACTGTAAGTTGGACATCATTTACTATTCAAACTAAGTTCTGTGTTTTAATTATCAACAGCATTAGAGCTTGCTAATAATTAGTTGTGTCATTAATGTAGATAGATTTATTGCTTTTGATATTAAAATACATCCACAACCTTATAATAAGAGGAAAATAAAAGACACATGTGAATCAATGGATATCAGCAAATTCAGCAATAAAAAACTAGGTATCATCATGTCCCTATTTTAGTCATCGAATGTGATACGGATCTGACTGTTGGTGTAAATAAATATGGTTTATTAATGAGCTGTAATTAATTTGCATGAAACAGAACAATTAGATGCATGCATAACATCTGTGAGTCATTTCAACGGGGAAGGAGAATTTTTGAGTACAATGTTTCAATACCAATTGATTCAGAAGTTGCTACTTGATATTTAAATTGTATGTAATGTTTAGGGAAAAGTCTAAAACATATGTTTTACATTACATATTTACCTGTAGTGTACCACCTTGAGAATTGACTAAGTACATTATAGGTACATAAGTTTTTTTAACGTCAAGTCTTTGTAAACCTAGTGAAATAGTAGATTACACATTAAACTGGAACTTCAAAACAAAATTTCTCATACAAAAATAATGTCCTTGCCATTTTATAACCCCTAAAATCCAATTAGTTTCCAATTAGTAAAAATGTTTTTTGTGTTTGAAATAAATTGTGTTAGCGAAAATGTCTTTTACTCTGAAGAATGTGCTGAGAGGATAAATCATTCTATGTATTACTTGATGTAGAGTGATTTTTGGATAAGCTGTTTTTTTAACATGATTTTGCACAATTATTGAGCAATGAATGTAATTATAGCTTAGCGTTATACAAAATGTATAGACTATTGTATTTTGATAGCTCACAAGTGTGTCAATTGCTTGGTGGTGTTAACTATCCAATTGGAACTGAAGCAAAATTGGTTGTAACATTGATACAATATTTATGTTTCTTTCTGTATTTTTTTTAACCTATTGCTGCTGTTCAAATTCAAATTCTTTATTGCTCTATGTTGGTATACAAAGGTAGATAATAGACCCATAACATGGACCCTACTAGGGTATTGCAACATCATGCTGATTCCAATAACCATAATTTTGTTTTTTATATCACTGACATTAAGATATCACATACTTAACATTTTCCAAGGTCCAAAGAAGGATTTTCTACAAAGTTATATGTTAAGGCATTTTAATTTCGGTTTAAAACACTGAACGCGCGATTAACGCAAATTCGTAAATTTCGGCAAAATACATTTATGACAAAATATTAAATTGTATACAATATTGATGACCTTTCGTAATCCGAGGCACACTGGTTACACCAATGTCAAGACATTTAATGAGTTTGTTGTAGTAGACCTTTCTTTTTTTATTCTTGGATAATATCCTAGAATTGACCCTAACTTTTAGATACTATTATTTTTTTCTATTATAATGTGTGAGTGCATAATTTGTAAGACTTGTAAATTAAGTATGAATAATGTAAAACAATGAACAGTATGCTTCAGAGACTACAACGATGGATAAATAATGTAAATGCATAAATTAATATGTAATTATGTTTGCCGACAGGTGGACAGTTCACATGGAAGGTGTCCCAGGCACTTTGTATGAAGGAGAAAAATTTGTATTGCAGTTCAAATTCACAAACAAATACCCGTTCGACTCTCCCGAGGTGAGTGTGTTGAGGATTTAATTAGAATTACATAAATCTAGACTTTTTATCATTGCATATTAATGTATGATCGATAATATGATTCGAATATCAATTAAGGTTGTGCGCACATAAGTGGCTCGATGCTAAGACTGTCAACCAATGACGGCTAAAAAAATGGCTTATCGCCGATGTGTCCAAAACTCCGATTACCATTTTCTTTGTTTGTCGTTGTACTTTTATCGTCAACCTTTCGTGAAAGTTGGTGTATAGTATGCGAAAATCGATAGCAAATGTCTGTTGAAATCCTTAGAATATCACTCAAGTAAACAACCATCGTCGTCAAGTAGGTACTTAGCTTACAGTCACGAACAGTCAGCACCAGTGAGTGTGTGCGCAGCCTTAGTTCCATAACCATAGCTTAAAATCTACTGACTCCTATATAAGTTTATTTTCATTTCATACTTTGGCAATCAAGAATCAAAAGGTTTCAGGTTTCTTATTTATCTCGAAGAATTGTAATTAACTCTATCGGAAATGGTTTAGAATTGAAGAAATAATTAGACAAAATCATAGGCTTTACTTATGACAGCCAAGGATTTTTCAACACCATAATTCAATTGAGTGATTATCATCAAGATTTGCTGTTTACTTGCAATAAAGTAGGTAATATCATAGAGATAAATGACGTTACGAAATGTTAAAAATAGTATTTCGCTGTGATAGGATACAACAAGGAAGGAAAACATATCAGTTTACTTATCTCGTGAGCTCGAATTTGCGAATAGCGCGAACAAATATTGTAAAGCAGATTAGAAGGTTTCTATTTTTATGTTCTGTAGTCTCAAAGACCTAGGATAACACTTTCAGGAGGTAGACAACTAACCCTGGGGAGATTCAGGGAGTGTTTCCCCCTTCTATCCTTGCCTTGATAAAACTGATGTAAATATACGTCATTAATGTGAAGTCCCAAACCAAAAGCGTAGATAAGATAAACTCGACCTACATACAACAGTCCAAAACCGGAAGGTCCTGATAAGGTGATCTGCCCCTATTTCATTAATACGTGATTATTGTAATAATTACAAATCCTTCCTTGTTACAATAATAATCAATTTGATAGAACACAGCTATCTATCTTCTGTAGTACCTATTAAACTTTATTGCAGGCATAAAATAAGACCCATCCCACAAACGTATCTAAGGGTTTCAAACAGATGACAATGTCTACTGATTTGATAGATACCATCTTAGTTTTATAATTGTATTCTAGCAACCAAAGTAAGGCTGTGCGTGCACTGTAATGGTGCTGTGTGAAAAAATAAGTTTGTAACCAGGATGTACCATGCATAACCTTACACATACCTACCTCAGAATTAAACATTTTGCTTGTCGTTTCGTCATTTTCGTCATCGTTGCGAGTCGTTGAACTAGACTCTGCTAACCTTGTATTTTATGTAAAAAAGGTTACAAGGATTATATTTTTAAATAAAACAGTCTTTCAGTGTCGACTAATCATGTCTAAGGTATAGCGCATAGACTCTACGCTATTTTTGCGAAAAAGATGTCCCAGGAAGAACTCATACGGGTTTTCACCGTGCGTCTGCCCTTTGCAGTTAAATACTCCTTCATCATCATCACCATTTCAGCCACAAAACTTCCACTGCTGGACATAGGCCTCCCCCAATGATTTCCTTGATAAATCTTCTTTATAACCGGTAACCGCTACCAACCGTGCGATGTGGAAGTCATTGGGGGAGGCCTATGTTCAGCTGTAGACGTCCTATGATGATTATGAACCGTAAATCATCAAGACACCTTACAATGCTCACTAAAATGATTTTTAACTCGCCATATTATGATTTCGAGACGTGATCTCTAAAATAGAATACCTAATGCACGAATCTATTAGCGGCTTTGACGTATTACAGCAATAAGTGGTTCAAAATAACGCACTGCGATAAACAAGTAGTACCTACCTAAATACATCTGTTCTAAATCAGGTAGTATAGTCAGCGTCAAATAGTTTGTGACACCCAAAGTAGCCAAAAACTTCGCAACACGTCTTTGTTACAATTGGAATAAGGTTGTGTAAACTTTTTGGCCACTTTGGGTGTCACGAACTATATGACGCTGACTATACATCGGTGTAAACAAGACGGTTGGTTCGGTGACCGGCTGTGGAACTAATATGAAATGAATATTTGATCATCCGAGACCAATTGGGTAGATGACACCATCAATTAAAACTTACTTTTTATGAGATCGATAATGAGATTCACCCAGATTTTGTAACGAAGACGTCTGTAATTCCTCAACCTAATGGACAACATCATTATGAGGCCGTTTAGTCTTCACTGCAAGAACTTGACCCTCTCCAATTTCAACATCATCATCATCATTTCAGCCACAGGACGTCAACTGCTGAACATAGGCCTCCCCCAATGACTTCCACGCATCGCACGGTTGGTAGCGGCCTGCATCCAGCGCCTTCCTGCTACCTTTATCAGGTCGTCGGTCCACTCCTCTACTCTCCAATTTACTAGAGGCAAATGGAGGATGGTCTACACTCCCCACGCTTACCAGACGGGTTGGGGTGGCCTGATGATCGCATATTCTCCCTTGGAGACTGGAAGTGATCCTAATAAAGAGTATTTTAGAACCACAAGGTTTCTTCACAGCATCATCATCATTGCAGACGTCCACTGCTGATCATATGCTTCCCCCAATGATTTCTAGATTGGCCGATTGGTAGTGGCCTGCATCCAGCGCCTTCCTGCTACCTTTAGGCTTTGGTCTGCTATAAAAGCCGTAGGCTGCGTACATGGTCTGCTATAAAAGCCGTAGGCTGCGTACAGCGTCACGCCATAGGCCGTCACAATGCTTACTACAGATATGTACTGCTGTGGTCTCCTTCAGACGTTGACATTAGCATTATGGTGTCTATAGAAATGTGGGACGTCCACCTACAAGGTGGACCGACGACATCGTAAAGGTAGCAGGGAAGCGCTGGACGCAGGCCGCTACCAATCGATCAACGTGGAAAGCATTGGGGGAGACCTATGTTCAGCAGTGGACGTCCTATGGCTGAAATGAAGACGATGATGATGATAGAAATGTTTGACGCTCAAGTCATACGTCGCGCACAGCGTTCAATAGGACACTGTAGGCTTAGAAGACCGTCTCCACGTATAAACATGTTTGTATTACGTTGCAGGTGACGTTCATAGGCAACAACATCCCAGTGCATCCGCACGTCTACTCCAACGGCCACATTTGCTTGTCCATCCTCACTGACGACTGGTCGCCCGCGCTCTCCGTGCAGTCCGTCTGTCTTTCCATTGTGTCTATGCTCAGTAGCTGTAAGGAGAAGGTAATAAGAGCTATTTTACAATACCCATGATGATATAGCATAATCATGGAGACTACAAGTTTGCTCCTATTGTTTGGGGTCATTGGACAAAATTCTACGTGCTCCGCGACCAGACTTTACCAGCACTTGCTATGAAAATACTAAAAAAATGTATGAATATTTAAGAAATTGTTTGTCTTTAAAACCGAACTCCGGCAATTTCAGCCGGAGGTTTAAAAAAAATGGCATAATCATCAGGTCATTTACCCTCCACTACAGAAAATAACTAAGACACAGACTTGTCGTGACTCGTGACCTCAATTGACACGTTAGAACACAATAATCAGCATGGGCGCGTGTCATGTGACGTCACTCTTAGCTGAGCTAATTCTATGCGAAGTTTAAATGCTTGCCATAATCATCAGGTCATTTAGTTTCCATTGCAGGGTCGTGCCCTCTTCAATTTATTAAAGGCAAATGGCCTGCTGGCAAAAATAACATGTTTTACTTTCATCGTGCACACGTAAAAATACTGTCAGTGACAGGACGCAATCTGCTCAGGCCAAGCCACACGTGATGAGGAGTCTGAGGCAAAATTTGCATTTCACAAAATGCGCACTTTTCTATACAAATTTAAAGGCTAAGGAGCTGTTTGTCTAATGTTAGCATGGAAAAGTGCGCATTTTGCTAAGTGCGTCAGACCAGTGAAGAGAATGTTCCTTTTTGCAATATAATATTTATGATATTTTAAAAATAAATCTCTCATTTCAGAAACGGCCTCCAGACAATTCCCTTTATGTTAAGACATGCAACAAAAATCCTAAGAAAACAAAATGGTGGTATCATGGTAAGTTTAATTTGCATTATAGAATAGAATTTTATTTATTGCTTTTTCTGTGTGTTTAGTTTGCAGGCGTTATAGGCATAAAATTCGTTACAATAGATTGCTCATATTGAACGTGCAATATTAATTTGTAAAGACGTTTCTTTGTATCATTATGCATTTACATATTTTTTATCTTATCCATATTGAACTCAATGCAGTATCGCTCCATATCAACATTAATCATGGGGACATTTCACGGCACGTAATTTAAGTGATTAGAAAAATCGATTTTACCATTTGCGAATTGGCTTGTATTTGAGATAGATATAAGCTGTTGACAATAAGCACTGAAATCCAAAGTTCGAAATCAAATGTTTGCACTAAACGATATTTCAAACTAGATTACAATCTCAGACATGAGCGACTGAAAGGGAATAAATGCGTGAAAGAGATGAAAGGTTGGCTTAAATTATTTGAATGTCTGATACCGACGATTGTGTGCGAAGACTGCGGAAGATTATTTTAGAATATATTTTGTAGCTATAGCAGCCCTTGAACCAGACTAGTAAACCTCGTTTTAACGAGCTAATTTAGCTGTAAATAAATAAGGCGCAACGCGATTTTAATAATGGCAACTCATTCAAAAGCATACGTGCCTACGTGAAACTCCCAAAAACTCTTTCGAAACTAGTTTAGTTAGGGATTTACTTAGCTACCTCCGTCTCATACGCGTCAGTTTCCCAATTTAAGCCCATATTTGAAATAACGGTTCACTCGTTCCACAGTTCCACACCATCCGTAACATAAAAGTTCTTGCGACTCACGAAGGCGAGTGAGCTTTACTTGTGTAAATCCACGTAACGATAGTGTAATGTCTATTAAAATGTTTGAAAACGAACAGTACACAGCCACCACAAATGTAAAACTCATTCGCCTTCGTGAATTGCAAACCTATACGTATAATAACAAGAACGTGCAATTTCATATAAAGCCTGGTCCGTGAGCACGTAGAATCCCGTCCAATGACCCCAAGCTACCCATCCTTATCGCTCGCGCGTAATTATATTGCTGTCGCGACTGTGCGACGCGCGCCCGCAGTGAGTGTGCGAGCGCGACAGCAACATAATTACGTGCGAGCGACAAGGATGGGCAGCTTGGGGTCATTGGACGGGATTCTACGTGTTCACGGACCAGCCTTTAATAAGCTAATCGTCATTATGCTACCTCGTTAACCAAGCAAAATAATTTATTTTCCAGATGACTCCGTGTAACCCCACCCCGCGTCGCTGTATCGAGCATGGACGATAAAATCTCAGTATGTGATAAGTGTTATAACTGTGCGGTGTGCTATAACGGTGTGTACATACGGGCGTGAGTGCTTCGTCGGCTGGCTGGCTCTCGCAGTGGGCTACCAAGTGCAGTGTCTTGTGTGGGCTGGAACAAACACCTTTACTTTGAGCTGAACGGAGAAAGAACTGCCATATGAATTTAAAAGTGGAAGTATGCTTTGGAAGCAAAATCGTAAGACCTAAAAAAAGCGATGGAAATGCAAATTAAGAAATTAGGAAAGTGTGACACGGATATGGCTGAAGAAACCGACTTAAGGCAGGGTACTCACCTGCCATGTAGCATGTATCGTAGCATGTAACGTAACCAACCTTCAAGTGAGTACGGCTCGTCCACGGTCATCGCGTATCTGGCTGCGAGCTCCTGAATCCTACTGCGAGCCGCCTTTGTGCTCGCAGTGATACCGCCAGTCGGCGGGTCGCTGCGATCTCCCTGCGAACCACGCGCGAGCAGCTTACAGCGGGATCGTGCCTATGTACTCGCTTGATACAGTATCTGATACATTACATGCTACACGGCTAGGTGAGTACCCTGCTTCATGAAATATAAAGCATGCTAAGGATAAAATTGCTTTACGGGCCAGTAGAGTTCAAGTCAAGTGCTCAGACAGTGCTCAAATCAATCTCTAGAGATTCAATTGTGTCCCACACACATTATAGATTTATGGCGAAAGATTAACCGCAAGTTAGAATATAACCACCAGTTACTAATAACTTTGTCTTATGAACAAGGACCACCTTCAGTACTAGGGTTGCCATAATAAAGTTAAACATAGGCTTTATGAACCTGAACACCTGTTGGTATTTGGTCCAAATTTGACTGTATCCAGCCAGCTTACTTACATATTGCTAGGTAATTATTCATAGAAGATCCTAGAGATCTTAAAGATCTGTCTGACCCAGAGACTGGCTAAACTGAATTACCAGATTGGATTTAGTTTTTGGCAACCCTACTTTGAAAAGAAAGATGGCAACTGGTGAAAGAACCTAAACCCTTGCAGCATTGTTAAAATAAGGAATCTGAGTAAATTACAGGTTTAAATTAATTTACCACCTACAAAATTTCATGTCAAGTTTTGTTTGTAACAACTATGAGATGAATATGGAGATTAGTATTACTTAAATGGTGTCTGTTTGGTGCAGGAAACGTAGATATGTGCAACAACTGTGTTCAATGTAAATTGTTTGATTTCTTGTTACTGTTTTGTCGCTTCAAAATACTTAATGGAATGGGATATAATAGAGTAAGTTTTTATCAATTTCGTTGCTTACTATAGTCTGGTATGTGGGCACGTAGAATTTTGTCCAATGACCCCAAGCTACCCATCCTTATCGCTCGCGCGTAATTATATTGCTGTCGCGACTGTGCGACGGGCGCCCGCAGTGAGTGTGCGAGCGCGACAGCAACATAATTTCGCGCGAGCGATAAGAATGGGTAGCTTGGGGTCGTTGGACAAAATTCTACGTGCTTACAGACCGGGCTTTACAAACGTTATATTTTAAATTTTAATGATAGGCCGACTGCGAGAGCCCAGGTTTTGATTCGCAGTCCAAATTGTCTTGCTGGAGTGACACATGGCTGTACTATAATAAATTGAAAGTGATTTAAGATGGCATGTGTATATTATTTTTAAAGTTTCAAAATAATTTGGGCTTGAGTTATTAATTGCAAAACTGTGTAAATTCATTTTCAATGTTTCTCCAAACAACAGGAGCTTCGTGATATTCGCTATAAATTGTTTATTTAAATAGTACAAGCTATTTATGTTGTGACATTTTCACTGGTACACTATTTTCAGTACTTTACAAAATTTTAAATTCCTGTCCAGATTATTATGAATTATTAATAATATGCCTGATTAAATATCACAGCTTGTTAACTTAATAGATTATGACATAATAATGTTAAAAAATATTGATAAAAAAACAAACATCTCAATGCAATATAAATTGAAACTGAACTGAGAATAGTATTGTATTTACTTGTTAAATGAAACAAAATGAAAATAGATTTCTTGTGGACCCTATTTTTACCTAACAGCAATTTTGTTTTACATAATATTTACTTTGCAAAAGACTTAAGAAACTTATTGAGTAAGGTTTGTTATTGTGCTGGCATGCTTCAAGCTAAACACAAAATATGTACTGCTATATTATTTCATACAAACTTAGATTAATAAAACCTAGATAGATAGTCAGTGCACGAAAGGTGAGGCAGATTTTAGTAAGCCAGAATGGCTTACTCGTAAACGTCACATGAACTGTCAAAGTGAAAAATTGGTAAACACGTCCGACGACTTTTAATTAATTAAGACGGTTTATGCTGTGAAAGGGTGTCTAAATTAGAGATNAATAAAATCTTTATCTTCTCTTTCACAATCTATAAAAGTTCATTTGGTCTATTATTAATTATACATGTGCTATGAATGAGGGTTTTCGCGATTGAAAAATCCGCGAGATGGCAATACGTAGACGCGAGGTCCAAATGCTGCATGATTGGTGGATATTTTTACTCTTTTAATAAAGAGTTTGCAATATGTTGCTCTTTTATCTTGTTTGCTCGAATAATGAGTAGGTATTCGAAGTGTGGCCTCCATTTTATCCATCTTTAGCTTCATGGCACTGACATAAGTTAAGCTTTAATAAATAACCAATCATGCAGCATTTGGACCTCACGTCTACGTATTGCCATCTGGCGGATTTTTCAATCGCGAAAACCCTCATTGGCATAGATTATGAGAGACTGGCAACTATACTAGGTTGATATATGTTTCTCACACTTCAACTGGCATTGGATTCAACATCGGTTTCTGACAGTTTTACAGTTATGAGACCATGAATATCAGTTAATGGTCCTAATTATTTTTATTTTATTTACGACCTTCGACCAGTTGGACACTTTAGATAGCTTCTTGTAATAGTGTCAATATCTTTTTAGCTTTTAACGCAAATCTAGTCTTCAAAGCAGTTTAATCGATTTATTTTATTTTCAAAATCGATATTTTATTGTCTATGATGGCCGCAGGAACATCACTATACATGGACTCCCAGCAATAAAGTACGGTAATGCCTCGTACAGATTTTATCGGCAAAAATTATGGAACTTGATAGGTTTTAGACCATGCCACGCACCAAAACGTCCGGAAGTTGTAATAGTATTATAGAATAAACGTTAAAAGACTTATTTATTTAATTTTTCAATGCTTAAGTGTCCATTAGAATGAAAGGGTGCTTAATGTATTAAAAAAAATAGAAAATAATTATGATGGGTTAATGTTTTTGGGCGGTTTTTTAGGCGGTTTCTGACAATGTCCTTTATATCTTCATTTTAATAACTTTATTTTTCATACAAATCGGATTTTATAAAATTTATTTTGTATGAAAATAAAAAATTTAAAATGATGATATCAAACTTCTGACTTCACCATACCATTTATATGCCCATGTTAACATGGGCTAGTGTCGGCTCATATACCCATTTACCTAACACCCTGTAGAAATGTGGGACGTCCACCTACAAGGTGGACCGACGACATCGTAAAGGTAGCAGGGAAGCGCTGGACGCAGGCCGCTACCAATCGATCAAAGTGGAAAGCATTGGGGGAGACCTATGTTCAGCAGTGGACGTCCTATGGCTGAAATGAAGACGATGATGATGATAGAAATGTTTGACGCTCAAGTCATACGTCGCGCACAGCGTTCAATAGGACACTGTAGGCTTAGAAGACCGTCTCCACGTATAAACATGTTTGTATTACGTTGCAGGTGACGTTCATAGGCAACAACATCCCAGTGCATCCGCACGTCTACTCCAACGGCCACATTTGCTTGTCCATCCTCACTGACGACTGGTCGCCCGCGCTCTCCGTGCAGTCCGTCTGTCTTTCCATCGTGTCTATGCTCAGTAGTTGTAAGGAGAAGGTAATAAGAACTAATTTACAATACCCATGATGTTATAGCATAATCATGAAGACTACAAGTTTGCTCGTAGACATTAGCGAGAAACTATAGTCCGGTCCGCGAGCACGTAGAATTTTGTCCAATGACCCCAAGCTACCCATCCTTATCGCTCGCGCGTAATTATATTGCTGTTGCGCTCGCACACCCACTGCTGCCGCCCGTGGCACAGTCGCAAAAACAATATAATTACGCGCGAGCGATAAGGATAGGTAGCTTGGGGTCATTGGACAACATTCTACGTGCTCCGCGACCAGACTTTACTAGCACTTGCTATGAAAATACTAAAAAAATGTATGAATATTCAAGAAATTGTTTGTATTTAAAACCGAACTCCGGCAATTTCTGCCGGAGGTTAAAAAAATGGCATAATCATCAGGTCATTTACCCTCCACTGCAAAAAAATGTCGAATACACAAACGTGGAATGTCGTGACACGTGACCTCAAATGACACGTTAGAACACAATAATCAGCATGGGCGCGTGTCATGTGACGTCACTCTTAGCTGAGCTAATTCTATGCGAAGTTTAAATGCTTGCCCTAATCATCAGGTCATTTACACTCGCGAGCATAAATAAGGAATCACCCTATTTGTTTCTTTCAAAAACTAATTGAAGACAAATAAAAATGGTACCATTTTAAAGGTAATATTATAAACTTTAAATTGATACCACAGATACATACATAGTCATTCAGTTCATGAGATCACTCAGAATAAAACACAAGGGGGTGATTCCATACTTTTGCTCGTAAGTATAGTTTCCACTGCAGGGTCGTACCCTCTTCATTTATCAGAGGCAAAAGGAGGATTTGGTCTGCACTCATTATCCTGGTCAAAATAATATGTTTTTCTTTCATCGTGCACACGTAAACTTTCAGTGACAGACCGCAATCTGCTCTGCGTGAAGAGGTCTGACGCAGAATGTGCGCTTCGCAAAATGCGCACTTTTCTATACAAATGTAAAGGCTAAGGAGCTGTTTGTCTAGCTCTGTTTGCGTCAGACCCGTAAAGAGAATGTTACTTTTTGCAATATAATATTTATGATATTTTTAAAAATAAATCTCTCATTTCAGAAACGGCCTCCAGACAATTCCCTTTATGTTAAGACATGCAACAAAAATCCTAAGAAAACAAAATGGTGGTATCATGGTAAGTTTAATTTGCATTATACACTCAACATCAAATAAATCGCACCTTCCGCGACGCGAACTTTAAAGATTTTCTTCTGACACAATCATGGTGCCCCAACAATATTGGTGTTATTTGAAAGCCCAATAAATATCCTTAAAGAAAAACACATTTAATTTCTTAATAAATGATTAACATATTATACCATAAATGTGACTTGAAAAAAGTTCTCACTTTGGGCTCACCTCTGGGATCAATTAGACCAATTTTTATGGTTATAAACCAAATAATGATCTCACGTGTCCTCTTTAACAGATGAATAGCGATTAATCCCAACTTAACAGTTTTATAGCCATAAAAATTGGCTCAGGCGTAACTAAGTACCTATTTTTTGAAGAAGTGACTTTGGATCCTTAAAGACACATTTTTGGGGTAAAAACCTTTCCTTTAATGAAATGAAGTTTAGAACTAGGCTTTTAAATAGTGCCATTATTGCTGGGATGTGGGGATGCATATGTTTGAAAGTGCTTGTCGCGGGAGGTGCGATTTATTTGATGTCGAGTGTAGAATATAATTTAATTTATTGCTTTTTCTGTGTGTATAGTTTGCAGACGTTATAGGCATAAAATGCGTTACAACAGATAGCTCTTATTGAGCATGCTATACTAATTTTTATGGACGTTTCTTTGTATCTTGTATCATTATGCATTTACATATTTTTTTATCTTATCCATATTGAACTCAATGCAGTATCGCTCCATATCAACATTAATCATCGGGACATTTCACGGCACGTAATTGAAGTGTTTACGGCGACCTTCATATTTGTAGTTGATTAGAAAAATCGATTTTACCATTTGCAAATTGGCTTGTATTTGAGATAGGTACATACAAGCTGTTGACAATAAGCACTGAAATCCAAAGTTCGAAATCAAATGTTTGCACTAAACGATATTTCAAACTAGATTACAATCTCAGACATGAGCGACTAAAAGGGAATAAATGCGTGAAAGAGATGAAAGGTTGGCTTAAATTATTATTACGCTATTCGAAGCCAAAATTAAGTTCAAGAGATGGATAGGTGAATTAACTTACTCAGAAACCGAAAACCTTTTAATTAATTAGAACTTTTTAGGAACCACAGACAAAAAAAAACAAACACATGAACACACAATATGCTGGTGTTCTAATGTTACGCACTGTTTTATTTTATTTATTTTTGGTTTATTCTTTCCCTTTTCCTTTTTTTTTTGTTTTGTTTATATAGACTGTTTCACTACACTTAGGTATAGCTGAACTGTACCGCGCTGTGCCAGTCACTTTAATTTTGCAAACTGCACTGTTTGGGCCACCAAGATACAGGCTATGCCTAGTTTGGGGCCCACTGTTATTGATATACATCTTGCTCTTTTTTCTTACTGTTATTGTTAACACATCTTGCCTTTATTATTTTGTAATGCAAAATGTAACCTGTGCCTATAAATACTTTTTTCATTTTCATTTTCATTTTTTTTTTTTTCAAATTATTTGAATGTCTGATACCGACGATTGTGTGCGAAGACTGCGGAAGATTATTTTAGAATATATTTTGTAGCTATAGCAGCCCTTAAACCAGACTAGTAAACTTCATTTTAAAGAGCTAATTCATCTGTAAATAAATAAGGAGCAACGCGATTTTCATAATGGCAACTCATTCAAAAGCCTACGTGGAACTCCCAAAAACTTTCGACATCTTTCGAAACAAGTTTAGTTAGGATTTACTTAGCTACCACCGTCTCTTACGCGTCAGTTTCCCAATTTAAGCCCTTATTTGAAATAACGGTTCACTCGTTGCACACCATCCGAAACATAAAAGTTCTTGCGACTCACGAAGGCGAGTGAGCTTTACTTGTGTAAATCCACGTAACGATAATGTAATGTAGATTAAAACTTTTGAAAACGAACAGTAGTTAGCCACCACAAATGTAAAACTCATTCGCCTTCGTGAATTGCAACACCTATACGTATAATAACAAGAACGTGCAATTTCATATAAAGCCTGGTCCGTGAGCACGTAGAATCCCGTCCAATGACCCCAAGCTACCCATCCTTATCGCTCGCGCGTAATTATATTGCTGTCGCGACTGTGCGACGCGCGCCCGCAGTGAGTGTGCGAGCGCGACAGCAACATAATTACGTGCGAGCGACAAGGATGGGCAGCTTGGGGTTGGGGTCATTGGACGGGATTCTACGTGCTCACGGACCAGGCTTTAATAAGCTAATCGTCTTCATGCTACCTCTTTAACCAAGCAAAATAATTTCTTTTCCAGATGACTCCGTGTAACCCCACCCCGCGTCGCTGTATCGAGCATGGACGATAAAATCTCAGTATGTGATAAGTGTTATAACTGTGCGGTGTGCTATAACGGTGTGTACATACGGGCGTGAGTGCTTCGTCGACTGGCTGGCTCTCGCAGTGGGCTACCAAGTGCAGTGTCTTATGTAGGCTGGAACGAACACCTTTACTTTGAGCTGAACGGAGAAAGAACTGCCATATGAATTTAAAAGTGGAAGTATGCTTTGGAAGCCAAATCGTAAGAAAGACCCAAAAAGAAGCGAGCAAAAATTTGCCAAGTGTGATACAGATGTGGCTGAAGAAACCGACTTAACATAAATAATATAAAGCATGTTAAGGATAAAATTGCTATATGGGCTAGTAGAGTTCAAGTCAAGTGCTCAGACAGTGCTCAAATCAATCTCTAGAGATTCAATTGTGTCCCACACACATTAAGATTTATGGCGAAAGATTAACCGCAAGTTGGAATATAACCACCAGTTAGCAACTAATAATTTTTCTTATGAACAAGGACCACCCTCAGTACTAGGGTTGCCATAATAAAGTTAGACATAGGCTTTATGTATACTTCTTGTTATTTGGTCCAAATTTGACTGTATCCTGCCAGCTTACTTACATATTGCTAGGTAAATATTCATAGAAGATTCAAGTGATCTTGAGAATCTGTCTTGTCACCCAGAGACTGGCTAAACTGAATTACCAGATTGGATTTAGTTTTTGGCAACCCTGCTTCGAAAAGAAAGATGGCAACTGGTGACAGAACCTAAACCCTTGCAGCATTGTTAAAATAAAAAAAATTCTGAGTAAGTTACAGGTTTAAATTTACCACCACTTCTATGAGATGAATATGGAGATTAGTGTTACTTAATGGTGTCTGTTTGGTGCAGGAAATGTAGATATGTGCAACAACTGTGTTCAACGTAAATTGTTTGATTTCTTGTTACTGTTTTGTCGCTTCAAAATACTTAACGGAATGGGATATAATAGACTAAGTTTTTATCATTTTCGTTGCTTACTATAGTCTGGTCTGTGAGCACGTAGAATTTTTGTCCAATGACCCCAAGCTACCCATCCTTATCGCTTGCGCGTAATTATATTGCTGTCGCGACTGTGCGACGGGCGCCCGCAGTGAGTGTGCGAGCGCGATAATAATTACGCGCGAGCGATAAGGATTGGTAGCTTGGGGTCATTGGACAAAATTCTACGTGCTCACAGACCGGGCTTTACAAACGTTATATTTTAAATTTTAATGATACGCCGACTGCGAGAGCCCAGGTGTTGATTCGCAGTCCAAATTGTCTTGCTGGAGTGACACATGGCTGTACTATAATAAATTGAAAGTGATTTAAGATGGCATGTGTATATTATTTTTAACGTTTCAAAATAATTTGGGCTTGAGTTATTAATAGCAAAACTGTGTAAATTCATTTTCAATGTTTTTCCAATCAACAGGAGCTTCAAATAGTACAAGCAATTAATGTTGCGACATTTTCACTGGTGCACTATTTTCTGTTACTTTACAAAATTAAATTCTTGTCCAGATTATTGTGAATTTGAATTATTATTAATATGCCTGATTAAATATCACAGCTTGTTAACTTAATAGATTATGACATAATAATGTTAAAAAATATTGATAAAAAAACAAACATCTCAATGCAATATAAATTGAAACTGAACTGAGAATAGTATTGTATTTACTTGTTAAATGAAACAAAATGAAAATGGATTTTTTGTGGAACCTATTTTTACCTAACAGCAATTTTGTTTTACATAATATTTACTTTGCAAAAGACTTAAGAAACTTATTGAGTAAGGTTTGTTATTGTGCTGGCATGCTTCAAGCTAAACACAAAATATGTACTGCTATATTATTTCATACAAATTAAATATCTTGTTACTATTCTTTGATGTTACACAATTCTGGAGTCTGCCCGGTAGATGGCTAGTCATAAATTGAAATTAATATAAAAAGACACTAGTAAAATGTGTGTTGTAAATATAAATACTGGTATTTTTAGGGTTCCGTAGCCAAAATGGCAAAAACGGAACCCTTATAGTTTCGTCATGTCCGTCTGTCCGTCTGTCCGTCTGTCCGTCTGTCCGTCTGTCNGCCAGAATGGCTTACTCGTAAACGTCACATGAACTGTCAAAGTGAAAAATTGGTAAACACGTCCGACGACTTTTAATTAATTAAGACGGTTTGTGCTGTGAAAGGGTGTCTAAATACATCAGAAAAACTAAAGAAAGTGACCAGTGTTACATTTCATAAGTAAGTACTACGATTCGACGCGTATTTTGCTTGAATTTGGCTTTCAAAAATTAAATACGGGAATGATACCAGTAACAAGAAAATTTATTTCCCAATTGTTCGCCGTACAAATACACTTCCTTTTTTATGAAATCGAGACTTTTCAGTCGATTTATCTTATTGTAATTAGGTAGGTACTTTGAATTCAATAAATAAGTAAGTACATGATGCGTTTTGTTTTTGTTAGTTATAAAATAATTAAAAACGTATTAAAAATTTCCCTACTTTCGGGAAAATCGCCTTCACTGTCTACACTCCCCAACAAAATTGACACTAATGACATAAGATTTTTGCCTCACTCTTGACGAAGCGTTTGTATGAAGACTATCCATCTAGGTTTTATTAATCTAAGCATACAAATTAAATATCTTGTTACTATTCTTTGATGTTACACAATTCTGGAGTCTGCCCGGTAGATGGCTAGTCATAAATTGAAATTAATATAAAAAGACACTAGTAAAATGTGTGTTGTAAATATAAATACTGGTATTTTTATATTTATATAATTTTGTCTATAATTTTGAAATGATCTTAGTCACTTGTGTAATTCACATATATGTATAGTTGGCATTTCTTGATTCTCTTTCAACCACTATTGAAAGACATTTTCAAATATGTATATCTACTTAAACAGAATTGTTATGTACTGATTACCATATGAAATATTACATAAGGTGAAATATATTTGTATACCGACGTTTTTAAACAACTGTAATATGAAATGTTTAACGAAACTAAAACCGGGATGGAAGGTCAATTACTCATTATGTACCAGACGAGTTTTGAAAACCTATACACAGTGCTTTAAATACATATATCGTGGTTATAATATTCTCTTATGTATGTTAATGGTTTATATGGTTCAATAAAATGTATACAATTGTTCATATCCTTGTTCCATCCCAGGTTAATATTTGTTCTTTTATTGTAAACATTTTGTACGGGTGCTATTCTTATATTGGAAAATTTACTCATTTTAAATATGATTTCATTTATTTCTATGCAATGTGGTATATTTTCAAACAAATTATAAAGATTAAAAACCATTAGACTAGCGAAACATTCCTGTATTATTAATAGAAAATTTGTTTGTGACACATTTCATTAAAGAATTAATTTACAGAAAGATTTGAAATGCATTGCAATTGTGTATTAAAAACGGAACCTGCTTAATTTATTGAAATAAAAATATAGTTAACAATACTTTTGTGGTTTCATTAATTAAAAAACGTGAAATCTATTTATTATTTTTTTATTTATTTACTAAAATATTTTTAATTATGCAATAACATAATTATTTACAATCTGGAAAATACTTAAAATAGACAAAATGTTTTAATTAGAAACACCTCAATAAATGATATCTGTTAAATTGTACAAAACAATAATCTGTGTAACTGAAAATCAGGAGTTTAACCAGTTGACCAGCTATAAAAACTTACAAAATATCATTTCAATGTTATGGGTAATTCATTGCAAGTCTGATAAATATATTAAATAAATTAAAAAATAAAAGCAATAAAAAAACAAAACAATATGCACAAACAACACTTCAATAACTTAATAATAATAATAGGAGATGATATTTACAATAGAACCGGTCAATACATTTATCAATATACTGAATCTAGATAGCAAGGCATCTAACACTAATAACTGTCATTTAGTGCCTAAAACAAGTTGTTCTATAGATTGCCGATTATGTTAATATTCACATAAATTTAAATCTATCACTAGGTGAGAAAATATTTCTGCTTTATACATAAACTCTATTTAAATACATACAAATTAGCTGATTTACATAATTTATTTATTACCGTCACATTCAATTCCTAACAAGCCAAAAACATCTCACAGCCCTGCCAACGTCTACTTGCTTAATTTTAAATTTTTAAACACAACCGACAATACTGAACATTACCATTTAGGAATTTATTAAATGTAATTAAGTTTAATTAAAACATGGAAAGGTATATAACAGTCATTAGGTAATTCACACCTAATCCTAAAATTGTACACGAGAGATACGCTCAACATATTCAACCCTCTCTTACGAACATTCAACAACATTCCATTACAACAGGAGCAAGTCACAATACCCATTAGCAAACTTGGCACTAAGGCAATGCTGACAAAATCTTTGGCATTTTTTGCAAATAAAAGTCATGATCGTGCCTAGACACTAATATTCCATCAGTTACTTTAACATTTTTATCGGATGAGTAATCAATAAAATCTCCTTTAGCTGTTGTCATTTTACCATTCACAGCCTTTATTATAGCATCTCCAGCGCATAAATCCCATTTCTTGATGGCTGTAGCGTGGAGGTAGACATCGTAAGTACCGTTGACAACTCCCATGACCTTGAAGCCTGCACCAGCAGCAGAGGTGACAGTTGTCTTGTCTCCAAATGCTTCTTTTGCTATCTCAGCAACTTTCCCAGGGTGTGAGCGGGACACAACTACTCTTGGATGGTCTTTATTCTCTTCTTGCTGAAATTAGTTATTAAAATGTTTGAGAATACAGCTAATAATAAGCTAAATTGACTTGATGCAGGCTGCTACCAATCGATCAACGTGGAAAGCATTAGGCTGCAGCATCCTATGGCTGAAATGATGATGATGATGAAATTGACTTATGAATTAAAATCATGTTTTTAGTTATTAAATGATTAATGAAATAATTTTACAACTCACAGGGGGGACATTGGCTATGTTGCTTGAAGTTTTCTTCGTAAACCAACCCCAATAAGTTTGTGGAGGGAATGGATAGTGGATCACACCAATGATTGGGACACCTCGGATTGCCACACACACCATAGTAGTCACATATTGGTACAAGGACTCTGTAATAATAAATAAATTACATGTTATCAGCTAGATAAATCATATCAGTACTAATTCTTGAATAATAGAATATTGATTGTATAACAGAATGCCGAGCTGGTAGTCAAAAATTGAATATTTCGACAGGACGTGTAAATGTCCCAATGGCGCCTACATAAATAGAGTTTCAATTTACATAAACCTGCTGTATACTGCTTATGAAGCAATAAATTATAATGCTTATGATACTTTAGAATGGTCGTACCTGTATATTCTTGTGTCGCATCGAGTGGGTCGATCCAGATCGTCACATCCTTAGCAAATACGTGCTCATCATTCAAGATATCAATCACTTTATGTCCTGGAAGCAAGGCTTCAGTATCCAGCAGCTCTTGGTGCTCACAATCTGAGTCAGCTTTAGAATGCTCTTCAGACACAATAGACAACTTAGGAAACGTATTCTTCAAACTAAAATACATAGCACAATGTGAAGCGTAGTCAGCATCAGTAACCGGATCGTTTGCGCCTTCCTGCGTCTTCCCTTTACTTTTCACGTTCAGCTCGTGGTTCTTCCCTTCTATTACTTTCTTACCACCACGTTCGGCTGCGTGGATTGATGCTTTTAATAAGCTTTTTAGATTTACGAGATCACTTTTATCGGTAGGAAAATTCGAGCCCCCCGATCGCCAATAAATTATCAAGAATAATATGAATGCCAACGTAAAACATGCGAATTTATTTACTCTTAAAGTTCCTCCGAAATTCATTGTGGATTATTAAAATTTGTTGTTTTCTTGTTTTTAATTGATAAAACGAAAACACAAAAATAAATTGTGATTATTTTCGTTCTTCTTCTTCTTCTTCTTCATTTATTGATGGCGATGGACTTGTGTTTTTTCGCCACTGGGGGCACACTGTTCCGGTTTTCAGGTGGAAAATTGACAAGTAATCTGTCACTTTTCTTTTTTATAACCCTACAATACCACCACTTCTAATGAGCGGAATGAGCTCATGTTTGAGCTAACTAGGCGAATCCGATACGATTATTCCGAACGCAAATATTTACATTCTATTCCCGAAATTTTGTCTATGCCTTTCAGTTGTCACCTGTCTGTCTGGCTGGCTGTATGTCATTGTCATTAGTGTCAGTGATAATAAAAGTGGTGTCGGTGGTGTGCGGTTCGCTTTTCCTTCCTTTTTTATTTCTTGTAATTCAGTGATAGTAACAATAAAATTTACATTGGTATTTTTAAAATTCCAATTAGTTCACAAAATACATAAAATGATTTTGTTGGACCTTTACGACACGGTGGGTAAAATCTTAAATACAAATCTCATGTATCGTGTGATTCATTGATTGATTTAACCCATAAAATTTTATTGCAGGCCAGTTGGTTTACCCTTGTAATAGCTTTACAAGTAGTTGTCATTTCTACTTATTTTCTGTGGTTGAAGAAAAAAGGTAATAAGAAGTATGACCCGCTTTGTAATGGTACACCGGTGGAGTGGTCGCCGCTGCCGTTGATTGAGCACGACGTGGTGGTAGAGGAGCCTCCACTGATGGGAAAAATCGACGAGGATGTGTTAAACGTTGGTGCTACTAGTTTCCTGTGCCTAGACAAGGATGAGGGTATTTTAGAGAACGCGTTGAAGACATTAGATAAGTATGGTGTTGGTTCCTGTGGGCCCCGTGGGTTCTATGGCACGATCGACGTGCACTTAGAGCTGGAAGAGCGCCTGGCCAAGTTCATGGAAGTAGAGGAGACGATACTGTACTCGTACGGATTTTCAACCATCGCTAGTGCTATTGGCGCCTATGCTAGACGAGGAGACATTATATTTGCGTAAGTTTATCATTTTGAATGTTTAAAGTTGCTAAAAATTAATAAACAAATAATAAGTTTTCTCATATGAACTCTAGGCACCTGTAAATTAGGTAGGTACAAGGAACTATACAGGGCAGACAAACTGCTATGATTTATACTGGTTGCTTAGAAAGTACATCCTAGTTATCATTTAGCTTCAATTAATAACAATATTGATTAATAATATTTTTCATTTTATTTAAATACAACAAAAAATATACTTTGTACCAATTTGCAGGTGCACTCTCATTAGGTGATTTAATGCCTTCCTTTCTATCTACATCATTGACGATAAATATTCCTAATTTTTCAGTGACGAAAATGTCTGGTTTGCTATACAAAAAGGCATTGATGCATCTCGTAGTACTGTCCGTTACTTCAAACACAATGACATGGACCACCTCGAGGAACAATTATCAGCTGCCACCAAGCGCAAGGAACTAAATTCACGTCGACGAGCATTCCTCATCGCTGAGGCTATTTACTACAACACCGGAGAGATGTGCCCGTTGAAAAGGCTCGTAGAGTTAGCTAGGAAGTACAAGCTGAGAATTATTCTGGACGAGAGCTTGAGCATTGGGGTAAATATTTTTTATGCTTATATTTCATCGTAAAAACAAACCAGTCCAAAAACTTGCTGTTATAAGGAAAAATAGTCATCAATTTTCCACATGCCTTTGAATATAAAGTAGGTATGTAGGTATGTTCTTCTTAACAACTTAGATTTGTGAGGCTATTTTAATACCTGCACTGTTTTCAATTGGATGGAACATGCATGTTTGTGGTTCTACATACAAACACAAACAATGATCCTAAATTAGCAGAATGATGCTGATTAAACTGTTCAACACACGAATCTTACATCAATGTTTGCTTACACATATAATTGAAATAATATATGAGTAGGCCAAGCTTCATACTGTCTTTAAAAAATCCATTTTTGTTCACAAAATGTTCATCAATCAAACTTTTCACATGCAAAGTAGCACCTATTACATAAAGTATCTCAATGATTTGCTTGAAGTGCCTCTATAATATTTACTTTTGGTCAAGCATAGATGGGGCTCGAATCAAGATAGGGCACTCTCATAAGATTCTACGATTCTACCTTAATCAGTGAGTAACCAACCATATCATTATAGGTACTCGGAAAGCACGGGCGCGGTTTGACAGAGCACTTCAACGTGCCTCGCGACGAGGTGGACCTGATCGTAGGCTCGTTGGAGCACTCTTTCGCGACCATCGGAGGCTTCTGTGCTGGCTCGCACTTTATTATCGAGCACCAGCGACTTGGAGGACTCGGTGAGAAGATATACTTGACATAAATAGAGAAACACGTGTCTAAACTTATTTATACCTGTTCATTAACGTACCTAATTTATAGGACAGGAGGATTTTTTTAGTCCGCGATACATAAGGTATTTACACGCTACACAGTTTCCAAAAAACGCAGCAGACATAATTTCTTTTTTTATGAAAAATGAAAGCTACTTTAACGACGTAGAAGATTGTAAGTTAATGCCTTGAATGGCTCAAGGTTGCTGAGAAGTGCCTTCGTAATTTGCGTAACATTGCATCGGGTTTACAAGAGGCACAAAAAGTTTAGTGACAATGATTAATAAAAGTCTATGGCACGGCCTACACCCAGAAAACTACATTATTCTAAAAGGATGTGGGTATTCACCATAGAGATATATGTAGAGAGATGCCAAATAATGCGATGACTTCGAAACTCAGTGTCGCATTTGAAATCCACACACACAAAATAATCAAAATATGTGCTCATTATCCACTGCGGTATCAGTACTCAACGTTCGAATCATATTTGGTAAAACGCAAACAATGTAAACTGTTTATTGATGACCTACGCTGAACTGTCCCACCAAACTCAATGACAGGGGGGCGCTACCATCGTTCAACTATGTGGTTTCCAACATGGCAAAAATCTGAACCAGCGATCCGGTATTGACGGTGGCGCCCCACTGTCAATGTCATCGACAGGACAGTCCAGTATTTTGGAACTATACATTATGACGTCGCTGTCATCATTGCTTTCACGAGCAATGTGTTCTGTTTTTGGGCATATTGCTGCGACACCGGCCCCGCCCCCTTGTCACATCTCGCTTTAGTTTCTGTGATCTGTATTCACCATCTTATAACCTTTTTTTTTATTCCAGGTTACTGCTTCAGTGCCTCCCTGCCTCCCATGCTGACGCAAGCCGCCATCGACGGATTGAACAGGATTGAGAACAATCCGTCTATCTTGACTGAATTGGAAGAAAACTCACGGAAACTTAACAAGTAAAATACTCTATCTTTATACAAAGTAAAATAGTGCTATAACACCATTTTTAGTATCTTTCTAAAGTGTAATAAAAATTGGCCAAAACTATAAGGGTTCCGTTAAGGTTAAAAAAAAACTAAAAACGATTAGGCCAAAGCGAAGCATAACAACTGATATTCCACTTCAATGGCTCAGTATGATCGTAATAGCACTGATAAAAGATTAGGGCTAAGTCATTTCAGTACTTGGGATTCTTGTGCAATCGGCTTTTATTACATTGTTATAGTCTGTTTCACCTAAGATGATCCGTATGACACTTCAAGGTTATCCATATTACGCATACTGTATATGCAGAATATTTTTGAAAAAATATTTGTATTGTATTAGCAATATAATAAAAAAAAATTAACCACTTGTCTTGAAATATATAGTAAAATCTGAGTCTATTGATTATATTTTAATTAAATACGATGTAATAATATTTTTTATTTAATGTACGCAATGTGTGAAACGGAATAGATTTAGTGCTGGGGTATTTGTTGTATAACAAAATCGATTACAAAATAGATTCATTAATCGATTGCAGTGAATACTTAATTATTAAAAACATCACAAAAGTCAACTATATTTTTCGATTGTTGACTTTAATAAAAACATTGAAAATAAATTATTAGTTTTTAATTTAAAGAAATAGAGCCAGTACTTTTTAGGAAACGTTTTTTTGAACACGAAGTCCATGGAATTTGAATATTATCAATAAAAAAATATTACAAAAATATTTGTAATAAAAAAAACATGTTTTTTGTTGAATGACACCTATACAAAATATTTCTCTAAAAGTAGGTTTTACTAACTCTTAGAAAAGAATCGATAGATAAATCGCTATGGTTTAGTTATGTGACATCTCTATAACTTTTAAACTCGAAACGTCATACGGATCATCTTACGTGAAAAAGACTATAAACCCACAATGTAATTGTTTGTTGCCCCAAATAAAAAGAGAAAGATTGAGAGCATATCAAATGTTTCGTGTTAGTCACCTCACAATTTAACATCTGTACTTTCTACATGACGCAATGAATAAATTTATTTATTTATGAATAGAACTGTAGCACCAATTACACTAGTTCAGAATAACATTTAAGAACTTATAAACAATTTAACTTAAAGTACGGCCAACTAGCAGCGATACAAAAGGTCGATACGACTGTCGAGTTGACAATATATTCTGTCTCTTCCCATCTTGTGTATTTGTCGTAATGTCTCGTTCTCCCGCCAAAATATGTCAAAGTCAGACGGGTTCACCCATGACATTGGGTTTGTTTACATTTGGTATCGTTTCTCGTTGGCCGTACTTTAGGAAAACTACATGAATTATAGTGGGCAGACCCTTACACTTATTTCATACTTTCCAGGGCCTTATCAACACTAAAGCACTTCACATTCCGAGGCGACGAGATCTCACCGATCAAGCACATCTACCTCAAAAAGGACCTCACGGATCGCTTGAAGCACTCTTATCTCCGGAACATTTCCAACTATTGCCTGGAAAGAGGAGTGGCCTTCGCAGTGGCTGCTTACTTGAGGGACGTAGAACATAACTGTCCGGAGCCATCCATCAGGATAGCATCCAGTAGGAAACTGAACGATGTAAACATATCACTGCTCTGTAAGTTGCTGGATGAAGCGTATGAGAAAGTCGGCCCGAGACCTGATCTGCAACCGGTGTAAGTAAAGTTCGTTATTTTTAGTAGTAAACTTTGTATAGCAGTTTAATATTACTGTTGGTAATAAAATAACTTAATAACAAAGGATGTTATTGCTGTTTTTTTTTTTTTTTTTACTTTTCCGTCTCATGCAGTGGAAAAAGGCAATAAATTGTGGAGGTATCTACCTCAGTTACACTGTGAAATACCTAAATACAATCATCAGAAAGCGTTTTTTTGAACCAATTTTACCGACCATATTTGATTGGATACGATTTCTTTCTTGAAAGTTTCAAAAATATGTCTCTAGATTATTTGACAAATATATGTAATTAAGTTTGTGTGTTGTTAAATAAAATACTAAATACAGCTGCTATATAAAGTTTATTATTATTATAAAATACATTTTTAAAAAAGTACATACCTTATTTTTGTTAATTATTATTTTCTTAGGCTTAAAAACTGAGTCGAAACATTGAAATTACTTTTTAATTTACATTTTTATGTCGCAAATGAGATTCTCTCAAAACTTATTTGATATGTTGACGAGACAATAATTTCTTAATTTTTGTGTAGTTTGTAAGTTTTGTAACTGCCATTTTCGTCCAGCGGCCAAAATAAATACCAAATTACTGCAGAATTATGAACCAAAAAGAAACAACATATCTTACTGTTTTTCACCGCGTTAGAAAAATGCATACAGTATTAAATTTAATGGACCACGTAATAACGAGTTTTTACGCTTGAATCGTGGTGGAAGTGTTTTTTCAGTTGGAAGGACGATGGCATATCAAGCTATGTGGTATCATAATATAGATTTAATAGGTGAGATTTTTCAACAACAATGTATCTTGAAACTTTGAAGTGCTGGTTCACGATTTATTCATTTGTCTCAATCTAAATTTTAGGAGACGTTTAAAAAAGCCTGCTGTATGCATTTTTGATATGTTGTTACCCAAGAGCATAGACGAAATAGAGGAATTGATAAATAAATTGTTAATAGTTTATAATTGTTGATAGCTTTTAGTTCAAATTAAGGCCCACAATACATAGGATTAGGCACCGCAAAATGTTATTAATTATTATGTATTGCTATGTTTATCCTCTTAATTATAATTAGCAAGTATTATTGTACACTGCATTTGTAGAGATTCAAATAATTATAAATAGTTTTTATGCCTGATAATTTATTAGCCAATTCCTACTTAAGCTATTAGAATGCCATAAATTCCTACATTCCTATAAATATTACGGTTTTATCTTTACTCCAAATGACACATGGTTACTTCAAATAAATAGTACGATCGATTTGAAAACTGTCTTCTTCCACAACCTTAGTGTCTTTAAATCGAGATAAAATAAAACTTAATAAACATAAATTAATTAATAAATTACCTGCTTCTGCGATTGACCATCTCATCGGTGATTCCAAGCTGATGTACGATGACTCATGAATGTTCAATAAAATATTATTATCTAGACATGTGGTAGCGTGCCCAGCCAAGTTCAAGTAACAGAACTGGCGAGCAGCACCGAGTGTAATATTACACGAACCATTTGGTACTACTCACTCGAATTTTCAAGACACTAAGGAGCTTGGGAAGACAGAAATTGGGATCTAACAAACTTAGATGAATTTATTTATTTAATAACAAATAGCTAGAATATTGCAAAGTTACTTACGTTAGTTAATGATCACGTTAACGTGATTCGTAGGCCTTATTAAATGCGTGGTATTAATGCAATAGTAAGATATTCCTAAATGCAACTCGATAGTACATAACAGTTATTATAAAAATACATAATTAAGGAAACGTGTTCATCTCATTGTTTAAGGTGCTATAGCAATAATATACCTGGAAGCTTATTTTAAAGGCATTAGAGTTCATATTCGCCTACAAATCAGCACAAATCGTATAGAATTTGTGTAATTTTTGCAACTTTTCGCATACAGATTGGATTTCTAGTGCTTTGAAAATAAGACTCCTTTTTAACCGATCGAAATTATGTGTAACAACAATTTTTATCATAAAATAATGTAATTTATCCTTAACAAAACTAGCGTACTTGTATTGTATTCAATTTAAAACATTTTTAAATAGCTTAAGAAAAATAATTATGTGCACAATAGACTGCTCTCTTAATTTTGTTTAATTTATATTTATTGTAATAATATTCAGTATTTATTAATTTATATGCTTCAAAAAAACAACAATATAGTTTTAATAATATTTATTCTTAGTCGTTCCTCTAGCATTATTACTTACTAAGTAAATAAACAAGCGTTTAAACCAAATTGTTACCTATTGTTAAATGATTTAAGGTTCACTTGGAAATAATATTTCGCTTAATTATGAGAAACAAATGCTAAAAGTAGTTTTCTATGGTAACAAGCATTTTTAAAGCAAAGCAAAGCATTTATATACCTAATATAAAGATTTATTGCATTTTAATGCTTCCTACGTTATTTTAAATAATATCTAATGGTAACTTAAGTATTTTATTATATGGTAACATTGCGAATTCGTGAGACAAGTCTCACGAATAATTTTATTAAATTAAGTACATTAATGCACACCAGTGGCTTTTTCGTTACAATATAATAAATATTTTTAATTATTCAAAGGAGTTTTACTGTTAATGTTATTATATTATTTTAATATTGTTCCCATTATTGAACACAATATCTGGTGGTTATTTAGTACTGGCAACACCAACATTCTGTGTACAATGAAACCACTGACTAGACTGTTATGTTACTGAAAGCTCCTTAATGCTTTTCCTAATGCATCATTTGCCTTAACTGCTAAAAGTTCAATTTTATTACTAATAGTGGAATTTGTAGATTTTTCTACAATTTAAATGCCTATTACAATTAAATATGCTGTATAAAAGTCTACAAATTCCACTTTAGTTACTAAATCTTGTAAACTTAGTGTGTGGGGGCAGTGACTTCTCTTAATATTTATTGAATTCATTCAGGATCCTAGTGCTTACCAAGCCACTACCTACTGTAATTGTGCGAATTCGGTCCAACAAAGGCACAATAAACATCCGTTCAAATCCTTATTTGTTCCCAACACCTACTTGTTGAGACAAAAAATTCACATCAAGTTGCACCGTTACTCATCGGTCACACTGTATATTGTAACCTGTATTTTCTTACCGTAGGCTTTTGATTATTTATTATGTATTTTGATTTTTAATGCATTTTATACATTGTTTTTTATAACGAAGTTTTTTTTAACCTGCTATTAAAGGTACTGTGAACCAATAACAGTGTGACTAGTCTAGTCGCCGAGCACGTAGAATTTTGTCCAATGACCCCAAGCTACCCATCCTTATCGCTCGCGCGTAATTATATTGCTATCGCGACTGTGCGACGCGCGCCCGCAGTGAGTGTTCGGACAAACTTCTACGTGCACGGAGACCGGGCTTTAGATGGGATTTTCCCAACAAGTAAGTGTTACTCGTTTCGTTGTGACTCGTTGGGAAAAAGCGCTTGAATCGCTGAAACCTCAATTTCCCTTTCACTTGGGGAGCAACTCATCAGCCATATGGCAGTACCCCACACTCCTCTGTAACTCGGTCTCATCAGGCGCGTGTATCGGCTTCCGGATCTCGATCAGGCGGCGGTCGGTCTCTAAGGCTTGGTTCTTATACTGCAGGTCCTTTGTCACCCGCTGGTGGTGGTTGTACATGCCGTGGTAGGTCGTCCTGGAAAATGACATGGAACAAAACAAATAAATTGATTTGAAACAGAAATGTATTATTGTGATCTGGTATTTTACAGTAGGCCACAGTTTCAGCTACCCATTACACGTCATAGCATCTCGTTCTATCGCAAAGATTTACCATTGAATGAAAGCGAAAGAAAACACGGAAATGGGGAGTTAGAACTGTGGCTCACTGTACTTCTGCTTGCTTTGACGCCTGTTTTATTGCACATTATTGAATGATCAAACGANAATTATAATTATCAAGTATTATCGTACACTGCATTTGTAGAGATTCAAATAATTATAAATAGTTTTTATGCCTGATAATTTATTAGCCAATTCCTACTTAAGCTGTTAGAATGCCATATTTTCCTACATTCCTATAAATATTACGCTTTTATCTTTACTCCAAATGACACATGGTTACTTCAAATAAATAATACAGATCGTCACAAAAATCTGTCTTCCTGCAAGTAAAATTATATTTGTGTCTTTAAATCACGAATAAATTGGGCATGTTTCATCTTAGCTCCATCACGTGAGCAGTGACTTGGGTCTCATATAAACAGACGCAGAAAATATTCTTTAGTTGTGTAAACCAAGTGATACGACTGCAACGTTAATTGCCTCAAATATGCATTAAAATATGGCATACTTATTATGAATTTCTCTTGTCTTTGAGGAAGCTGTAGAGATACATAGTGGGACAGGCCTAATTAAAATTTGATTTATAAGGCTGGAACTTATATCTCTGATATAATATTATGTATACCCATCTCATTGGTGATGCTTCAAGCTTGTTCTTTAAAAAACTATTCACTCGTCTTAGAGAAACTTTAAATGACAGTGGGAAGACAGAAATTGGGATCTAACAAACTTAGATGAATTTATATTTAATAACAAATAGCTAGAATATTGCAAAGTTACTTACGTTAGTTAATGATCACATTAACGTGATTCGTAGGCCTTATTAAATGCGTGGTATTAATGCAATAGTAAGATATTCCTAAATGCAACTCGCTAGTACATAGCAGTTATTATAATAATACATAATTAAGGAAACGTGTTCATCTCATTGTTTAAGGTGCTAATAGCAATAATATACTGGAAGCTTATTTATGAAGCATTAGAGTTCATATTAGCGTACAAATTCATATAGAATTTGTGTAAACTTTGCAATTTTTCTCATACAAGTTGGATTTCTAGTGCTTCGAAAATAAGATTCCATTTTAACCGATCGAAATTATGTGTAACATCAATTTTTATCATAAAATAATGTAATTTATCTTTAATATAACTAGCGAACTTGTATTATGAATAAAATAGTAGGTTCAACTTTTTTTAAATAACTTAAGAAATATGTGCACAATAGTCTGCTCTCTTAATTTTGTTTAATTTATATTTATTATAATAATATTCAGTATTTATTTATATGCTTCAAACAAACAACAATATAGTTTAAATAATAGTTATTCTTAGTCGTTCCTCTAGCATTATTACTTACTAAGTAAATAAACAAGCGTTAAACCAAATTGTTACCTATTATTAAAAGATTTAAGGTTCTAATTCACTTGGAAATAATATTTCGCTTAATTATGAGAAACAAATGCTAAAAGTAGTTTTCTTTGGTAACAAGCATTTTTAAAGTAAAGCATTTATATACCTAATATAAAGATTTATTGCATTTCAATGCTTCCTACATTATTTTAAATTATTATCTAATGGTAGGTAACTTAAGTATTTTATTACATGGTAACATTGCGAATTCACGAGACAAGTCTCACGGTATCTAGCGAATAATTTTAAATTAAGTACATTAATGAACACCAGTGGCTTTTTCGTTACATTATAATAAATATTTTTAATAATTCAAAGGAGTTTTACTGTTAATGTTATTATATTATTTTAATATTGTTCCCATTATTGAACACAATATCTGGTGGTTATTTAGTACTGGCAACTTTCAACATTATGTGCACAATGAAACCACTGACTAGACTGTTCTATGTTACTGAAAGCTCCTTAATGCTTTTCCTACTGCATCATTTGCCTTAACTACTGCTAAAAATTCAATTTTATTACTAATAGTGGAATTTGTAGATTTTTCTACAATTTTTAAATGCCTATCTATACATTTAAATATGCTGTAGAAAAATCTACAAATTCCACTTTAGTTACTAAATCTTGTAAACTTGGTGTGTGGGGGAGTGACTTCTCTTAATATTTATTTAATTCATTCAGGATCCTAATGCTTACCAAGCCACTGCCTACTGTAATTGCGCGAATTCGGTGCAACAAAGGCACAATACCGTTCAAATCCTTATTTGTTCCCAACGAGTAACGCTATTACCTACTTGTTGGGACAAGAAATTCCATCAAGTTGCACCGTTAGGCCCAGAACAGACGGTGAAACGCAACTGCAACGAAACTGCAACTGCTAGTTACTTTTGAGTTGCATCTAAGTTTCTGCCATAGCGTCCGTTGAGAGACCACACATGACGCGACCAGTTTGAAACTTTCAGTTTCAGTTTCATTCATCAGAAAGTTGCAGTATCGTTGCAGTTGCGTTTCACCGTCTGTTCTGGGCCTTACTCGTCGGTCACACTGTATATTGTAACCTGTATTTTCTTACTGTAGGCTTTAGATTATTTATTATGTATTTTGATTTTTAATGCATTTTATACATTGTTTTTTATAACGAAGTCTCTTTTAACCTGCTATTAAAGGTACTTATGTGTGAACCAATCAATAACAGTGTGACTAGATGGGATTTTTTTCTCGACAAGTAATAGTGTAAGGCCCAGAACACACGGTGAAACGTTGACCACACATGACGCGACTATTTCAAACCGGTTTCAAACTGGTCGCGTCATGTGTGGTCTCTCAACGGAATCTATGGCAGAAACTTAGATGCAACTCAAAAGTAACTAGAAGTTGCAGTTTCGTTGCAATTGCGTTTCACCGTGTGTTCTGGGCCTTACTCGTTTCGATGTGACTCGTTGGGAAAAAGCGCTTGAACCCCCGAAACCTCAATTTCCCTTTCACTTGGGGAGCAATTCATCAGCCATATGGCAGTACCCCACACTCCTCTGTAACTCGGTCTCGTCGGGCGCGTGTATCGGTTTCCGAATCTCGATCAGGCGGCGGTCGGTCTCCAAAGCTTGGTTCTTATACTGCAGGTCCTTTGTCACCCGCTGGTGGTGGTTGTACATGCCGTGGTAGGTCGTCCTGGAAAATGACATGGAACAAAACAAATAAATTGATTTGAAACAGAAAGGTATTATTGTGATCTGGTATTTTACAGTAGGCCACAGTTTCAGCTACCCATTACACGTCATAGCATCTCGTTCTATCGCAAAGATTTACCATTGAATGAAAGCGAAAGAAAACACGGAAATGGGGAGTTAGAACTGTGGCTCACTGTACTTCTGCTTGCTTTGACGCCTGTTTTATTGCACATTATGTTGAATAAAATGATAAAATATACGTACAAAGCTTCTTCCAGTTTCTTCTCCAATTGATTGGTACTCATGTGAACCCTTTCGTATTCTTCTATCAGCCCGCGCATCGGTTTATCCTTAAAATACAACGTACAAAGTAAATCTGCAGTTATAAGGAAAGTGTGATTTTATACAATAATAACAAGAAAAAGAACAAAAATGTTTCATTTAGTATTAATATCATTTCAGATCTGTGCTGTGGGTAGGTATTTTGCCAGCGGAATTACTGGCAGTTAAAATCCGAGCGTGATTTGAATGCAAATGTTGCCAGAAGCAAAAAGTTCCAAAAAGTCTTCAATCAACTCACGCGCCATTTTCAAAAATTATTGTAGCTTTTCAATTTTCTTTTTCTTGTATTTTTTATATTTACCTGAACTCTTTCCAGAACAGGTCGTCTAGTGCGAGTTTCCAGTCTGGTTTCAACGAGTTTGGTGGGATTGATCTTATCTGCGACTGCGGCGCGGAGCGATGTTATTTCGCGGTCTACTTTATCCATGTTCGTTTCCAACTGAAATTAGTAGGTATTTATTTGTATAAAAACTAGCTTTCCGCCCGCGGCTTCGCCCGCGTGGAATTTTGTCTGTCACAGAAAAACAATATCGCGCGCGTATTTACTCATCGTTTAGACCTGGACTACGACAAACATTTAAAACCAAAATCAGCTTAATCGGCCCAGTCGTTCTCGAGTTATAATCAGACTAACGAACATCAATTCATTTTTATTTATATAGATAGATATTATATAGATAGTTAGCGGCCGCCCGCGACTTCGTACGACTGGATCCCGTTTTACCCCCTTCATCTTTCTTTAGCGGTTAACTCCCGTTCCCGTAGGAATTTTGCAATATCCTGTTGTAACTAAGCTTTAAGTTTACTAAGGTACCTGCATGCCAAATTTCAAGCGTCTATCTTACGCAGTTTAGATTTTTTCATACATATGTTTTTTCCCGCTAACTCCCGTTCCCGTGGGAATTTTACGATATCTGTTGGGTCTAATTCTCGTCACTACACTGCACAACTTAAAATAATTACGTTTTTTGTCGGTAAAAACGTCCTGGTGACGTCACTTAAGCATTTTTCTTATACTGCGTGCGGTCGTTGCGCGTGCGCACAAAGGAATGAGACCGCTCGGACACCGAGCCCACAGCGTGGTAGGGGTGGGGTTGCCCGCTCTTTTGTTTTTTACTACTACTACGCTGAATATTGTGTGCGGATTGGGTTGTCGTACAGGGGTACTACATGGTAAAATAAATCTCGGAGGCGAAAGCAGGATAATGTTGAATAAAATGATAAAATATACGTACAAAGCTTCTTCCAGTTTCTTCTCCAATTGATTGGTACTCATGTGAACCCTTTCGTATTCTTCTATCAGCCCGCGCATCGGTTTATCCTTAAAATATAACGTACAAAGTAAATCTGTAGATATAATGAAAGTGTGATTATTCTATGCAATAACAAGAAAAAGAACAAAAATATTTCATTTATTATAGTATATTATTTCAGATCTGTGAGGTAGGTAAAGCTTTGCAAGCGGAATTGCTGGCAGTTAAACTTCGCGCGTGATTTGAATGCAAATGTTGCCAGAATTTTTCAGAAAGTTATTTTTGGTCCAACTCTTTTTAACTCGTATTTTTTTTGTTTACCTGAACTCTTTCCAGCACAGGTCGTCTAGTGCGAGTTTCCAGTCTGGTCTCCACAAGTTTGGTTGGGTTGATCTTGTCTGCGACTGCAGCGCGGAGCGATGTTATTTCGCGATCTACTTTATCCATGTTCGTTTCCAACTGAAATTAGTAGGTATTTATTTGCCTAAAAACTAACCTTTACAACTCTTTCGGCATATTTAAGCTCTTTTACTTTGACCAATTATTATTTAGTGTATCTGTAAATTAAGTTCCCATTTCTCCTCACAGTTTTCCCTATTTCAGTCTATTTACCCTGATTATTTCTCTCCTAGTCCTCTTATCCAGTTTTCCCTTCAATGGCATTGTTTCAATCATGCCATAATACATTACCAACAAGAATCCTCACTCAGTGGACCGACGATCTAATGAAGGTCGTGGGAAGCACCTGGATACAGCGCAGAAATTCTTCCCCAAGAATTTCCACAAGGACCAGTTCTGTCCCGGTCCCGGACCCAGTCTTCTTTACCCAGCAGTTCTTTGATTAAACGAAACACCAGCATTTTGGCTTATTACCTACATCTATTCCTCCTCCGTTTTATGAATATTCCCCTGATGTTTTTACCGACTGAATCCCATCTTCCCCAAGTTACCTTATACTTCTGCCACTCCATCTCATTCCTCGCCCTCTGTATGTCATACACCCGCCTCCTCATGATCATCTCCACTTGCTGGCTCTGAGCATACATCTGGTTGCGAGCCTGTTCACGCGCTTTGAACATCGTCTCCCGTAAAGTCTTGGATTCCGACATGAGTTGTTCAGCTATCTTTATGGTGTTCTCGATGCAGTTGACGTAGCTCTCCTCTGAGATGGTGCTAGAAAAAATAAATGTTGATGAACGGCAACAGGTATTTAGTAGAAAACTCTGCGAATGTATGTAGCAAACTTTCTGCTATAATCAAGCATTATTTTTGGAACGAGGCATGCTGATCACCTTAAGAAAGGTTTGGAAGGTAAAATAATGACGACAGAAATTATGAAGTATCAGCGGATTTCCAGGACAACTTCTTTTGGTCAAGCTATTTTCGTACAAATTTTCACGGCCATTGTTGGCAGGCCCCTCTTTTCCACTGCGCACTATAGGCACGTGCACAGGGCCCCACAATAAAGGAGGGCCAGGGCCCCAAGTACGTTAAAGACGGCCCTGGTTTTTGGTACTAGCTACAAAACTTACTCTGGTGGTATCCTGGTCGGGTCCAGCTTGTACGATATATCCGCGCTGTCCCTGGTCAGGTCTCGGACGTGGTACTCCAGCATGAGAGCGTCGTCCTTATTCTGGACCTCGCGCTCGAGGCGGCAGTACACGTTCGTTAGTTCCTTGAGCTTCTCCCAGCCCATATGGCATGCGTCAGTCAGCACGCGCTTGCTGTTCTCTATGATGTGCAACTCCTGGAAAGGTTAGTGTAGGTACTTACCTGAGCTACAGCCTATGCTAAGAAGGAAATGGGCGCAAAAAAGACTCATCTAGACATTGTTGAATCCTAACGGAAGATAATATTTGAAACGGAGATCCATAGTAGTCTACAAAATAATAACAACGCACCAAACTTTTCCAGTGTTCTTAATATTACAAAGATGCCTTCTGTAGACAGCTTCATTTCTCAAGCAAGTAGGTACCTACTTGATCAAGAATAAAAGCGCTGTCAAGTTTTGAATTTGGGATTTGTTCCCAATACTTCCCATAATATGGGATCAATCAGCAGGACAGCTCAGAACAAAATATGGCAGAACTCTAAGTATTAAACGAGCAAATTTTACCCTATTAAGCTCTTCCCCAAGCTGGTCCCTGGTCAACTCAGGGGGCACTCTCTGGTCCCTATTTGAGAGGCACTGCGAGGACACCATCAGGGGCACTTGTAAGGACTCCAAATGCAGTTCTGTCGCATGTTTTTCTTCCTTGAGGGCTCTTATCTCATCTCTGACTGCTTCCCGTGTGAATCGCTGCTTCTCTCTCCAGGATTCAACTTCGAATATTCTGGAAAAATTATGATTAAGGTGGATTTGAAAATCCATCACGAAAACCATAATAAGTAAGTGGTCGGTAATTTTATTGGAGTACGTACAAAGAATAAAAGTATACTAGGTACTTTGAAATACATAGTGTACATTTTAACGCTACATAAAAACGGTTGGATAGCAGACCACAGAGAAGAACGACGATAGATTTCCACCACCATATCTAGATACGACTAGATCGTACTAACGAGTAAACGTTACTTACCTATCCCGTAATAGCTCATTGTTCACATAGTTATCCCATCTAGTAGTAACACACGTTTCATTCCGCAGCTGGTTAGCTCTCTGTCGTAATTCGTAAGATTCGAACCGACGCAACCTAGCCTCGTTTTGAAGCCTTTGAATATTCCTAGTCCAGTCTAGAACGCTCAAACGAGGGTGGGGCTTCTCGAAAACAGGGATGGAGCTGTCCATTGTGGAGGAAAAGTAAAGAAAGGAATACGGAAATTGACATAGATGCAGGATGTTTGATCGATAGGTACGCAATAACTTGCGAGTTACCTGCCTGACCTACTTTTATTATCATGTGCGTGCTTATACTCGTATTAGGGTAAAATAAAACCAACATTTACTTTGATATCGTAAGTTTAATCAAAAGATAAAACAGATAAACCAACAGAACTTAAGAGTGTAACATTGTGAGAGGTTCTTGAGGTAGAGAACCCTGGGCTGGGATCTCTTCTCTTCATCTTCGGCGAACCGAACTCTTCAGTTTTGGCGTTGGAAGTGGGTCAACTTTTTTTTTCTAAATTTGTGTGCTAGGCTTGGGATGTCACTTTTATTTAAGCCATTAGTTTCATCTATTTTATTGATTCTAATACTATATGTTTAAATAAATGGTTTAAATAATTATATTACCATTTTTTATATATATTATATACTTATTTTTAAAATTATCACATGATTTCTAAATATAAAGTACATCAATAAACAGGAAATGTTTTGTATGTCATCAAAGTGCTAAAATGGCGTCTGCTGGCTTCTTCTGATTGGAATTTTAGATTGATTTTCCAGCGACGCATTTTAGTTAGAAAACAATAATTGTTACTTAAGTATTTAGTAGGTTCAAAGTTATAAATAAATTATTTACTTAGTGTGAAGTGAATTTGTGAGCGTTAGAAACATGTAAGTATACTACGAGTGATAAGCGAATTTGTGCAATGGATTGTTTTGAGAGCGTCCTAATTTTTGTTCAGGTACGATGATAGGCGCGGCGGTGGTCGTGGTGGTGGACGGGGCGGAGGCCGTGGTGGTCGTGGAGGCGGCAGGGGCGGCGGCGGGTCCCGCGGCGGACGCTCCAGCGACCGTTCATTAGACAGAGGTCGAAGCGGCGGCGGCGGCCGAGGCCGAGGAGGCCGGGACGGTCGCGACGGCCGAGATAGCGGCCGAGGGTTCGGTGGAGGAGGCCGCGGCGGCCGCGACGACTTCCGCGGTGGCTTCAAAAACGACCAGCCCGGAAATAACTTGCGCAAAATCAGATGGGACTCGATCCAGCTCACGCCTTTCCAAAAGAACTTCTATGTCCCCCATCCGAACGTCGAAAGGCGGTCCCCGGCTGAGGTGGAAGCCTACCGCAGCCAACATCAGATCACGGTGCGAGGCCGCGACGTGCCCGCGCCGAGTATGTATTTCGAAGAGGGTGGTTTCCCCGATTATGCTATGAAAGAGATCTTGAAGCAGGGTTTCCCGAACCCCACTCCTATTCAAGCGCAAGGGTGGCCCATAGCTCTCTCTGGGCGTGATATGGTGGGAATTGCTCAAACTGGTTCAGGGAAAACCCTGGCTTATATTCTGCCAGCCATTGTTCATATAATCAATCAACCGAGGCTTTTGAGGGATGAAGGTCCCATTGTCCTTGTGTTAGCCCCGACTAGGGAGTTGGCACAGCAAATTCAGCAGGTAAGAAATTGGTTTCCAATTGTATGTTTTATGATTTTTTACTTCTTTATTAGGGAAGAATTAGGCCTGCCACTGATCAAATTTTACTTTCACAATGTAAATGTCCATTTTATTGTTACTAACAATCAGATTATATTATAAGAAGCGTTTGTTTTTCATTGTGCCGCAACAGACGTTGATCTCAATGAACGGGATCGCTGCAGAGATGATGGACAGCGATCCAAGCGACTTGGATATAGTAATTGATTCAATATTAATAATTATGTAGTAATTAGCTTCCTGAAGGGCAGGCTATGTTCGAAAACCTAAAAAAGACTTTTTGGCTTGTTTTCCAAATTATTTCTTCAATTTCTAAATTCAAAATTTATTTTCTCTGGCTAGGTAAGGTTTCTGAACGTAACCTTAGTACTTTTTTAGTTTTTGGCACTGTTTCTGTATCTACTTTTGTTTTTATTGTTTTTGTATTTTTAGTTATTTTATTCTACCTTTGTATTTTAGTGAGCATTTATTTTATGGTGCCATTTCACAAGTCATTCACTTCACGATCCACAAAAATAACATGTAATTTTTCGTAATGCTGATTTTTCAATTGCCAGAAAAATTACAATAGTATTTGATCGAATAATCTGATGATTGAAAAGTCTGCTTTTAGCTAACAGCTTTATGTGAAATTCAGTTTATACTACCTATTAATTAAACTATAAACATAAATTCATGAGTCATGCACATATCAATCTATGTAAATCTATAAGCTCGTAAGACGTTCATATAATACACAATCACAGTTCACACGGTTTGATTATTTTAGCTTCATTTAATCATTTTTGGGGATATAAAACTAAATATACAATGTCTCTGAATGTTATCTTCTATTTTACAGGTCGCCACAGATTTCGGTCAAAGCGTGCAAGTGCGTAACACTTGCATCTTCGGTGGAGCTCCTAAGGGACCGCAAGGCAGGTGTCTGGAGCGAGGCGTTGAAATTGTAATTGCTACTCCTGGAAGACTGATTGATTTCTTGGAAAAAGGTAATTAATTTCATACATTGATTTTTTATGGACTGACTTTTGACCTACTGATTGTCAGGAAGCACCTGAATGAGGGCAGCAATCGTTAGAACTAGTTGCCTTTACCTAGCAATAAAGAAAGTGCTAGTGAACAGATTAAAAATGTTTTTATGTCAGTTGGCCATATTTGTTTAAGTATCTACTGAATTCTAAAAAATTCGACTGTACAACAATACATAATTAACGAGTAGGTAGTTACAATACAATGATACTGAAAAGGTATCAGTAGACTGCTGATTGCTTTTTTCCTCTTTTCAATCAACATTTTTATCTTTTGCAGATACTACAAATCTAAAGAGGTGTACATACTTGGTTCTGGATGAAGCTGATAGGATGTTGGATATGGGTTTCGAGCCACAGATTCGTAAAATCATTGAACAAATTCGTCCAGACAGACAAGTAAGTCTATTGTTCATAATGCACTATTGATACAAGTTGTCCTTGTCTCACATGTTACAGTCTCAGTTGTTACATTCTTGACAGAGAGGTCATAATCGTCATGAGTTGTGATTTGTTGGGGATTTTGCTCGCCTTATAAGGATACCTCGCCTCGTCACCTCTCTTTTCCTGGTCAACTCAGTGCACTTGTATAGGGTACCATCCACAGTTTTGATCTGGTCTGTCCAGTAACAGTAAGTAAATTATTTCGTTCTAGGTTCTCATGTGGTCAGCCACCTGGCCAAAAGAGGTCCAGAACTTGGCTGAAGAGTTCCTCCATGACTACATCCAGATCAACATTGGATCTCTATCCTTGTCTGCCAACCACAATATCCTCCAGATAGTGGATGTCTGTGAGGAGTGGGAGAAAAATGAGAAGCTCATCACATTGTTAACAGAAATATCTTCAGAGGAAGAAACCAAAACAATCATATTTGCAGAGACTAAGAGAAAGGTCAGTATATTTTTTAATTTTCATCATCTAATAATTAGCTAAGTATGTTTATCTCTTATCTATTCGTCATTGTACAAGCTCTACTTTGAGCTAGATTTGCTTTGTCATGATAGTTGAAAGCAATTTATTACTGATCATTAACTTGGTGCCTAATCAAGCAATGGATAAATAATGAAAATGTTCAAAGTAACAAATCTCACAAAGCAGAAAATGCCCTAGCTAGAGAATAATCTAGCCTACAGTTCTCCAAATACTTACCTTCCTTAGGTGGACGAAATAACAAAATCCATAAACCGAGCGGGTTGGCGCGCTCTGGCCATCCACGGCGACAAAAATCAGCTGGACCGCGACTACGTATTGAATCAGTTCAGACAGACGTCTGCTGGAGGCATTCTGGTCGCTACTGATGTCGCTGCCAGGGGCTTAGGTAAGGTTGACCCATAAAAAGCATATTAGAGTACTAAATGAACCCGAATGCGAGACGTTAGGATGAACGAAAAGTACACCAGAGATTAAAATTATTCGGTCTTGGCTATATGAATCTCAACATTGTACAAAAGTTAAATCCAATTTAACACAAGGTACTAAACATAATGCGAAATATTGAGATGTTGAGATGAATGATGTAAAAATATGTGTTACTGTAAATTGCCCAGACGTTGACTATCTTATGTTTGTGCCACCTTTTAAAGAAAATGCTATAAATATTTATTACAAGATATAAATCAATGGTGGTGATACTACTCCCGCCTGTGTAGAATTGAACAATAATGAAGGCATCAAACAGAAGATTAATATCCAAACAGTGCCGAGGTTTTTTAATGTAAACGCAATCGCAAAGGTTTGTAAATCATCTCGCACTGTTCCACCGGGGTGTAAAGGTCTAAGAGATGTCAGGAGCGTAGAGGAGGTATTTGATGCCATTGCTGTCAATTTTTGAACAAGGTTGTGATTGATGCCAACCGTATTTAAAACAGTTCCAGTATTCACGAATTATTTTGATGTCAAATGGGTTTCAAAATGGTGACCCGTGAAAACAGGTTAGGAGCAATTTCTCGACAATATAAGTGTTGGTTGGCGACATAAATCGTTGGACCACAAGGCACTTATCCACAAAGCAAAAGGAATTGCACGCAGTTGGTGGATTTGACATGGCGATTGTGAATTGAGATAATTTATATGTGGATATTGGAACATAGGCCACCAAATAGTAATTAAAGAAAAAGCAATGGCTTGATATTACCATTTAGAACTATTCTCGGGCCGCGATTTGTATCTTACGATATTCTTATTCCAGTGTTTTTCTGTCACAAATGGCACAATTTGAAAGTTTAAAAATTATTGTATGTATTACAAAAGTTACTAATTTGTTGGAATTTCTAAAACTGCACTATCAACTTGTATCAACTTTGTAAGAACAGAACTCTGAATTTTATCATTTACATTGAAGAAATCATAGTCAATTTCAAATGTTTTAAATTGGAATAACAGTTTCGTAATAGTCGTAAGGTTCCACAATATCATAGCCCGATGATATGGATAAATTTCCATGACTGACTTGGCATTATTCTCGAATGTTGTTTTCATTTCAGAGGCGCATGCGTGCAGAGTTAACGGCTAGCCTAGCGGTGTGTTGCTGACCTCACGATAATCATTGTGATTGCGATAATGATGGTATCATTAATGACAGCATTACTTAAACTGTCAGCGCACACTGTTCGATTTAGCATGCTGCCTCTTTGTAAAGTAACAACAATTTTGATGGGTGTAGCGGTGAATGTGGTCTTACTGATTTTTATAAACCAAATATTTTCTGAAGAAAACTTACAAGTAAAATTTTGCGACAGGGAAAGTGAAATTAATAATTTTGAAGTTGATAACATTCTTGATTAACGTAATAATGTAGCGTAAGACCGTCACATGCACTAGAGCAATACATGCTTGGTTAAATGTCATGAGAGATTTACTGAAAACTAAAGGTTGCCCTGCCCTACGCCACCTGACAAGTTAGCGGGTTATATACGAGGCGTTAAGTCAGCACACCGATCCACTCTTGGCCTACAACACTCCGGAACCACTGACGGGCATAATACAGTTATTTCCAGCTGTCTCTTCATACCACGGCGTCGTTCGATAAGGTAAACATCTCTCTAAATAGTCATGGAAAGAATTCTTGAATTTGCATAATTATTTTGATTTAGTTAAAGCTTTCGACAATGTAAATCTCTTGATACTTAACTTTTATTTGAGTTACTCGCATTTATCTTGTCTGATCAGATGAAATAATAATGCTTCGAAAAAGTATGTGGTCGCTGGTTGTATCAAATCCGAAGGGGTTCCGCAAGGAGCCACTTTGGGACCTTTAAATTCAAGAATTTTTCCACTGAGTTGTTTTATTTATTTTTTGTCTGGATGTTGCTTTTGTTTTCAATATTTCATGGATGTACGAAATGCATTGTCTTGCTTCTTCTAACATGTTTTGTCGTTTTCCGCGCAGATGTGGAAGATGTGAAATTTGTGATAAACTATGACTATCCAAATAATTCTGAGGACTATGTGCACCGTATTGGGCGCACGGGTCGGTCTCAAAACACGGGCACTGCCTACACATTGTTTACTCCTAACAATTCTGCCAAGGTGGGTAACTGTCCAACAAAGCTATAAAGAATATATTTAGATCTTTCAAACTTGTGTGACACAATTTTCTTCTTTTTTAGGCCAGGGATTTGATGTCAGTGCTGCAAGAGGCAAACCAAGTGGTTAATCCTAAATTACTAGAATTAGCTCAATGCGGAATGGGATTCAAGGGAAAATACGGTGAGTAATATAAACACTACAATAGAAATAATTTTCGGTCTAGTAAATTCAATGATGCCATCATACCCTATTTTTGCGACATAAGGTATATAGTCTATTGTCCTCCTGGGTTCAATAAATCTTTATAATAAGTAATTGGTTCAGCGATTTCGTAATAAAAATCTTACCAGAAAGTGACTATCGCATTTATATTGTTAGTTTAAACTAAAAGCAGTTGGGATAAAGCAGTGTTTTTCAACCTTTTTCATAACACGACCCCCCTGTATGAAAAAAATATTTGGCGACCCCCCTAGTAGGAAAAAAAAATTTTTGCAGGGACCCCGACCGTCCGGTTTTTTTTTCATGCATTTTATAATGTTACAAAGATGTTGTAGGGACCGAATACTTTAATCCATACGACATTAACATTTATTATGCATTCGCATTTCGGATATAATTTACTGTTTTTTTACAGAGGTTGTTTTAACGACCTCTCGCGACCCCCTATAGAGGCTTTGCGACCCTCCAGGGGGTCGCGACCCACAGGTTGAAAAACACTGGGATAAAGGAACATGGGGTAAATTATACCCACATCATATTCGACTAAAATATCTTATATCGTTTAAATACCTTATTCATTTTTGAAGGTCGTGGGCGATTCCGCGACCGCGACGATGGAGACTCGCGCGGTGGACGCGGCCGCGGTGGTCCGAGGGGCCGTGGCGGCAGCAGATTTGGCGACAGGGGAGGTAAGAATTATGTATTTGTTGAAGCATTTGGCACGATTTTTTTCTATTGTAAAGGTAAAGTCCGGTCGCCGAGCACGTAGAATTTAGTCCAATGACCCCAAGCTACCCATCCTTATCGCTCGCGCGTAATTATTATATTGCTGTCGCGACTGTGCGACGGGCGGCCGCAGTGAGTGTGCGTGCGCGACAGCCAACAGGGTCATTGGACCAAATCCTACGTGTTCGGCGACCGGACTTAAGCGATCAATACGTCTTCTATGAGACTTCCTTATTGAAGTCATCGATCAATTTAATGGCTTATGCAGTATCGTTATGTAAGGTAAATTTTAAGACTCTTAAAATTTTGATTACGCAAATTATAACCAAAAATGAATCTACATTTTATTCACAGGTTCCCGCTGGGACAACAACTCAGACGGGTACAACAGCAACTCAGGCGGCTTCGGCGGCCGCGGCGACGGCTTCAGCCGATCCTCTTCCTTCAACAAAGACAGCTCGTTCTCCCGCGACGGCGGCTCCGGCTTCCGCGGCCGCGGCAGGGGCGGACCACGCGGACGCGGCGCCCCATCCTCCTTTACACCCTCAAACTACCAGAATCAAGGCTACAACCAGAACCAAGGCTTCAAACCCAACTACCCCCAGAACCAAGGCTTCAACAACCAGTTTCAGAACCAATCGCAGTCCGGGTACAACGCGCCCCCTCCAACTAGTTATTATAACATGTACGCCCAACCTCCCCCGCCGCCCGCGAAGTTTGGGGCCAAATAGAAGCGGGTTAAATAGCTAAATTACATATCGGTTAAGACAGAATTTGTCCTAAGTTAGATTTTAAAGAACGGTCTTAATTTCCATGTTTGTGATTGATTTGATAACATCGCGAACGAAGCTTTTAACACGTCTGAGCTTGCCTAACATAAAACTGAGCTTTGCGATTATCTACAGTTTTTTATGGGCACGCCAAATGCATAGGTCATTTTCAAATTTTATCTATAGTATAATAATTATTATAAAGTGTTTATATAGCATCATTCGTTGATAGAAAAAGGTTTTTATTATTATTTTATTTATGAACGTCACAGCCATGTTTCATATTTACATTTGCTGCATCTGTTCTGCATTAACTTTATCCCATCTGGATAATATCTTACAACTTTTTGCATTGCAAATTGAGCATTAATTACTTGGTTAGAGCTTTGTTTGTATTGTACAACTTTCTTTTGCAAGAGGAGGGATCGGAGAGTAACTCAGTTCCTAAATTCCTTAAGCTGTGACGTCAGAAATAGCAAAATTGTCCGAAAGAAAGCATAATTATGTTTATGAGGTGATTGATTTAATTATACATTGCACATTTATTGAGAGTGGTAAGGAACACCATGACAAATTGTCCAATCTATTTAAAATTAATAGTGTAGAGAATTTATTAATATAAATCAAAGTACTTGTAATAAAGATTTACTATGTACTAAAAATATATTAAAATGTAGTTAGAGGTGTACTATTAAATATAGTCACTTCACTGCTAGTACATATTGCTACTCATGGTAGTTTTTGGTCAGTATACTCCCAATAGAAGTGTTACATTCCTATACATACATTGTGGCAACAGTAACATGTGCAATTCATGTAATAAATATTGATAGAAGTATTATAATGTTGTGTATGATTTGATTTTCCCTCTCCCCTGTGTGTTAGATGATTTTATGTGGAGTGCATCACCGCAGCAAAATTTTTATAAATGTTGTGCTTTAGAGAGTCGAGAGTATAGCAGATAATTAGTCCATCGTGAGCAGAAATTTGGCCACTAATTATCTGCTATACTCTCGACTCTCTAAAGCACAACATTTATAAAAATTTTGCTGCGGTAATGCACTCTTTTATGTGCCTGATTAGATTAGTGTGTAGATCAAATTCCTATTGGAAAACATTAAAAGACCCTAAGACCTATTAGGTCAACTTCCATGGTCTTCGTATCTGAGACCCTTTCTAGTCACTCACAATTTTTGAATTTCATTTTTTTAATGGTCATCAGGTTAATTAATTTAGATTCTAAATTTTAGAATAAAACCCTACCTCATGTGCATCCCCAACCACAGACCCAACCCTCAGGTAAGTGGCTGTGGTTTCTAGAAAAGATCTTTAATGCATTGAGTGGATTTGGTTAGTTATAAACTCCCAACAAGATTTCATGGACATTGGATGGGAGTCATGGAAACTAGAGTAGACATTGAAAAACAAAAATATATTTTAACACTTTACTCCTACATAAATACATGATAAACTGAACTTATTACTGATTCTGACTCCTCGACAAGACACAATTCAACTATCATGCAAATAGCTGGATCACATTATATTTTAGTAATTGTCGAGCCAAGGCGCAAGTTGAAAGTTTAGTGGGACGACGCTGGCTGGTCAGGGTCAACGTAGCCAGGCTGCTCCTCGGGGTTGTGGGGCCAGAAGGTCGGCCTGTTGACGGGGTCCAGAGCTTGTTCGGGGAAGGCGTCGTTGTAGTCTTCCATTGTCATCTGGTCGTACGGGAGGAGAGCCTTGGTGGCAGCGATTTCCTTCTCATACCTACACAAAAAGAAATAATTTTATAATATTAACTGGATAATATCAATCATAATTCCAATGATGTTTGTCTTAGCTTAGAATTTGTCATTTTATTTACATTGTATTTTGCAGTAATCATGAACATTTAATCATAGCAGAACATGTTACAATGTCATTGGAAAAACATGGGATTAATCTTGAAATAAAAATAAACTTACGAGGCAATGCTAGCGTTGGATTCTTGGACGAAGGCCTGGATGGCTTTCTTGACTTCAGCCCACTGGGCTTCCACTAAGGCGGTCTGTGTGTCCGCTGGGTACGGGATCTTCAGAGCTTCGTATTGCTTCTGGAAAGTGTCTACCATACCAGCAACGGGAATGGTCTGTTTGTACATAGCCCAGTTGATCTTGGGCGGCTCCGGGGGGTTAGCCAATACCCTGCAAATATAATTCAGATAACCAGAAACGCACCAACAAAAATTATGTAACATGAACATGAAAAACTAACCTTCGCAGGTATCCATCGGATCTAACTTTGAATGTCGCCAAGTTTCCCCTCTGCTCAGCCGGGACTCTCTCGGCTAAAGCAGCCCAATTTACAGAGCTCTGTGAAATCCTTTTTGCCATTTTTTAAGATTTCCTTCGGAAATTAGCTTGACCAAGAACTGTCACTCTGAAATCCGTCGATGGCTAACCAAAGACAAGTTAGAGTAGAGTCCACAGATTATGCAGATCATTCGCAGTTTCAATTCACGCATTAATTATAACTTTTTTATGCGAAGATAATTATTTATTATCCGAATTCTTTTTTATTTAATCCGTTTCCGCGTTGCAACATGGAAATGGCAAAGCACAAGTCGTGTACCAAGCAAAAATAAAAAATAGTGAATAATATCTGCATAGCTTTTATTGGCGGCTCCTATACTAGGACAATAACTCGCTCTCTCGTTTCTTTGGTCTCTCGTGGACACCGTCGGGTTTTAGTGGGTAGGTCCCGCCTTTAGTGAGCAGGCGGGGAGAGTCCTACTTAACCCACTGGCCGTCCCCATTGACATAGGATTTCCCGACGTAAAAATAAAAAGTCTTGTCTATGCTTACTACACTATTCTCAAAATATTTGAAAAACTGCGCCCGCGCAAAATATCCCAGACTGATTTGACGCGATCGACATTTTGATTAGGTACTTAGTGTTATAGTGAGTGATTTGTGAATAATTTTACGATTACTGGAGTAGATATTTTAAGGTAAAGAAAAATAATTTAATTTTACAATGGCCCGGTTTGAATAACCACCCGAGGTCAATGGATTCGAACTTAAAACTTACGTTTGTCATTTCATTTTCATTAATTTTATACTTAGTGACGACTAATTAATTACCTAAATTATTATATACAGGGTGTCCCAAAAACAATGGATAACCCTGTAACCATCGATAGGCCTCGCCATGATCTCCCTAACGTTCATTTTTGACCCCAGTAAAAATATCACCGTTTTCAAGATTTTTAAGTTTATGTGCATTTTTAGAAAATTACCACCTGCGATTATTTTTTTTCATGCCATTTCTACAAATGAGGATACTTTTCAATCTAGTTTTTTTCCTTATCACAAAGGATAGTTGGGCTATCAAAAGAAAAGATCAAAGTTCAACAAACTAGTTTGAAAATATGAAAATTTTAAGAAATTGCAGAAGAGAAGGAAAAATTAATTCATTGTCTTGCACTTTTGATCAGCCATCGTGTAAAAAAAATGTAGGAAGACCATCGTGCCCATTACCTTAAAAACTTCCTTGGTTAATTGAGATTCTAAAAAGGTATCACAAGCCTATGTATCCTGTATTATTTTTATCTTATGGCTACTTGAATAGCAACTAGTATGAAAACTGCAAAAATGAGTTTTTCTCGTAATAGTTAAACTAGGACTGCATAGTCGCATTAAATACAAATGGATAATTTTTAGCGTAGGAATTTAAATAAAGCAACATTTTATCATCATCATCATCATCATTTCAGCCGTAGGACGTCCACTGCTGAACATAGGCCTGTACCCTAATGATTTTCATAATGACCGCTTGGTAGCGGCCTGCATACAGCACCTTCCTGCTTATCTCTATGAGGTCGTCGGTCCACTTTGTAGGTGGACGTCCTACGATGCGCTCTCCGGTACGTAGCCTCCACTTGAATCCTGCTGCCTCAGTTCTGCGAACTACTGTGCCTTGCCCTTTGCCACTTCAGCTTGCTGATCCGTCGGGCTATGTCAGCGACTTTAGTTCGTTTACAGGTCTCCTAATTTCTGATACGGTTTCGTAAAGAAACCCGAGCATAGCCCCTTCCATAGCACGCTGTGCAAAAAATCCACGTTTCCGAGCCGTGTATCATCACGGGCATCTGTCTATAGGCACATTTATAAGGTGTAAAACAAAAATTAAGTAATCACAAAAACGCAGAACGGACGGCCAATGGGGCAACAGGGTTCAAGTGGAGGCTACGTACCGGAAAGCGCATCGTAGGACGTCCACCTACAAAGTGGACCGACGACCTCATAAAGATAAGCAGGAAGGTGCTGTATACAGGCCGCTACCAAGCGGTCATTATGAAAATCATTAGGGTACAGGCCTATGTTCAGCAGTGGACGTCCTACGGCTGAAATGATGATGATGATGATGATAAAATGTTGCTTTATTTAAATTCCTACGCTAAAAATTATCCATTTGTATTTAATGCCACTATGCAGTCCTAGTTTAACTATTACGAGAAAAACTCATTTTTGCAGTTTTCATACTAGTTGCTATTCAAGTAGCCATAAGATAAAAATAATACAGAATACATAGGCTTGTGATACCTTTTTAGAATCTCAATTAACCAAGGAAGTTTTTAAGGTAATGGGCACGATGGTCTTCCTACATTTTTTTTACACGATGGCTGATCAAAAGTGCAAGACAATGAATTAATTTTTCCTTCTTCTCTGCAATTTCTTAAAATTTTCATACTTTTAAACTAGTTTGTTGAATTTTAATCTTTTCTTTTGATAGCCCAACTATCCCTTGTGATAAGGAAAAAAAACTAGATTGAAAAGTATCCTCATTTGTAGAAATGGCATGAGAAAAAGTAATCGCAGGTGGCAATTTTCTAAAAATGCACAAATACTTAAAAATCTTGAAAACGGTGATATTTTTACTGGGGTCAAAATTGGACGTTAGGGAGACCATGGCGAGGCCTATCGATGGTTATAGGGTTATCCATTGTTTTTGGGACACCCTGTATATGTCGGCCGTTTGGTGTAGTGGTTCAGAACGGGCTACTATGCCGAGAGGTCCCGGGTTCGATTCCCGGCCGGGCAGAAATTGAAATGATGAATTTTAATTTCTGTGACGGGTCTGGGTGTTACTATGTATAATATGTATGTATTTAAAAAAAAAGTATATAAGTATAGGTGTANAATCATCCGTAACATTCTGAAGTCCGCTGTATAAATAAATTTCGGTGGATTGGTTGTTAATTCCGGTGGCTCAAACACAATTTCGGTGGCTCTTGATAATTTCAAATTGACATATCTCGAGAAGTATTAATAATATTTTGATCTCTACCATATCATTGAATAATACAAGTTGTTTACTATTATTTCTGCCACAAAAAAGTTTTGGAAAGTGGAAATTAAAATTCGCCACCGGAATTAGGCAAAAAACGAGTTTGTTGATATTCACCCATTTCTGGGTCTCTTACCGCCCCCCTTTAAGCCTGCAGCGCCCACAAGGGGGCGTTATCGCCCACTTTGGGAAAGACTGCTGTAGATCCTGGCTACACAGGAGTTGCAGCGGTGGGAAGTAGAGGTGGGAATAGTCCCGTATGTCAAGGCTCAGCTCGCCAAGAACAAAGCTGGTTTTGCTTAGTATTCAAATTGAAAACCTAAATTAAATCTAAAGTAACATTAAATAAATTAATGTGTATTTTTAACAATGAAATCTTCCCACCTTTAATCAATACAGGGCATAAATAATGCATCGAACCTGTAACCCACTTAGCCAGTGATAAAACACGTGTAGAACTTGTACCGGGGCGGGAACCTAATCGATTGTGGCCGAATCGATCGCGTGATTCGATGAATCGATTAATCGTTAAAGCTGAGAATGTTTATGTTTGTTGAGTTACTTCTTTTTTTTGTGTAATGTTTTTATTTGATTTCTTGAATCACATTAATATTTTAAAGAGGAAAGGTTTTTATGTTTGTTACGAATAACATCAAAAACCACTGGTCTGATTTTAAAAATTATTTTACCATAGAATGCTACATTATTTTTGAGTAACATAGTCGTAGGTCGTCAAGCCGTAGGCAAAAGCTATAATTTAATGTAAGAGGCTAAAAAACAGTGAAGTTATTTCAGCATTATTTTAAGCCGACATCAAATATTAAACCGCCAGACCACGTTCGACTTTTTGCAAAAATCAAACCAATGTAACCTCTTTATGTATTTAGTCTTTGACATTCTCGCGATCGTCACGTCAAGCTAAATTGAATCTTATGTCGTCGGCATAAGGGACACTCCAGATGTAGGCATAATATCAGTGATCAGTATGCAGAGACAGTTCGGAGTGTCTGATTGGTTGAACGTCTATTGTAGGGTGTCTGAGTCGAAGATTCGATATTTTATTGTAAGGCTGGGGTTTAATATTAGCTGCCAAAGAAACTAGAAATATTAGGCTGAGTTGCACCACCTAACTTTAACAGTAATTTTAACGATAACCGGTGGTTTTGTATGGAGTTTGACAGATTTTTGTGCAACCCAGCCTCAGATCATAGAAGGGAACCAGCCTAAGTGATGAACTTGTTGAGATTGTCAGAAGTCGCGGATTCGATCCCCGCACAAGACAAATAGGTATTTTTTTTACATTTTAGGTGTGTTTTCTATGGATTTTTATTTGGACTTAATGCCAAACTTTTTATGCCAGTCAGCCTTTGCGTCATGTAGAGCGCTGTTAGTATGTTGCAGGTTAATAATTAAAGTTAATTATTTACTTTGTATTTACAAACTCCTACCTACCGGTAGCTAAAGTATATGCTTTGCTTAGTTCGGAACAAGATGGCTGTTTTCAAAAGGTATTTATTTATTTGATGTATGTACCTCATGATGACGTACTCGACTGACGATCGTAAATAGGGTCATTTTCCCTAAATCATACTAAAATTAGGACAATTTGATAGAACTAATGCCGACTGTGCCCAGACCTCCATGTTCTATTGATAGGCTTACAAGGGCAAATTTAAACAATTAGGGGTGGCACCGTGACGAATTATCAAATTCTGCTAGTTTTAATTGACTTACAAGACCCTCGTTAGAAGGTGAGCAGTGGAATGTCACTTACTACATTTAGTTATTAATTGAATTTTATGTCACAACTTCGTAGTAAAATAGACGTAAAGAACATTTGAAGACACTCAATCTTGTTAATAGTAACTTTTGAAAGCTTTTAAATCATGCTAATATTACAAGAGGAAAGATTTTTATTTTTGTATGTTTGTAAAGAATTAACTCAAAAACTACTACATCGATTTCATAAATTCTTTCACTGTTAGAATGCTACATTATCCCTCAATAACATAGGCTATACTTAACAGACCACAATTCACGCAAAGTCGCTGGAAAAAGCAAATTTCAAATTTAATAGTTACTTCTTTTTGCTTTAGCTTTTGTGGGTATCCTTTGGCTACTTCCGAAGATCCTTTACCTGGGTATGTTTAGTATTAATTACCTACTATGAGAATTGAAAACAACAAAATTTTCAAAATGACTGCACACATTGTCTGGCTGGAAGCGATTCGAATGAGGAAACTGCCACCGGAACGCGTGTTGGTTGATAATGTTACCTCATTTTTGAGCTCACATGAACGTTCTAATAAGCTGTCATATCTCAATATGCTTGCTATGCATGGTCTCCTTCCAGGCCACGTACTGCCCACAAGGGAACACACTTGTCTTGATCACTTCATGTTAAAAATAGATAGTAGCATATTTTCGGCATCTATTGTGGTATTTGATAGCACTGTAACAGACCATCGTATGATATTTTTAAAATTAAGCAGTACCATGAAACCTGAAATCCATAAAACAAAATATCAGACAATTGTTAACTACGTAAAGGCAATCACTTGCCTGAAAGAAAGTAACATAAATGATCTTATGACATATAATAATCCTGCTGAACTGACTGATACCCTAATAACTACATTACAACAATGTTTAATTAATAGCACTACTACAAAGCCTATAGTTTCCAAAGACCGCTTGATTAAACCTTGGATTACACCAGGTCTATTAAAATGTATCCGAAATAGAAATGACTTGCAGCAAAAATCACGATCTAACCCGTTTGACGAAATTTTAAAAATCACCTACAAAAGGTATCGAAATTTTTGTGTTAATTTAATTAGAAAGGTAAAGACTAAATATGAACGAGAAATTTTAGCAAAAAATAGTAAAAATTCAAAAACCCTTTGGAAGACAATAAATGATATAACCAGCCGTAACACAAATAAAACAAGTAATCTAGATTTATTGGATTCGAAAGAAACTCCACTAGTAGCAGTTAACCACGTGAATATGTTCTTCGCAAACATTGGCAAAACTCTAGCTCGTAAAATTACACCAGATCCCTCTTTGCAAAAACCCTATAATTTGAACCAGTTGCACAGCTCACCAGTTGCATCTTTTGTTTTTCTGGAAACGGATCCTGAAGAGATATACTTAACCCTAATGAGCCTTAAATCCGAGAGTGCCCCGGGTTCTGACAACATACCTACTAGATTTTTGAAATTAGCTAATGAAATAGTAGTACCTATAATTTCCCACTTGGTTAATTTATGTTTTGAAAGGGGGACTTTTCCAGCGGCATTAAAGAGAGCAGTTATTACGCCTGTCTATAAGAATGGGAACAAGAGCGACGTCTCGAATTATAGGCCAATCTCAGTTTTAACGGCAATATCTAAATTAGTAGAGAAATTAGTAAATAAAAGACTAGTAAATTATTTAAACAAAATTGATTTTCTATCAGAATCACAGTACGGCTTTCGGAGAAATCTTTCGACTGAAGATGCAGTCACGGCACTAACGTCTCATGTTGTAGAAAATGTTGATAAGGGACAGAAATGTATTGCAACATTTTTAGACTTGAAAAAGGCATTCGATACTGTCTCAGTTCCCATNGATTCCTATACTATCCTAAGAATTATTGATTACCTACATGGCCAACATACCTTTCAGCATCTTTGGGAAGCGAAAAAAAAAGATAAATCCGGTAGATTTCTTTTCGAATTTAAACACCCGAACGCCGCACAATATTTCTTTCTCTGTATGTCCATTTTTAAATAATACTTCGATCATAGAATTATAATCATACTACAACGCACGCCAGCGACCTGACGGGCGCGCGCGTGACACTCGACTGATATAATACCCGCCGGCGGGGCGCTTCGCTGTAGGTATCTAATTATCGGATGTACCGCGCGGAGTGAGCCAGGCCTGCTTTGGGGCTAGCTGGCGCTGTGTGAAATTGTCCAAAGATTTATTTATTAAAGATTTATTATCATAAAAATCTTAACAAATTATTGCCAACTACACATTTTTTTTTCAGGTAGGTACACGGTACTTACTTGCGCCTGAGCCTACCTATGCACTGTGCGTACCTTACTGGAGGGACAACTAAATTGAAAAGTAGGCAAGTACAATCCGCTCTATAAAGTTTAGCTCCTTGAATGTTAGAATGAACCTTCTTAATTTATTTTAACAAATTGCTAATTTTCGTCATCAGTCATTATTAAATTAAGAAAGCAGGAAGGGAGGGTAGGCAGCAAAAAAGTATGAAATAAAACGTTGACTTTCAATTATATTAAAAACGTTTATTTTACCTTTGGTTCTCCATAAAATATTACTTATAATTAAGCCCAAATTAGGTATACATATTATAACAACTTCTTATTAACTTATAACTAGTAGAAATTGGTAAATATATTAATACACTTTTCTTTATGAAAAATTGGGTTTATACAGGGTGTACTAAAACCAGAGCAGCCCTTGTAACTATGTAGGTTTTCCTTATAGTTAATATCAAATTCAAAATTACATTACGCCGAGTCTTGATTTGATGAAAATTAAGCGCTAATATTGTGGCAGATAATGAGACACAATATTCAAGCTGTAGCCTTCATAAAAAACTAACTACTCAAACAACACTGACCCTAAAATCAAAATCTTTTTTTTTTTTCAAATAAATGTTCTTATTTTCATTGATTTTTTTATTACGAAGGGAAATAACTAATTTGTTTTGCGTGTAGGTAAACAAGACCGTCATTTTTGAGAATTGCGTTGTTATTGATCAATTTCTACTATGATACATTAATCCTAATTGACTTTTTCCAAATCAGTCTTTGTAATAATAAAATAATAATAAACATTATAAATATGATTGATAGTTGATAGCTTCTATGTATGTTAGCTTAAAAATATTAATATTTTACGCTTTGGTAAAATAGATTTGTGTTCCAGATTAAAAACCATCCGATAAATAATTAGTTACCTATCTAACTTGTCTAACTCGGTCTTCTCATATTTTTTTATTTAACGTAGGTAGATAACTAAGCTATCGTAAGATTTTAAATGGCCTGCCAAACATTTTGATAGAAAAATCTCAAGTGGGGGCATCTGGGAATACTTAATTCCCATTTACCACACTTATGAAAACAAAAAAATTAAAATGTGCAAAAATAGTTGGAGTTACAATTTGTCTGATCATCCTTTTATGAATTATTTTTATTTTTTAATTGTGATGTTAACAAATGATTAAGGAAAACTTTTTACTCTTTTCTTTTAACAATAATTTGTTTAACAGTAAAGGATAATTTTTAGATTATTTTAGCCACTGATAAACATTGACTATCGGTAGGTTTAATTACTAAAGGAATGCAATGCTTATTTATGAATAACATCCGTAATATTCATGACACTATTATGCTAATGATATTAAATATAAATTATTCTTACTCTTATTATTTATTGATAACATTATCAACTTTGGTTATTCATATACATATTAATAAGTAGCTTTCATTTACTTACTTAAATATAAAAACTTATTTTGTATGTACAGTATTGACATTATTTACATAAATTTTACATTCTACTACAGGAAGTAGAAATGTTTTGATTTAACTGCACACAACTGGGGGACGAAATTCAACAAGAGTAAATGATTAATGTGTTCAAATTAACTTTGCCAAAGTCAAAAAGAAGGAATATTAATCAAATGTTGAAGGTTCAAACCATCTTTTGATCATGTGCAATTAAATTCGTGAGTATCATTAGAACAACATTTTGTTTTGCAACGAATATCTAAAAATAGCCGGCTTAATGAGTAACGTTATATTAAATTACAACCACTATAGCTAGATTATCATTTACATAATCTTGTTCACACATTCAAAGAGATTTTTTGTATCTACATCTTAGGCCAAGACGTACAAAAAACTTTCTGAGAATAGGTATAATTATTTTGATCTTAAGAGTGATGGATTTGAGTGCTCTACATTATTTGACATAGCAAAAGATGAATTTTGTGGCCATTCGTAGAGGTACATTCATAACTTAGTCGGATTATCTTTCAAGGGATTTCTTTTTTCGACATAATTTGGTGAGTTCGACGATTGCCCCACCGTTCTGCTTCCCCACGTTGTTCTTTTGGCCACAGGATTATTCTTACAAAACTTGAGGAGATTAGCGTAGGCTGCTCTGTACTGTCTGTTCGTTGCAGCGTAGATGAGTGGGTTGATAACGCTGGAGGCCCAAGCTAAAATGGACGCTATTATGTGGAGCCAAGGGTAGGTAATCCCATCGTCGGCAACGTTCATGATCATGAGTGGCAGGAAGCAAGCCAGGAAACAGAGGAAGATGGTGAGCATGAGGGTTGTGAGGCGAGAGTCCTCTTCTTTCTCCTTCGCTGTTTGACCGCTGAGTTTGCTGTGAAAAAAACGCAAGGATTAAAATAACAGTGAGAGTTGCGACATTTTTTTGAGTGGGACTTAGCAAGGGAGCTGAATTCTCCCTCGTACTTTCACAATTTCTACTTGAATGAAAGTAGAGTCAAACAAAGTTCTTATAGAAATATAAGAAAATGTATTGTCATTTCCAAGAATTAAGTTACCTAATTTTAAGGACGTAAAAATAAGTTTCCCTGTTTAAAAATACATTCACATACGAACCTAATGATTTATTAAAGAGGGAATTAAGTAATGAAATCTCACGATGTCAAATCTTTTTTGTTGCATAGAAAATAACGATTACACAGAGCAAAAATGTTAAGTGCAACCTACACTTAACTAACCAAACCCCCACCAAGTTAGCACTCGAAAATACCAGTCGATTCTCACCCACATACACACCTTCGTCCCTCCAGTTTTCTCTTGCTCTCTCGCACTCTCCAGTATATGCAAGAGTAGGACACAATGATGACGAGGCATGGTAGCGCGAATCCGAAGACGAATAGATACTTCTTTGGTGACATACAGTGTTTGGGCAGGATCGTGCAGCTGAACGTTTTAGGATTGAAGCCTAGTTGGCCCCAAATTCCTAAAAGTGGTGGCACCTGAAATAAATAGAATAAAAAAATATGAACACAAAGTAAAATAAATAGTTCATGGACAGCCACATGTTGTGAGTCCTTGTATTTAATAATTCCATTATCGGTATGCTATCATTCCTATCAAATTCAGCAAATATTTTTATTCGGCTACCAATGATATTATTAACACAGGCAAGTAGGTGCAATCAAAACAAAAATTTAATAGCTCGTGCCGCAACGCAATGGGTTAAGAAACGCAGTATAAATGTTACGGTTAATGTGATAATTTGAAAATTATGAATAATCGCCGGTTATTATGAATAATTACCGACAGGTGAGGTAAAAGTGATAAATTAATCACATTTATCAGTGATTATTTCATAATGTAGGTATCCTTAGTACTAACGAATATCATAAAAGAGAACACCGGATCGTGTACAGCGCTCATGTACAGCCTCACACTTTAAACGTTTTGATATCATATATTAATATAATCTGGCAAAATGAGTTTAGACTGTTTCTTGCGTAACATTACTTTACCATAATGCCTATAACCGTGTATATTAGCCGTGTGGTGACGGCAGAGTAGAATACATTTGTCACCAACCCCTACTCTTCCCGCGGGTGTCGTAAGAGGCGACTTAGGGACTACACATCAAACAGAGAATGGGCAGCAGCGCTCTCTGAAAAACATCAATCTTTTAAACTGCGATCTCCAACCCGNATTAATATAATCTGGCAAAATGAGTTTAGACTGTTTCTTGCGTAACATTACTTTACCATAATGCCTATAACCGAGTATATTAGCCGTGTGGTGACGGCAGAGTAGAATACATTTGTCACCAACCCCTACTCTTCCCGCGGGTGTCGTAAGAGGCGACTTAGGGACTACACATCAAACAGAGAATGGGCAGCAGCGCTCTCTGAAAAACATCAATCTTTTAAACTGCGATCTCCAACCCGCCTGCCAAGCGTGGAGATTATGGCAAAACCCTCCACTATAGTGGAGGAGGCTCATAGTCCAGCAGTGGACTGTAAAGGGCTGTTGATGATGATGATGATGAATGCCTATAACACATTGTTTTGATTTAAAGTGAAAAATAGGTTAAGGTGCGGCGGGGGGGGCCCTTGGGCCACCCCTAAGCCGCCTATTTAGTTTTATACACACATAAATGATCTTTAGTTAATCACATTTACCAAATCATGTGGTAATTATTCATAATAACCGGCGATTATTCATAATTTTCACATTTATCACTTTAACCGTAACATAAATACAAAGGGTCATAAAACAACACAACAACACTCCGTTGATGGCACTGCATTTGACGCATCACTGCAATTGGACGAAACTGTTTCCATCATTTGAACTGTAATGGACTAAAATGGCCTATTTACGGTTTCGAGTTGGAAGAAATTAATGGAGCCTATTATTCTTTGGTAGAAGTTAAAAGCTGTAGCGATAGCGGGAAGAAATTTAAAAAATATTTTTTATCCGTGCTCAAAACTAAGTGGGGACAAATGGGAAATATGTTTTAGTCATTTATGAATAAGCATTGGAATGATTTAGAAAATAAATTCAGCTGGCTTTCACATTTCTTCCTAGCTCTTACGTGTTATCTTTAAGGAAATGCTGCCCTATATCCTTGCTATTTCTCAAGTCAAAGTACCTTACGTGTCTCATCAAAGTTTTATCTTGTTTGCATTTAGTATATTTATAGGTAGGTCCTTTAACATTATCAGCTTCATTTACAACATTCAGGATGCTTCCATTCGTGACAATTAACTGGCTCATGAATAGGTGCAATGAACTAATTCCGACGAATTCCAGCTTCCTCTAAATTATAACCGTTTATTTGTTTAATGGACCCGCCTATGGATACAGTTTTAATTCGTATGAATGGCGTTATGTGTGGTCCCTTCCTAGTAGCGAGATATTATTTATGTGAATAAAGCAACATAGGTACATTGTGTAAACAGTAAAATTCAACATCTGTACTGTGTCAGATTAGATATTTTTGTGATATTAAAATACGCTATGACTTACATAAATTTTAACGCGTGTTTGATGAATTTAGGTAAAAGGAAGTAGAACCTGGTAGATGAATGCCCTGATTGGGCTGAATCCAATTAATCGCATTTGCCACATTGAAATATGATTATTTTATAAGTCACGAGATAAAGGGGGAAAATGGCACTCACCATGAATCCGAAGGAGACCAGCCATATCAGCAGCAGCTGGATCCAGATCTTGGTGGTCGTGTAGATCTGCGAGTACATATCGTAGTACGCTATGAGCGTGTATCTGAAATAAAAGACGATAACTTAAGTATAATAATATTAAGATTGCAACTCGGCAATAGTAAATTACTAATTATTTCTTAAAACTTTCTTTTTATTGATACACGCAATGCTATAAAATAAGTCTGTAGTAGTCATAGATATAAAATAATGTAGCTATTTCTGCAAGCTTTGATCAGGCACAGAACTTCGAAAATTGTTGTTCTTTTTTTAGAAATATTTTTTAAAAATAGTATAATATTGGTGCATAAAGAGCTATTAATCGTAGGTAGGTAATCATTAATTAGTGCCTAAGCGTGGGAAGTCGAGAAAGCTTCCTAGGTAAAGCTACTGCTTTAATAATCTCTGGGCACAAAAACATGCACTCATCCACTCCAAGCGTCGTTTTGATCTCACTTTCATGAAATCTGGAGTGTTTTATGTTTTATCGGCCGTTAAAAGGCACTCAGCGCTATCGGGCGTGGGAACGCGAAGCTAGTGTTTGAGGATGATAAACTTGCATCCGCACCTTGAAGCAACAGTAACCTACTAAGACGTCAAACTGCCCTAAATAGCAATAAAAATTGAATAATTAAAGTTATCTGTGACATTAATGGCAACTCACATTATTTTAATACTTATCAAAATATTTTTTTTAATCCACAACGAGGAAGCTCTTGGCCTGTATCTAATATTGCAGACGTAACGACATTAGGTACCTAGTAGTCGTCTCTGTTCGTCACTAATCATTAGGCATAGGTAGTTTTTATTTGACGTACCAGACACAAGTTTATCCTATCATCAACAGTCATACATGTGGCTGTGGCTAACAACTTAGTCACTGATAAATGCTTTAATATTCGCTTCAAAAACATTTAAAATATCTTACCCGTGTTGAAGTGAGGTATAATTTTTTTGATAATTTCGAATAGGTTAAAGTTAAAAGGCAAATAAAAACAACTGTTTCTGAATCATACGACGCGTTTCCCTAAAAGGGCATAACGAATCTGCGGAGTGCGGACATAGTAATAAAGTCCTAAATATGGTTATGTTCCTTGAACATTGAGATTAAGTTACTGAATTAAGAGAAGGGCAAGGCCTCGGTATAATATTGTGTGCCCATTTTTTTGGCCTACTTTAAAGATATAACATAATATTAGGTTACTGGCTAACAATGGAATTTTATTGACCAAAGTCTAACATTGTTAAAAGTTTCGCTTATTAGTTACATGGTTGCTACTATGGGAGCATCGAGCATGCCATAGCCTGAGAGTTAAAATATCCTTTGACATAATTGTATCCCACNTATCCCACATAAAGCATTGAATTCTCTTACCTCATAGTAGAATAGTTGCAAATTAGTCACTCTAGTTTACAAATTGACGACAATCAATTTTGTATAGTAAATAAACAAGGAAATCTTTTGCTATGTTTAGATTTCTACATAGCGGCCTATAACACCATTAAAGTTTGATTTGGTAAGAACATTAATGTTATTACAACCGAACAGCTGGTCAATTGGATTACAACCGATCTTTGTATCGAGGATACTGACCCAGCAGCGTCAATGGTTTATTTTTATACCCGCTGCAGCATGGTGTTTCGCAATGGTTCAATGATTTGTGTTGAGAGGATTGATGCATCTGACTTATTGTAGAATCAATCATTTTGATATCAAACAACAATAAAGTCACTTAAAAGAAGTTGTAGTAGGTATATAGAAATTTATACAAAAAAAATCTTTCCCATTTGCCCCCATTTACAACTCTAGGGGCCTGATGGGAATTTTAGGAAAATCTTTACTTTAGCAACTTTTTTGCCCGCTATTACCTAGTGCACCTAATCTACAGAGATCCCGGTTTAGTAACTTTCGTTATTACCAACAGTTGTAGCTTGTATGTGCCCCAAAAGGGAAATTTAATGTCTATCAGTTAAATAGCTTCTCCCTTCCCCTTTAATGCATTTTGGTTGACCGTTATTACTACCTACCAATTTGCATTTTGATACAAATCTGCATCTTACCACAGTAACTCCGTTATCAATCAAGTTTTTAACTGCTTTTTCTATTCATTCTGTGACTTGAGCTCGTTAGTATCTGTCAGTTTGTTGTGTATTTCTATTTACTCATACTTTCGAGAGCACTCGCATGACTAATCCAAATAATAAGCGCCCATAACGTGTAACATTCTTGAAACGTTATGTTCTAGCCATGATCGTGCTCGGACGAAAGTCGCTGATATGTAATTAACTGTAATAACTTCATTGTTATTAGCAAAATGCTTCAGCAAATAATTGCTTAGCGTTATTCTAAGAATTCAAATAAAAATATTTTGCGGAAAATCTACCTATTTCAGCGAGAAGCGTTTGATTGATATACTTAATGTAGTTTCCATTCTTGACCGACATTAGCTAAAGTTAAAATCCTGTTTCGTTGTGTTTAAAGTCTTTAATGTAGATCAATTAAGTTTTCTTGCTCTTTAATTATGGGTTTAAAATATTAATTATTCCATTTTAAACTTGATTGTTGCGTTTCCCCTGCTACAGCCAGGAAAGTAACAGTTATTATCGCAATCAGAGAACAATAGGCCCCTGTCATCTCAAATTGAATTGTTACTAAAATAAGCTTTGAATAAGTCGACACGTCCCACGCATACGGGCCTTTTAATTTATGTTTCACGCATCATCGAGGGTTTCGCTTGGGGAGATGAGTAAAATGCTCTTTTTTCTGATTTCTTATATCTCCATTTAGCTTTACAACAATCGGTCATAAATATTTAAGTTACTTGGAGAGAATTTTAACGAGTTTAATCTATGTATTTTTTTTATAAAACGAGAGTTATGGGTCACTGGATCAAATGTTTTTATACATACAATATTTTTTCATCCCTTGGTTTGGCTTATTTCCTCTCAGACCTCCCGCTTCCTCCATTCAATTCCTTTGGGATTCCTAAACAATATAATCCTTATTCATATTCTGATTGCGGACTTCCATTAATATTAATGCAGTTGCTTCAACATGCTTCTTCAATGAACGGATATAGGCCAATGAACCGCATAACACTAATAAGATTTAGTAATTAAATAAAATGAGTAAAAAAAAGACAATAGGTTTAATAATTAATTAACTTCATTAGCTAATTGAAAACGCAATGGCAGTTAGGCACATTGCGTTTTCTATTTATTTTAAGTAAGTATAATTAATTTATTACTGATTCTATCGTTTACAAGCTGCCGCTTATATAACTCTCCGAATACACCCTTAAATTATTACTAACTTTCGCGTTGCATTATTTAAATAACTAATTAACGGGAATTATGAACGCAATTCTTTTGATTGATGTACGGTTGCAACTTGCACCGGCCTTGGTCATATTTATGAATTTCGGCTGAGTAAAAAAGAGTCATGATAATATTAAATGAATATAATGTTTTGCAAAATAACACGACCGTGTGTAGCCTTCAATAAAAAATACTCGAGGGTCATTCGAACATTGCACGGTTTGTTTTAAATATATTTTTGTTTTACAACTTAATGCGTGAGCGAGCTGACGTAATAAATCAAACAACGCTTTTACAGACGCCGGAGATTTCCCGCCGTTTTATTTTTATGACACGCGCAATGAAGTGGTTAGATTTACTAGTTTATACGACAGACAGTTTATTAGAAGTAGACCTTAAAAATTCTGCAATTATAAGCGGGGCAAATGGGAACACTAACACTATTTATTTGAAGAAGTGAATAATTCATGCAACGCGAAAGTGGGACAAACGGGAAAATTAACACTAACAATTAAAATGACATTAACTTGATAAATTGTTTGATGTAATGTAAGTAATGACTTGATTTTACTCTCCCAATTAGTGCAAAAGAAAATAAGAAATTGAAAACACGAAATTATTTATCGAACATAGATTTTTTTTTGAGTTGCTAAACGGAGATGATGATCTCTGTGAATTTTATTACTGCTCTGATAAAACATGGTTTCTAGCTGAAACAAGTTAACTGTTATTAAATCGTTTTATGGGCGTACTTTACCGTTCCGTGTTGCATTAAACTGCACTTAATGCAGGTCACTTTTTAGGGTTCCGTGGGAGGAAATGGAATACATTAAGGATATCTGCACTATTTCGTTTTTTCAACTCTATATTACGTGTTTGCGTAGTGTTAGATTTTGTGTTATGTTTTAAAATAAGTTACTTAATTTTAATTAAGCAGTTTCTTCTTCCAGTGACTTTGATTTAGTTAATTGCCCTGCTGTATAATTTATTAATATTGTCTTTAAGTAAATAACGATTTAATAAGATTAGTTACATGAGCACGTCATTACTTTGTTAAGCAGACAATGCAGTTGGCTGTTTGTTATGTTTAATAGACAGTACGGAACCGTAACACTAATAAAAGCTTCTGTAATGCACTTGGCCTATTTTTATAATCGTTGCGTTAACACTTTACGCCAGCACGCGGCCTTACACGGCTGCGCCCACCTTGACCATCGCCAGATGAATGAGTCATGGGACACTAGGAAAACACATGGTTTCGTTAACTATACCACCATGTTTTTACATTAAAGTTGTTTTTAGTGTTGGATTTGTAGATTTATGTTTTTAAGCTGTCTAGTCTCTGGTCTTTGACCATTAGCTAATATATTTTTTCTTTGGTGAATTGAGTGAAGTAAAGTTTGGAGGGTAGGTATGTGAAACAGTTCACTAAAAGCCTCCCCTCTTTTATAGTTACTTGTGTCTCCAGTAAGAATCAAGCATGATGACTGTACTTTTTATAACACTTGCGTGTACCTACGAGTTCGTTCGTTCGTTTCAGCCGAATGACGTCCACTGCTGGACAAAGGCCTCCTCCAAGGTTTTCCACAATGAACGGTCCTGCGCTGCCCGCATCCAGGCTCTTCCCGCGACCTTCACCTACGAGTACGTTGAAATTAAAATCAAGAAGTAGAACCAATTATACTATTTTGTCTCACCTATTAATAGTAATAGCGACCATAGACAGCAGCGACACGGCTTCATTTCCATAGAAAACAAACGCGAACATCTGGCACATGGTCTCCCCCAGCGCCCACTCCTCGCGGATGAACCGGTTCGCCGTCAGAGGCAGGTTGATCCCGCAGAACAGGAGGTCTGACACGCAGAGGGAGAGCACGAACTTGGTGGTGACGTGTCCCCTCAGTTTCGGGTGCATGAGGAGGGCAATGGTCGTGATGAGGTTGCCTGGAACAAAGAGGTTTAGATTTTTTAACCAAAATTTGATCGTTTGGTGAAGCTCCCTGTACCCTGAGCACGAATAACGTACGCTTATTGGGTCTTCATACAAGAAGCAAGTGCCGTAATGTCATAACGAGAACGACATTTTTTCGTGCTCGGGGCTCTGAGTGCGAAAAATAGATTTCTGCCAATTAAAAGTCTTTTCTGGCCCTTGTCTAAGTTCTTATGTTGGAAAAAGCTCCAGTAAAAATATCTTTTACATAAACAAACACACTTACAAAGTTAAAATAGCTACCTATTAATATTTCCTTAATCTAAAATTATTATTTTACTAAATAAAAATTAATATTAAAATTAAATGCTTTCAATAGTTAAATTCCCATTTTCCCCCGATGAATAATAATTGTGGTGGCAAATGGGAAAATCTAATCGTACGGTTACATTTGGTGTAGATGGACATGCTGCATTTAACCGTATACCCTACCTAACGTCTAATGCAAGTTATTTTTAACACACCATAATAATATTTCCCAATAGTCAAAGAAGAAAGTTCCCGTTAAAAGCTATTAACGATTTCGTTGACAGATGGACCAAATCGTTTCTATTGCTCGAAGTCTCAGATCATAGAAGGGATCATTCTCTTTCTATGATCTGAGCTCGAAGTAGATGCGTAACTTTTTAATTATTCTATTCGGTAGATATCCTTTATTACAAAGTGGTTAAGATTGTTTGACACCTTACTTCCATGCTGGTACTTTACTAACCCCCTTACTAATAAAAAGTTACACAGTTTTAAAATGACATTTCCATACTAAACGTCACTTTAGATACTGTTCAACGAGCGTGTAAGTTTTATTAGTAAGGGGGTTAGAATAGAATGACTGGACGTGGACATCAATGAGGGCTATCGTTTTTATACTTAACAGTTGGCACCCCTGGCGATTGACAGGACCTTACTCTACAGTGGCGGCATCTTGATGAGTGCAAATGCGATAGTCCTCCTACCCTTTAGCGCTCACAAGTTGGCGCCACTGTCTTCGCTACTAGCAAGTGACAGGACCTTACTCTACAGTGGCGCTAACTGGTGAGCGCTAAAACGATAGCCCTCATTAAAAGGACTCTTAGTTAACACACGTCCTGTGCATACGTCTTGGTATAAGTAGGGTTGTGTTATCATCTTTTTGGCTACTTTGAGTGTCACAAACTACCTATTTTATGCTGATTGTACTTTATTTAAATAATTAAAATATCTTTGGACAATTTCACACAGCGCTATCTAGCCCCAAAGTAAGCAATTAATATTATTATGCTTGTGTTATGGGTGCTAGCTTAACGCATATACTACATACTTTTTTTTAAATACATACTTATTATACATAGTAAGACGCGTCACAGAAATTAAAATTCATCATTTCAATTTCTACCCGGCCGGGAATCGAACCCTGGACCTCTCGGCATAGTAGGTACCCAGTCCGTTTTAGAACCACTACCTAAACCAAACGGTCGACTATGTACGTACTTTTACCTACCTAAACCTTATAGAATCCGGTTTATATCCGGATCAGGTTAATTACGTCACCGATGGATTGTGGACTCAAAACCATGCAAACAGTAGGTGCTATAAACTACGGTGTTTGCGGGCTATGGGAGTACACACAACTACCTACGGAACTGAGCCTAATCGGTATTGAACTCAATTTCATTTTTGGCATGCCCTACCTTACCCAGGCGAAGCCAGTTTTCTTCTTTCTGAAAACTAACTTTCCCTTTTTCTCTTGGACTGGACATTGGAAATAACAGTTTTTTAAATAGTAACACCACAGTAACACCAACCTCGCGGGCGCTTGCCAGTTGCCACAGAATAGCAACACTTTTTAAAATACGAACTGTCAAAAACTAGTGATGCCAATCAGTCACAGATTATGATGTATTATCGATTAGTAGTAAATAAAACAATTATGACAAAATCAAAATTGTTATTGTAAAAAAAAGTTCTCAAAGAGGAGGATGAGGATTGTAGAAATTTATTACTCCCATAGACAGACATTGATAACATTTAATTTACTGTTCATGGATTGGCCATCAAAGACACTTAACGTATTAGATTGGCGAGGTGCAATTTTAGCTGATAGGGCGAAGCAATCACTTAGTAAAACAATTAAAAGTAGGTGTACACCGATACTATCGAATGTGCAACAGTGATCAACATAAAAGGGTCTTGTTTAGATAAAGGATGATTTTTATCGATAGTAGGTATAATTTAGAGGCGATTAGAGGATTTAAATTGATTTCACTTGTAACTTGTAACCCACACAAGTTGTTAATGTTTAACTTTTTATTTAGTAAATACATATTATTATTATTAACTTCAATGCAATTTTAATTTAGTTATCGTAGTTTGACTGTGTCATAATGATGAGTTATTAATGTAGATTTAAATAAAGTATTAACATTGTCTTTGTCATGCAACAACAATTCCATTAAGTAGTCAAAAGGCTAATGTTTTTACTATCTATTTAACGTACTGGCAAAAAAGTACCTAGTATTTTCTGAAACTTTTACAATTATGTGCCACTTGTGGTCTAAGCTGAATAAATATTTTTGATTTTGATTTTGAATTCTAGCATTTTTTTAGCAAAAGAAAACTTTGATGCTGTTTCAGCTAATAACAAACTATCGGACCTCGTTTGTTAATATACAGGTGTGATTTTACATCTAGCATTCATAATAAGAAAACAATAGTAAAATACTTTATTGAATTAAAATATATAGATTAGAAAGAATATTTTCTTAACATTCATCAACAAACTAATGATTAAAATAAATTGTAGTTATTTGGCGTGGCTAGATGGCTGCACGAAATCGATCAACGGAATTTCGAATCCGGATCCATCCGAATAGTTGTAAGTAAAAGAAACTGCAATTTCTAAAGCAAGTAGTTAATAAGATGTTTTAATCAAATTGGCTTATTTTTCTCGAGTTCAATCGCCGGAAGCATGAATCATGGTTGTTTTACATATAAAACCTCAATAAGTTCATAAGATTTATGCACTTGTACCACTCCATTTTGTTCGTGTTATGTTTCTGTGATTTACGACGTCAGTCTGCTTTCTGTCAACTCGTAAGGTCTTGTATTGACCTTTACTGGTTTTTATTTTAAACGCCAGTAAAAGTGTTTTGATGTAGGATGTTAGTTTACAATAACATATTTTTTTTACACAATTTTAGAATATTATCAACTCATTTTATCTTATTGACTAACAGGAAATGAAGATGAGCAACAGCAAATATTGATAGGCAGCTTTAGGATTGAAGAACATGACCTTTCAAAAACCTGAACTAAAAACAGAGTTGGGGAAAATAGAGTTACATTACAAAGCCCAACTCAAAGCGTTCCAAGGTCATATTATAAAACTGCACATGTTGCACTGCGTATTGAATGTGACATGATCACATGACACGTCCCATAGGATGCCCCATGCCCCCGATGGACCTTATCCGATACCTAAGCTGACAGTTTGATTGATTTGACCATAAACAGCCCCTAGTGGGGCGATAAAGCTGTAAATGAGTGAGGGGTCACAATTCCCGTATAAATTAGGTACTCATATTTTGAAAATTCTGAGATAAGGTTGATTTTGCAATCATAAAACTAAAATTTATTTAATTTATTGTGGCAGGCAAGCGTTTAATATCTATAGATAGATACAACGGAAACGGCACCGAATTAAAAAATAAATGGAAAATAACAATTAGTGATGTGAAAACATATAACATGTAACAAAAAATTATCGATATGTTATGTAAATTATGTACTGTATTTACGAAAATTAAGTGTAAATTATTATACCTAATCTGACAGTCATAATAATGACTGTTAATTTGGGAGTAAGAACAATGTTACCTCAATAAAAATTCATAATTGAATGATCAGTTTTCATATTGATAAAGCCGGTACGCATGCAAACAAACCACTTAAATTAATGTGTCTACCATCACATTGCAATTTGCATTTATTTTGCAACATAAAAGCGAGTCGTCATTGCGTTCGCAGAGCTTCCAGACAGTTTTTAATAAATAAACGAACTTAATTGGTCACTGCGCTAAATGATACGACGATTGGCCGTGTTGTTTACCAAAACACTTTGTTTACACGACTCCCATAGCGCGATTAATTGCTTCGATGGAGGCACACGTGATGCCGTCGTTAGCCGCCATGTTGTATGGGGTTGGTTTATCCTAAATCATAATAATATTATGGAGATTCGGGGTCTACCACCTACATAGAGCAATCGTAAATAGGTACTCGCTCTTCTAACTGTGGGATCTAGGATTTTTTAAAGGCATGTATTTAAATGATCTTTTTAAAATAGCAAAAACGGCAAATAAAAAAATCTAAATGGTCATCTATTTTAATGATTGATCCTCTATCTTTGAGACATAAAATAAATGAAATCGATCTATATATTAACCTCTTTTGAACTACGCAAAAAAAAATTGAGATGTAAAAATTATATCTGATCGTTACTTGTTGGTCCTCAAAAATAAAATAAATGAGCNTATCCCACTAGGGCATGAATTTCGGAATCTCGGAATCTCGTAATATCGGAATCTCGGAATGTTAGATCCGATATTACAATTCCGATATTGAGCGATCCAATATCGTAATATCGGAATCAGATAAAAGTTTTAATTGAGATTTAACCCTTAACCACCTAGCACATATTATTGTCACACAACCGCCTATCATACGTCTATGGGACCCCAGAATAAAAAATGATACGATTACGATAAATATTAAGGGAGGGTACACATTTAATTTAAAATTCTGTTATGAAAATGATTAAACTCTTTATTTTAAAAAAGAAGAATGTGAAAATCAACGATACTTTTACAAAAACTCCGAATAATTAGCATAATCTCTTATTTTTGGCTTACTTACTATTACTTATAGAAAATGAGATCCTAAAAAATATTTAAAGTGATAGGAACTTATTCTTATATTTTTTGTATAATTCAATCAACAAGGAACTAGAATAAAAAAAATAAAACTCGTTATTATAATCAATTAATAAAAATTGCAGGCTCTAAACTTAGAGTTTTTTTACGGCAATCCAGACTCATATTGTTCGAACATTCGAGGCAAATTGGCGCTTTGCATTCGAAAGACATGAGTNAAAATAAAAAGAAGACTTTGACATTATAGTGTCACTCTCGACAATGCGTTAGAGGTGGTAAGCATGGTGATTGAAACTTGAACAGTGTGCCTACCATGAGTTTACGTTATGGTTCGGACAAACCAACGCGATCACAGCGCGATCAGCCGGCGTGCAGCGATGGCGACCAGACCTAAATACATTGATCGCCATCGCTGCACGCCGGTTGATCGCGCTGTGATCGCGTTGGTTTGTCCGAACCTTTAGGTGTGCTCGCTAGCGACTGCGTAAAAAAATGACATTCAAATGTATGACATATTGTGCAGCGCCCCTAGTGGCTACTTTCAAGAAATAAAATCTTCATAGAATTTTTTGACGTATTCGCTAGCGAGCTCACCTAACGTAAACTCATGGTAGGCACACAGGTAGCCTGACGTTACGGCACCGCCTATGTTTAATTCCACGCAAAAATATGGAGGTAATTTAAATATGTAATTAATTTCTCAGCCATTTCTTGATGGATTTCAAAAATAACTTCAACGGCTTTTTTATTTGGTCTATATTTTAATTCCATTCAGTTAAATCGCGGGCGTGCATTACTTTGAATTAATAGGCGTGATCCTGTTTTATGGAAATCGTCCCGTTAAGTGTATTTTTTCTCAAAATGTATTAATTCTAGTAAAAAAGTAATTAACTTAATCTTCAGAAAACTATTTCTAGGACAATGGTCTTTAAAGAGTCCTAAGTAAATCTACGAATACTTTATTTACTTGCATCACTTAAATAATACTTCATCTATACTATTTAGTATTAAGTGAGCATACAAAAAATCATAATTTAGTAATATAAGATTTTTTTTAACTTAAGCTAAGAATAACTTAAGACCCAATTATCTCAAGAATACTTAACTTGGTTTTGGATATTCTTAATTTGCTTAAGTAGTGCTCGATAAAGAATATAAACTCTTAAAGAGAGAAATCTCTATCCTAAGTTTATTTGGTTTTAGCTTAAGTGTAAATTTAGATAGAGTTAAGACAAGTAAGATTTTACCATTAATACCAATTGCTACTTGGGCTATTATGCCTAATCTGACAGTCATAATAATGACTGTTAATTTGTGAGTAAGAACAATGTTACCTCAATAAAAATTTATAATTGAATCATCAGTTTTCATATTGATAAAGCCCGCACGCATGTAAACAAACCACTTAAATTAATGTGTCTACCATCACATTGCAATTTGCATTTATTTTGCAACATAAAAGCGAGTCGTCATTGCGTTCGCAGAGCTTCCAGACAGTTTTTAATAAATAAACGAACTTAATTGGTCACTGCGCTAAATGATACGACGATTGGCCGTGTTGTTTACCAAAACACTTTGTTTACACGACTCCCATAGCGCGATTAATTGCTTCGATGGAGGCACACGTGATGCCGTCGTTAGCCGCCATGTTGTATGGGGTTGGTATACTAACATCACAGCAAGAAAAAGTCAGATAATCTCATCATAACCACCAACTTATTGGTTTGTAAGGTCTCTAAATCTAAGGGTTGCCAAGCCCTAGCTACTCGTTCTTCTCAGCGTCACCTTATTCCAATTTCGTTAGCACTTTCTAGGTAAAAAAATACTTCATTTTAATTTTTAAGACTCAAGATTTAATCAACTTTATCCTAAATCATAATAATATTATGGAGATTCGGGGTCTACCACCTACATAGAGCAATCGTAAATATGTACTCGCTCTTCTAACTGTGGGATCTAGGATTTTTTAAATTATGTAGGTACCTAACTACTTATCTTGTGATCGTTTATTACTCATCTACGTGACTATTTTTGAAAAGTCATCTTCTTTCAAAGCTTTATTTGTGGTGATTCTTAAAGACTAGCCGAATTTTACAGTTGTGTGTGGGCTTTTATTTTTGGTCTATGGTTACGTTGTTGCAATTAGTGCATCGTTTACGGGGTTTATGCATGTTTGTCTACGAGTTGCTGGCGCGTGCACGAGTATTAGCCTCATGGTTTGTTTATTATGTTACCAAGAACTGAGCTAATAGGGAATCCTGAAACCAATAAAACTGGCGACATATTGGATTTGGAATGAGAGCAGATCAAACAAACTACGTATTTTAAGATTCAGCTAGACGTTTCTTCTCGATAATGAGATTCCTTCCTTTAAGACAATTTTCCTCCTATCCAGAATTGATGCTGTAACAGGATTATAAATACCCCAGGTCCATAAAACCCGAAGAATTGCCCTTAATTCCAAGACACGCAGCATTAATACCCCAAGGGCCAGCCTGAAAGGGCTCTTTATACAAAGGGCATCACCCCCGATTAGCAATAAACACTTTTATATCCCCTCTACATAAGCAATGAAATTAACACACAACAAACATCTTTGATGGCCTCGAAATTAATAGGCCATGCTTGATTCATTATTTGTTTGCTCGTAAAACTTTGGCACTATGCTGTGGGGAGCCAATTTATTGCATAAAGAAATCAGATACTTTATAACTCAAAGCCAAAGGTAGTGTAAGTTATGTAAGTATTAGAGTAGGCGCACACCGTTGATTTTTAGTTGGCCGATAGTTGTGCCCGATTTCAAATTGTATGAAGAATCGGCCAAATCGAATCGGCGTAGTGTGCGCACTCCCATACATGCCCATACTGATCAACAGCCCGACTAAACTATCGGCCGACGAAAAATCAACGGTGTGAGCCTACTCTTAGGATTTTTTTATCTCCAACGAGGAAGCTCTTGGCCTGCATCTCACCTGATGGAAAGTGATGATGACTGAAGGTGGAAGCGAGCTTCCTTCACCTCTTCATAATAACATTTTTGAATTCAAACATACCTACTAGGATACTAAGTAGTATTTAAATTTAAAGAAGTCGGTATTATTATGTAGAGTCACAGACAAACACATGTGATCTACATTCGACCTACAACAACAATAGTGCTACCTACATTTTTTGTTTCTTAAATAGGTATATTTGGCTCAGCAACATCTGTATGTGCTAGATTAATTGCCTCCACTGAAGTTAACAGAAAACGAACGTGTGTTTATTATTAATTAAAGTATTGTTGTGGTGGGAATATTGTCATCATGATTTAAGCCAAAATTATTACGATTTTACATGTTAAGAAGCGATATTTGTTTAATTATTGTATTAATTAGCTCCTGTATTACGATTCAGATAAAGTCACGCGGTTACTTCATTACCTACCAAAATTATAATCGCAAAAATACCTAAGATCAACGAACGAAGAAACAATAAATTATTATTTTAATCGTAAGTTCGTGACATTATATCATCGCCTGTCACTGAGCAGAAGATTAATATAACTTTTTCTAGAAAACAAAACTTTTTCGACGTAAACCGCTGCACATAGTCCATGTCATGGATAATGTTTGTTTACCCAGCTGTTCCTAACGTGTCACTGGAGCGTGTCTATTACTAAAGATTCGAATTCGATACATCTGCTCTATCCGAATCCGACTCTTTTATTATATTAACATTCGAAAGGGACAGAGAGAGGAACAAAATACTAGAACAATTTTGAAGAATTACGGATTACGAGGATTACGACATCCACTTAACGAGGCACGCGATAGTGTTAAAAACGATTATTGGATGCTTTCTAAATACATACAACCAAACTCAAATGTTTACATAAGTCAACGTAAACTTAGGGAGTTGGGACGTGACTATAATGGTATGTGATCCTGTTTTGCTGACCAATTCTTCTAACAAGCTAAAGCTCGCGATATAGAAAGATCTAGTAGAGAGAATTTACTTAACATTAAATATTATGGTGTAGGTACAAAGTATTCATAAATGTATTTACTTTGTTAAAGTAGACCTAAGTTAAAGTATTGTTGATTGAGTATGATTGAGTAGTACTAGTACGCTACTTGAGCAGTGTATTTACGCATACTTCTAAAGAGAGCAAAATTCCATCCGATACTGCTGTTATGATGCTTCGTTTCATCGAAACGTCACTAATGTAAACATCGTTTCATCGCTTCCCTCGAATAGTGGCACAGTAAGCCTATCAACGAGCGGCTCGATACGATACAGTAAACATAAACACAATATGCGTAAACAAACGCTTTAGTAAACTAATCTGTATTTGCTGTGGGACGTAACCAGACACCTCCCGGTCCTAGTATTCATATTCATCGGTAAAATTGTAAAAATGAGCGGTAAAATATATCACATACAACAAATTTACATTTTTAATCAAGAAGATTTTAAATAATAACTTACCAACAACCCCGACCACACTGAATATGCTGGCACATATCGCTGCCAGCACCGTCGCCTCACGAGGGTAGAACGTCACATTTTGCACAACCTGCACTAAACTCGAATTACACTCATCCATTTTTGATAACTCAAATCAACACTATCGATAAAGTTACCACTTCACTAGTTCTTTTTGAATTTGGAACATTTTCTTGACATTTTTCTTTTTAATTCGCGTTGAGTTAGCTGGCCATTGGGTTGCTTTGTGCTCCTTGTTTCTTGACGATGAAATGACTCGTCGTGGCGGCCTGTAACAAAGTGAAAGGGTAGGGTTACATTTTTGTTGGAGCACGTGTTCTTAGTCAGATGATTACAAACAGGCACTTTATTACTCATGTTGTATTCGATGCAAGTGATTCAGAGATTAAAGAAATAAGTAATAAAAGTGTTGTTACTAACAGGCAGGGGATTTGAATAAGTAGGTACTATTTTTCTCTTCAGAACCGATTTGAGTGGTATTTTTAATCGTTAATCCTTGAATCCCTGGTTAAATGATGAAGTAGGTACGTACAAATTCACGTGAATTTCCATTGGTCTTAATAGGTACTTTTGTATCCCAAAAAATAAATGGAAAATGAAAATGAACTCCAAAAGGTTTACGACTCGACGACCGAGCAAATTACCGTATCCTGTTCAAACAAGGCAAAAAGGTTGTTTGTTTTCTCTGATTCAGTTTTTTGCGTCATCTTCTGCGATCTGTCCCCGGAGGTTGAAATAGCGCGTGTCGGGATGCCGGTGGCCGGTGCATTAGCATGGATTTGCATGCACGGTGATGCATGGTGCACGCATGGGCGCGCATGCGGACCATGTGAACAATATGAGCGCGATTATGGACGTTGTAATTATCGGTTCGTGAAATGTAGGGCTGGCAGTTTATTATGATCAAAGCGTAACTAAATACGTAGTCAGTCTAATCGAGCATCAGTTTATTGGATTTTCTGGTATGTAGCTTACTTTTTGCATCTTCTATAGGTAATTAGGTACATATAGATAGAGCATCATACTACCAACCTTATCCACAACGAACTATGAAGTAGGTACAACACTAATAATATAGGTACGACATAATCTCTAAAAAAGAGGTCTTACTTTCATAATTTTCTGTTCTCAACATAAGAGTTCCACAGAACCTTCACGTTAATAATTGACACTGTTACTGTAGTCAAATATCAAAGCATCTATTTCCATCCTAAGAGTAAATATACGCGTAAGGTTAAGTAACTTTCTAAATTATTATCACTCTAACCGAAACTACAAACATCATCGATATAGTTAGTAACCCTAAATACATTTTAACTTACTGCTAACGGATTACCGTTACGCAAGTCAGGTGCCTTGGATTTGTCAAATTGATCTAACTGGGAACACGTCCGGCCAATGCAAGTATAGTGTGACGAGCTTTTAAAACGGTGCATAGAATATTAATTATCACAGTAAGGTCTTACAGTAAGTACCAACTTAGATTTTTTCCATAATTCTGTACCCCCAGTGAAAACGGAGTTAAGTCGAAAATGGTGATTTTTGGGAAANACGGTCATTCAATTTCATCAGCTTGAATTTTTTATCTAAATTATTTTTAAACTTGACAATCATTTAAGAACTCTCGAGATTGATGATGAATGTTTGCCCGTACATTATCGTCACAAATATTGACTTATGTTTTTGGAAGATAAGTAGTATTAAGTAGGCACTTATTGGGTTTTTAACACTTTGCCAAAGCTTCCAACATTGTACCTACAATAAATAAGTTTTTTTTGAAGAAATGAATAATTTTTAAAACATAATATTTTTGTTATACATAAAATTCTATCGATATTTTTTGTCTACTTTAACTTCACTATTCCCGTATAGAGATGGGTAAGTGCTAATAANCTATTCCCGTAGTTTGAAGAAGAGTTTCATAGCGTCGCAACTCGTGACGCAAAAATTTAGGAGCTGCAACTCTATTCCGCGCAATGTCAACTTTCGATTTTGCTAACTGCGCCTTTGAAAAGGGAGGTTATCTAACGTGATTGTATCGCGATTCGCTCACCCATCGTCCCTCGCAGCGACCGATATTGAATACAAACAGCGCATAATAAACCGTTAATGAGCTAAACGACTGTACGCATCCTTATTAAATGTGCACATCGCTGAATGAGTTTTCAATTGAGGTTTTTTGTTTTCTTCCTTCCAATTTATTTAATTGGGGAAGTTGTTAAAACCTCGTGGGATACTTAATTAAAAGGGGTAGGTACTAGGCATGTAGTAACGACGAGAGGTATAGATGATGGTCAAACAGTAGTCATTAGGACATAGAGTTAAAAGAAATCATTTTCATCGTAGCAAAAATCTTTCCGATTTGAATCGGCAACAATATTTGGTCAAAAGAACATTTTCGCGATCTTTCTACTATCATAATTTACAGTTTAACTTGACCAATTAGGTATAAGTTTAGTTTAGAACATAAATGTAGAGATAGGCTAACAAGAAAGGTTTTCCATAGAAAAGTGATTTAACAGGTTAACTATTCTTAGTGAAATTATCCGTAATAGGAAGTTGTCAAGAAAACAGCGTCATTTAAAAGCAATCGCATAGCAAGTTCAATAAATCGCGAGCGGCAATGAATATCAATTTATTGGCGACTTTCTAGAGAAACTGCGTTCGGAAAAAATGGCGATTACCATCTAACGAGAGACGTCTTCACATCATGTTAAGTGGTTTTTATGATGTGCTGGTGGAAAATGGAGAAACTTAATTTAATTGTAAATAAATGCTCTATAACAGTGGTTCCCAAAGTTGTCTGGGCTACGACGACTCATCTAATACAAGTTCCCAAACTCGGCGGGACCCACCTATAGGAAATTTCGCCCACTGCCCAGTGGTTGGATCGGTAGGGTGGTGTGTCGTTCTACAGGCAGGCAGGGCCAACTCAATATTCGCTCGCGACCCACAGTTTGGGAAACCCTGCGCAATAATATAATACCAAAAAGATGTAGGTTATATCTTCGGGGATTAAAAGGTATACCTCACCATTTAGTACCTACAGTAAAGTTTTGCTTAGTTTGTGACTAGAGGCGTAGTGTAAAATGTCCAATGCTTATTTAATTCCCCAACCCGTGTTGCCAGGCTTGCCAGCGCGCAGCGTGGAGAGTGTAGAGCCAAATTCTCCATTTGCTTCTGGTGAATTGGATAGGAAAAGGTGCCTCTTCCTGCAGTGGGGAATAAAAGATCTCATGACGATGATGATGACGTTTCGGGATATAGGACAATAGAGACACCAGTGACCAACAAAATGCAGCTGAATCGCAGTTAAGAAGTTCCTCGAAGTTAGATTGGCAAACGTGGAAAAGCATATTGCCATACGGGAGAAAAAGAAGAAGTAGCTTTTTGCACTTTGATAAGTGATGCTGAAGAATCAGATTGCTAAAACTCAGTCAGTCCATCTTCGTGCAATGCCACTATTTCCACCACCTCGAAACTTGTAGTAGTACGAATGATTTAATAATAAAGTTGATACGGTGATATTTACGATACAGTGTCAACAGCGGTAAATAACTGCAGCAGCTTTATAAACTACCGGCAATAAAGCACCAGCGATATCTAGATAAGCCACAGTGCAGGTACAAAATAAGCAGTAGGTTCAAATAATAATCAAAGGATTAATAACTAGTGAGTTTTACTTCGAACCTTTGAACACGACCTTCTAAAACCTACTTAAAACTCTTTTAAAAAAATAATCAAATCTAAGTATATGATCGAATTAGAACATAGATAGGTGTGGTAAAAGCCGCTGGATGTCCATAAAATCCATTTGGGAGTCGTCTTCACTGATTACCTACCCTACTTTTCACAACAACTGACCGAAGAATGGAGAAAAAAGCCCCTACTTTTCACAATGACGAATGTAGTGAGCCTACTTCACACATTTTTGTTGTGTTAAGATGGACAATAGAGATAGAAGAGTGCTGATATCCGTAGACAATTCAATTATAGGCAAGAAAATTAACTATCAGAAGGTAGTTATACAATTTGCTAACAATAGGACGTGAAAATGTAATGGATAGGTGACAAGCATCGCTTGATGGGAAAGAAAGTATTGTGTGTAGCAGCTGTAAGTAGGTGATTAGGATGGTAGTGATGGTATTCCTTGGGAGCAAAAATTAATTTATTTGAGAGTCTANGTTATGTATCTAGAAAACTGGACCGAAATTGAAAAATTTTGCTAGACTTGGCGGTTGCACTACCGTGCCCCCAAATATTTTAGTTTTTCCTTGATTCATACACCAAACACTACTTATATTCCAAATTTGAAGCTTCTAGGTCTGCTAGAAGTGCCTTAGAATTTTGATGATCGGTGAGTCAGTGAGTCAGTGAGTCAGTGAGTGACAAAATTAAGTAACTTTGACCCGTTATAATTCCTAAACTACTGGTTCAAATTGAATGAAATTTTAAATATACCGTGTCTTTACAATGCCTGCATAGCTAATGAAAATTCAGCCTTCTAGTTTTATCCACAACGAAGTTACAGGCAGTCGAAAATGGCCTGAATTGCTTCGAGAAAAGGATGGTACGGCCGTGCCGCTTTTTTGCTCGACTTGGTGGGGGCACTGCCGTGCCCCCAGATCACAATTCTTACAATCGTTTGGAGAGTTATGGAGTTCTAGGTATACTCGTATACTTAGGAAGTGAGTGCTGAAAAAGGAAAACCAGAAGCACTTGCGTCTATAAATACTTAACGCATGCAAAAATATTTTTACATGAAAACAAAGCACGTACGTCTATAAATATCGCATGCAAAATTATTTTTACATCAAAACATTCAGTCCATCTTTACAAATTACAATATGGTCAGAGAGTACCTAATACCTATTTATTTGGTCAAAACTTCTCTACCCTAAATCAGTAGTGTGTTTCAAAGATTTTTAGTCGCTGAAAAAGTTAGCTTGAAACAGGAAAATATATTCGTAAGTGACTAGAGTACATACTTACATTAGGACTGTAAACAATCACTTAATGGCCGTCAATGCCCCACTAGATAAGTAAAAGTAAATGGCCAACATACGTCATCATCTCCAACTGATAGACCATCTTCGTCCTCAGGACTTATTCGGGCAGTGACGTCACGGACGTAAGACGCTTACGCACTTGAATTAGTATGGATCAACAAACTAAAAAGCGTTGTAACTACTAAGTATTCAATGGTTCTGTTCTGAACAGCCACAACACAACCAAGCAGAAGACCTATTTTCTCAATCGCAGCGACTTT